GAAGAAATATGGTTATTTTTGTATAGTAATGATAATTTTATGTCCCTAGCGTGTGTTGAGAGAGAATGTATTTTTTAACATGGCTGTGCAGTGTGACAGAGCTGATGTCGGAAAAGTGAGTACCATCGACCCTCAATTAGGTTAGGTGCAATAGCTGATGGATGAATATCCAGAACTCCACCACTCTGAATGTAAATAAATAGAAATGTATGTATTTAAGAATGAATGAGAGGCTGAATGGGTTTGGATCTACCAACCGCATGCGTTAGGACCTAAAACCTTTTAAATCCTCACTAATCGTTTCGTCACTGAGTGCAGTGCAAATTTTACGAGTTGCCTCGGCCACCCTAGTACCGAGCTTAATAAGCACGCATGAATTATGGGTTTTGAATCCATGAGAAAGTAAATATTCCATAATTTATACAATGAAGACGCTTTTGTTTTACGAACTGAAACTGACTTATTATCCTCTTCGTATTACTATGTACTTAATTCTTGTACCCTTTTTCACTTTTTATAAATGATGGTCCCACACGCAGATTTCTCTTTGTTTTCAATAAAAATGTTAATCAACGGTAGAATGATCCCAAGAAGAAAAAGTTTTTGACACCCAAAGCAATCAGGATTATTTCAAAACTGAAATGTAGAGACACTGCAGGCAGGTTTTCATTGATTTAAACATTTTAACTCCCCCCCTGTATTCATATTCTAAAGTGTATCACATGTGTTATTAATGACTTTTATAAATTTAAAACCGTTACTACCTTACATGATCATGAAACTATATCTCATAAAAAGCTTGTCACCATTTGTAACAGACTGAAAGTCGCATAAATTAGAACAATTTATTGGATGGTGCCTGACAAATTAAAAGACTTACAACGACCAGTAAGGTGTGCCTCGGATTTAGAACAACTTTTTTTTGTAATTTTGCACTCCAAATATCGAACACATATCCTTCACTTCTTGTGCGAATAGATCCTAGTTTCGCCAAAAAAAATTAAAATTTTCCGTTTTTGAATATTTATTTTGTCGTTCTTCTTACTCAAATCAACCTTACGTGATTATATTATTTTATAGCATTTTTTATGTAGATTGCAATAAAAATATAGTAAAAGCTACCAAAGTTTATCAATAACCAAAAAAATTCTAAAAACCAAATATATTTTTCAAGTAAACTAGATCTTACAAAAAAATTCTTAAAAAAAAAAACTATTATCAAATTTCATTTTAGCTCCAATATAGATCCCTAAATATAAATTTTTGTTTGAATTCAAATTTACTGAAATACTCAAATTTTAAGAAGTTGTTTTCGGAATATCTGATAGAAATGGCTATAATTCAAAAACGGCTAAAAGGACTGTAACTTCGAACAGACTATTTGAAAGAAGAGGAGCTTAGCTTTTTAACTACATATGTGCCATAAAAATATATAAACTATTTCTATAAGAAAATACACAAATTAGCAAAATTACTTATCAAAAATTACATTTCTTTGTTTAAATGGAAATAATCGTCCGATTTTAATATTTGATACAGTTATAAAATGCACTTGACAATTTCTTTAAAACGAATTATGAAATTTGGTGTACTAGTTTTTTAAGGGAAATGATGTTAGAACTTGCACACGGAATGTCAGTCATTCAGAAAAGTCATCGAAATTATCAGTCAGTACACTAATTTCCGTGAAAGTCGGTATCTAAGGCTCTTATAACGCTAGAATCAAGACAATGAGGTCAAATCCAAGTTTTGTCGATTTTTTTGACCTTCTTTGCTAACAGAATGTTTGTTGAAATATGAAAAAACGGTATTTTGATTATTTATCTTTTTAAATCCTACCAAATTAAAACATTCTGTTGTTATAGAACATTTTTGTTTTTATCTTAACCAAAAATAATATTTTTTTCATCCCTAAATACTTTTATTATTTATGGTCATTTAATTGCGACTATAATTATAAATCATTGTAGTGATTTTAGCGTTATAAAAGCCTTAGATCAGAGTAAATTAATTTTTTGACTGATAATTTCGATATCTTTTGTCCTGGCTGACATTTTCAGTGCAAGCTCTAACACCGTTTTTCTCAAAACTTAGTGGACCGATTTTCATCGTTAATAATTCGTTTCTATCAAACATTAAAATCGTACTATTATTTCCATTTAAAGAAACGAGATTAATTTCTGGCAAATATTGGGTTGTCCGGAAAATAATGCAGGATTTTGGTATTAAACAAAAAAAAAGAAACTAGTTACTTTAAAGCAATGTTCTTTAATCAAAATAATTTCCNTCCTGTAAACGTAAACAGAATATTTTATATAGATTTTTTTTAATGAAAACTTAAAATCCTGCATTATTTTCCGGACAACCCAATAATTTTGCTATTTTGTGTATTTTCTTATAAAAATATTTTATATATTTTAATGGTACATATCGTTAAAAAGCAACGTTCCTTTGGTTTCGCGTGATCTCTTTGATTTTAAAATTTAGCCATATCAAAAAGTTATTCCGAGAACGACTTCTTAAAAATAGAAAAATTTTTAGGGGTCAAAAAATCAGTAAATTTGAATTCGAACAAAAATGTATATTCAGTGGTTGCTAGAATTTCCAAAACTTAATTTAATATTAATTTCACGAAAAAAAATGTTATGACCAAGTTTACTTGAAAGATATTTGGTTTCTAGATTTTTTTTGGTTATTAATAAACTTTTATAGGTCTTAGAATATTTTTATTAGGATCTACATAAAAAATGCTGCAAAATGATATATTCGCATAGTTGATTTAAGTAAGAAGAACGGCAAAATAAAATATTAAAAACGGAAAATTTCAATTTTCAAAAAAATTTTTTTGCGAAACCTAGGCCCTGGTTCGCAAGAGGTGTTCGATATTTTGGATTGTAGAATCACCAAAAAAAGTTTGCTCCAAATCCGTGACCCACCGACCTGGTCGTCCTCATGTTAGATAAAAGCAAGTTAAGTAATTTATCAACTTCTAGCCACACAGCCTTTTAAAGTGAAGATGAATTTTTAGCAAGTTATGAATAATATTGTGTTATGCTATATTTATTTACTGTAAAACATTTATTTATTTATATATTTTTTACTCTTCTTTTTCGGTTGTTGACTTTATATTTCTTGGGTTTCTTTTCAGGAAAATAAAAATGTTTATTTAATGAAGAAAAAAAATGTTCCTGTATTTATTTTTTTAGCACTGTTGTAATTTGATATGCCTATGAATTTTTCGACAATTGTACATATCATATATCTCATTTTTATATAAAAGGTAAAATAAATTAAAGTATATTATAATAAAAATATATGTGCTTTTCAACCGTACTTGTAAATAAACTTTTATTTATAATTTCTTCGATTTAATATTCTCAGGCGATTAAACCATCTGCTAATAACCAAAATTTTTGAAAGTGGTCAAAAATTTGCAGGCCTACCAACTTATAAACACTTCACTATTGTGCGATTTATTATACACTTAGTACTGGATGTCGTTTTTATGAATTTGAAATTTGCCATCATTCGTTAAATTGGTGTTTTCTTTTCACTTTACTGACCAATTTACTAACATGGCAAGTTTTAATTTCCTCTGTAACGCTATTTGTTTTCAACTTTATTTGTAAATAAACTTTTGGGGATAAACTTTTTTTGGTTTTCTAATACATTTGTAAATCCTGCGGACATAAAATTGGCTCAATTTTGTACTTTTTTCGTTTTAACATTCTCAGGCGATTAAACGATCTGCTAATAACGAAATTTTTTAGAAGTGGTCAAAGATTTGCAGGCCTACCAACTTAAAAACACTTTTGAAATTCTATTGTGCGATTTATAATAAACTTAGTTCTGGAAGTCGGTTTTTATGAATTTGAAATTTGCCATCATTCGTTAAATTGGTGTTTTCTTTTCACTTTGATAAAAAATTTCCTAACATTGGTGAGTTTTAATTTCGTTTGTAACGCCACATTTATTGGCTTTTCAACCTTAAACATTTGTAGATATTGCAGACATAAATTGGCTCAATTTTGTAATTTCTTCGTTTTAATATTCACCTACGATTAAACGATCTGCTAATAACCCAAATTTTTAGATGTGGTCAGAAATTGGCAAGCCTACCTACTTAAAAACGCTTTTCAAATTCTACTGTGAGGATTGTTTTATTGTAGCTTAATTCTGGAAGTCGTTTTTTATCAATTTTAAATTTGCCATCATTTGTTAAATTGGTGTTTTCTTTTCAGTTTACTAATCAAATTACTGCCATTGGGGAGTTTTTTATTTCTTTTGTAACGCCAAGTTTATTTGCTTTGCGCCCGTATAAATGATAAAAACCTGCAATTTCCACTTTAAATTGATTTTTTTAAACAGGCATTCCTCCATTGTTATTTTTTGTAACGGTCCTTGGTTTACAGGACTGCCAACATAAAACATGCTAAAAAAATTTAAATTTTCATATCAACGGGCTGTTGGACATTTTGGACCCCTCGCTTTTGAAAATTATGGCTTTCACGATTAATTTTCTTTTAAGTTATCACGGTGGGAAAATTTTGATTCGTTTCAAACGGACAGCCGGATTTTGAAGCCGCTCAAACGACAAATTTTGTCTTGGCGGGTTATGCACTTTTTTAAACCAAAACTGCGATGCATTGCAAATAGTCTTTATTGAAAAAATGTATCTTTAATGATAATAAAAAGTCTTAAAATGTCTAAAACTATCTCGAACTAGATAAGGGTGGGAAAGGTCGAAGAGGAGACAGGATAACGATATCCACGAGGTAGCCTTGAGATTCCAGGGGCCGTCCAGAGGGCCAACCTCGGATCCTTAAAATCGAAAAAAAAACGCGGACTTCCTAATTCCACAAGTTTCGCTCCGTATAAAATAGGAAACAGGGCCACGTTCGGCCAAACTGTCTAGAAAGTTAGTCAATTGCGAGAGGCGACGACTAGGAGACGAGGGTGAATCACCTCCGTCCAGTTCAATATAAAATGTGATCGCTTACCTTTTGACTCCAGCCTTCGATATCTCTCCGGGCGTCTTCTGAATTCAAAACGCACTGTCACAGAACTGTAATCAACGCAGATAAACAACACAGAAACGTCGTCACGAGGAGAAACGAACTCGTCACTGGGCGGCACTCATCGGATTACTGAAGTGCTGAATGCTGAACGAGCGAACCTTCCCGGCTCCAGGACAGCGACACTAGCGCTCCTTCCGCCACAACTTCCCTTTTTCCCTCTCTTTTTATAATTTCAAAAATTATTATTTATTCAAATATAAACTGCTCAAGGGATATTTGTAATTTATTCTTATTCTTCACAAAGTGGAGACTGAAGATAAACCTAACTAAAATTATAAAATTTTACCTTACATAAATAAAATTTGCAATGAGTATAAATGGAATCCCATTGCCTACCACTGACCATGTGCGTTATCTTAGACTTTTCACGGATAAACGACTGAATTGAAATCTCCACACAAGACTGAAAAGACGGCAAAAAACTGATGTTATAAATCATTAAAAAGACTACTTGACCCACAATCAAAATTAGACATGAAAACAAAAGGACAAAACAGAAAAAAAGGAGGGAAAATTCAAAAAGGTGAGGTTGAGATGGGAAGTTGGATTCCGAGTGGATCAAAGTCACGATAGCTCAAGTGGTAGAGCAGCAGCATATTTAGCCGAAGCTCGTGGGTTCGAATCCCACCTGTGACACTGACTTTTTTATCTCAACCAAAACCTTAATAAAAGATTAATGAATTGAATTGAAAACAAACTTTTAATTTACAAGACCTGTGGGGGTACAGTGTGGGGCTGAACCAAGGATTCCAATTCCCAATGTCTCCAATCAATCCAAACTAAAATTCTCTGTCAAATTATAAATGCTCCTTTTCATGTTCCAAATTGCACTATTCCTAATGACCTACTCATCCCGTTTGTACATGAACTCATCTAAACCCGCTATAAAAAAAATTCATCAATCATTGAAGACCCACAATAATCTTTTGATATGACATTTATCACTTCCAGCCCTACTTGAAAATCCTCGAAGACAATTGAAGAGACAGTGGCCCCAAGACCTTCTCATTGAGTGAAAATTGAAACGATTTAAGGGTGAAGGAGTGCTGCCACTGGGCACACGTGTAAAAACCAGTTATTTTCTAAAAAACCAAAACTCGCCCTTAAGGCACGTATCGTTAACTTTTTTTACATCCCATTATTGTTATTTATTTGCTTGAAACAAAGGTATATGTCTTATTTGTTTTATTTTTAAAACACAAGCTTAGCATCTTGTCATATACATTTTTTGGTATTGAAACAATATAAAATCATCACTCTGTTCTTATATTTTAACAATTTTTCTTCCCAAACTAATTCCTTTGATTTTGAGGCAAGAACACCGATTAGCCACACTTGGGGCATTATTAAGTTAATAATTGCTCAGAAAAATCATTCGCTGGAAAGTCCCATAATGTGCTTTGTTCGCACATTGCTAAAACAGTGGAGGACGGAACAAATATTTTGCAAATAACCACAATTTAACAACATGTAATGTATTTACATAATTTTTTTTTATTATATTATGTACAAAAGTCATATTGCAAGCTGAGATATTAAAGGAATCAGAATTGTTTACATTTTATTTTTAATTCGTCATCCAGATCCATATACATGTATATATATACAAATGGTTTCTTGTTGAAATATTACAGGAATTATTGAGTGAATTAAACAATAATAATAATAATAATAATAAAATTTTAAAAAATGAAACAACTGTTTCTGGTTACTATTTTCATGTTTTTATAGATTTTTTTTCTTTTAAATTTGGATGACATAAAAATTTTAACATACTTTCAAGAAAAAACTTGTTTAAAAAAATTCTCAAATACATAATGAGCCAAGATTTTGTTTTCAAAATGGAAACATCCACCCAATTATAATATAAAAATAAAAATTTCCAACCCCTTTTTATTTCACTTTTTTGACAAGTATTTTAACACACTCCTACTTTCAACTGAAGAGTTATTACTTTTAAACAAATCAACAAAAGTAGTAAATTTTAGGGATTTTTTGTTTGGTTGTATTGCCTCTGGTGTTTGAATGGAACACATCCCAATGATGTTTGGGCTGATTTCACTTATACTATTTACCGCCAAAGAAATTGCCTAGCCCACCTGCCGCTCCGCTTGCACCTTGTTGCAACTGCCTCATCATGTTTTGTAAACCGGGCATGCCACCTGGTCAAAATCAAAACGTTAACGACATCCAAACGCCAAATCATGCAAAATGTGAACTTACCCATTTGTTGCAAGACTCGTGGGTCCATCATCTTTGCCATTTGTTGATTCAGCTTTGTCATTTGCACTTGGTTGACATTCTTGGCCAGGTCACCGTTTTTGAAAAGTCCTTTGATCCCGCCCATTTTTTTAACGACTGCAGAAAACTTAGTGTATTGAGCTATTAAATCCTTCACTTCTTTTTCAGTAACTCCTGCGCCTTGTGCAACCCTTGTGACCCTTCCTTGCTGCTTGCTGAACAATTTTGCTCCATCTCTACCGTCCAGTTCTGAAAATTTACAATTACATCTTTGACATCTATGGCAAATAATTGATACAAATGTTGTCTTAATTACACTTTGTTACAATAATACAACCCCTAAATAATTTTTTTATTTGGGGGATTCAGCAATTGTGCGATGAGTAAAAAAACTGATAAATAACTAACCTTAAATAAATAGATCAACAATTACTGATAAACAGACCTAATAAAAAACAATTAAACAAAAATACAAAATTTTGCCGCTAGAGGCTGATGGCCCATCAACCAGATGCAAATAATTTTTCTGCATATTTTTGTGGTTTCTACTGCCTTTGTTACAGGTGTATCAGGAGGATGTAAGTAAACATCGTTTACAAAGCATAATAATATATCTATGGAAATGTTCACCCCCACATTCCAGGGTCAAACTGCCCAATGCGTTTGGAGAACCAATCCCAAGTGTGGCCCTTCACCTACTAAATGAATCAGAGGGACCCCCTAGGGACCAGGGTCTCAACCTCAATGGTAGGGTAATGAGATCACATCTTTAGGTCATAAGCGATGTACAATAATTGTAATATACACAACACTCAGCCTTATAAAAAAAATTGAAGGACAACAAAATTAGTTCACATCTGTATGATAGCTACATCTGTCATAAGATACATGATGAGACACAGCCTGCCTGTCTCTTCCTTCAGTGCTGTATGATACTGCGAAGAAACTCACACTAAATATGAGTTAACATAAGAACTGAAAACATTCTGGACTCTCTGATGTACAAATTTAGATAGACGGCTGCTGAGACAGATCTCTTGTAACCCAGCCTTATCACATTTAATGCTAATAACAGTCTTGCTGGCAGGCATATATCAATTTATATCCCTTGAGAACACTCTCCTACCTGAGTGGCTTACTGATACTCCCTTACGTCAAAAAAGGTTTTCCACTTTCCTCATACTTCAACCCCTCTTTAAGGACAGGCAAGAAGAGGTGATTTACCTCTTATTGAAGGGTGCCTCTTCAGGAGGGGTTTAGATTTTTTTTTTTTTTTTTTTTTTTTAATTAAGAAAAATTTTAAGTTGTATTGTACAAAATATACATATTAAGTAACACTTTATTATTTATATATTTTTCTAAAAAATAAATAACATGTTTCCATTTTAAAACTTAATAAATAAATTGTTCTTGGTTTGTTTTTTAAACTTACAAGGAGACACCAGATTGATGGGTCATGGATTTGGACTAAACCTTATTTGGTGATTTTACACTCCAAAATTTCAGAAATGTATCCGCCACTTCATGTAAATAGGCCCTGTTTTTGCCAAAAATATTTTTGAAAATTGAAATGTTCCGTTTTTTAATATTTTTATTTCACCAGTGAAAGTAACATTTTACAGTATTTTTTATGTAGATTGTAATAAAAATATTCTAAAAGCTATAAGAGTTTATCAATGACCAAAAAATTTCTAAAAAACAAATATTTTTCAAGTAAACTGTCATAATTTTTTTGTGTGAATTTAATATGAAATTTTGTTTTAGCACCTGTAGAGACTCCTAAATATAAATTTATGTTTGAATTTAAATTTATTGATTTTTTCTCTAAAATTATTCCAATTTTTGAGAAGTCATTATTGGAATATCTTATTGAAATGGGTACAATTCAAAAACGTCTAAAACAAATTTAACATCAAACAGATCAAGAGAAAGAAGAGGAACCTGATTTTTAACTATGTATGTACCATAAAAATATATAAAATATTTCTATAAGAACATACATAAAATAAGACAATATTTTTGCCAGAATTTTTTGTTTAAATAAATGGAGAGATAGTACTCGAAGCTACAGTCCAACAGGTAGAAAATTATATATATAATTTCTATCAGATGGGCTGTAGCTATACAAAGTTATATGTATATATACAAAGATGTCAGTTTATTGGGGGATCCATTGTACGATAAAAAATGGGCATCTACAAGCGGCTGGGTTTCTCATCAGCATGAACAACCTTCTTTGTTGACGCCTCTTCGCTCGCTGATGCTGACTGTTTTCTTTCAACACTTTTCACGGTTATTATCACATTTAAATGCTAAAAATTTGATTTTTCTGCTACAAATTATTAAAAAAAAAAAAAAATGGGTCAAACAGAATAGACTTCATTTTTAAGAGATCCCCTATTTTATTTAATGGTAAAACTTTTTTTTCCGTAACTCATTGTATAGGGTTTAAAACGTACAGAAATTGTATCTTTATTGAAAGGCCTATGGAAATATGTCTGTTATGAGAGGTATTGAAACTTGTGCTGTGTATAGCAGGGTTGTTGGTTAATAGAAGTTTCACTGTACTTAATATGACAAACAAGTATGAAGGGAAATTGCAAAACTTGTTTAAAAAAAAAAATTAACATACCTCCATCGTTCATACTGTCCATGATCGTCATGAGCTTTTTCAGTCTTGCCATTGACTCTTGTTCCGATCCTTTAGATAAAAAGTCTTGACTAAAACCAGGGATCATCCCCTAAAACATGAAATTTAATAATCGCCCTAGCATTTTCAAAATAATACCAATAATAATAATAATAATATACCATGATTTGCGAAAAAGGCCCCATTTTCATTATGTTCTGGAACTGTTCATACATGTCTCTTAGAGTGAATTGGCCATGTTTAATTTTCTCAATGAGTTCCTCGTTATCGTCCAGCTTGAGCTCATTCACTCTGTCGAGTAATCCTTCAATATCACCCATGCCAAGGAGTTTAGAGACAAAGGGCTTCGTCTTAAAAGGCTCTAAGTCATCTATATGTTCCCCAGTACCAATGAAAATAATTGGTGACTTTGTTGCAGCAACACTAACAAAAACAAAAAGTAATAATTGAATTATACGTTACAATTATATGAATACATAGTAAAAACATTAAAAAATACACTTACGCTGAAAGCGCACCACCACCTTTTGCATGGCCATCTAACTTTGTAATAATGACAGCACCTACGTCTACTTTTTCTTTGAAAGCCTTTGCTTGCGCTTCACAAGCCTGACCAATGGTTGCATCCATAACAAAAATAATGTTATCCGGACTCTAGAAAAATATGAAAAAATAATAAAAGTGTATACAGAAAAAAAATTGATATAATCCTTACAATTGCATTTGAAACTTGTAACATTTCCTCGAAAAGAGATTCTTCCTGTTTATGCCTACCAGAGGTGTCAACAATAATGATTTCAAATCCGTCTTTTTTGAAAAGATTAACACCATCGTTCGCTATGACCACGGGATCGACTTCGGTATAGCTACCATAAAATGGTATCCTGGCTTTTGTTGCATTTTGCTTCAACTGGTCATAAGCACCAGCACGGAAAGTATCAGCACAGACCAAGCAGGCTTTCCAATTCTTTTTTAAATAATGGTAAGCAAGCTTTGTACACGTTGTTGTTTTACCGGAACCCTGGAGACCGACAAACATGATGACATTGGCTCTGCCTTTTGTCGGCTGAAACGCTTTCACACCGGGATCCACCAACTTTAAACAAATGAGACTTTAATTTGTTTCCAATCCTACGGTAAAATAATAAAAATAAATACCTTGATTAATTCCCTGTAAACAGCAGTCTGAATCATCCGTCGTTTATTAAGCCCACCGGCCATCTCCTCAAAGTCGATGACAGCTCTAACATTTTCTCTCAATGTTTTGACAAGTCTTATGTTCACATCTGCTTCTATAAGTGCTGCACACACCTCTTTCAGCATAGAATTCAAGACCTAAAATTAAAAATGTATGCAGATCATATTCAATTTTAAAATTATTCATCAATTTACAAAGTTGGTAAACAATTTTATGTTTAACAATACAACAATAAAATATTAAATTAAAAATTTAACAGTGCACTGATGCTGAACTGGCAATGGAACTGGACTTATTGGGTCTGGCTTCAGTCGCGGGCTTGTTGAACTACTTAACTATGGCATTGCACCGCCTTCTGTGTGGAAATCCAGACAGACCCAATAAGTGACTTAGTACTGCGTGTGTTCACAAACTTTTATATCACTGGGTTGCACTCACCAAATTAAAATAGTTAACATATTATTGCATCACTGTTAAAATGTTAAATTAAAAATCACTTTCAAAACTTGTGAAATTTTCCTACTGTGGTCTTTGCGGTGATGAAGCTGTTTACAGATGGTTATTATATCATCATGTTGCCAAAAGTGGAAGAATCAATAATAATAAACTGCTCAAAAATGAATAGGGATCTTTGTAATTTATTCTTATTCTATTAATTTTAAATTAACTGATATATTCTTGTTAGAAATGTGTGGTGTTTAGTGACCGTTAGTCAATGATTATTTGGAGATCGTAAGATGTGGTCTATGAGACATAGGTTTTAGAAAAACATTTTCTTTAGCATGCCAACATTTCGATCTTTATTGAGATCATCTCAGGGCCTGGGATTTATAAACATTGTTTAGATTTTACAAATACATGTAGGATGTGAAAAAAAATGAATTTATACAATGCTAGAAAATTTTAGATTAAAAAAAATATGTGGTGGTTAGTGACCATTAATCAATGATTATTCAGAGATCGTGAGATGTGGTCTGGTGTGATGTAGGCTTTAGAAAAACTGACCGCATCTCATGATCTCCGAATAATATTGACTAACAGTCACTTAACACCACACTTTTTTTTTAATCTAAAATTTTCTAGCATTGTATACATTTTTCTTTTTTTTTCACATCCTTCAGGTATTTGTAAAATCCCAGACCCTGAAGATGATCTCAATAAAGATCGAAACGTTGGCACAATAAAGAAAATGTTTTTCTAAAACTTATGTCACACCGACAGCATCTCACAACCTCCATTAATTATATTCTTGTTAGTTGGATAAAACAAAATAGAAAATATAAACCAAAAATGAACAAATGTTACATCCTCATTTTAATAATGGATTTGCTTAAGAAGAGTAAACATGATGCATGACTTTTTACAAACAAACACCGTTTGTTGATTTTTCTCCATTTTGATCCATTTAACCATGGACAGATATCATCTTGGACAAGAATTAGGTATGTACACAATATTATTGTGAGAATGAGTCGTCAAGGCAAGTGGATATCGCAGAGGCAGTTGGCATTTCCCAGAGCTTTAGCCCAATTCCAAGAGACTGGAAGTGCCAATAGGAGGCCTGGTAGTGGCTCTCAGTGCATTATGATACTAAGGGAGGACAGAAATATTGCCATCGCTGCAAGACAGAACCTTATCCATCGTGCCCGTCAATTTCAAAATTAAGTACAAGATGTTTTGGCAAAGCCAATCAACACACACAATTGTGAAAAGTTGGCCTCATATCGTATGCCCCTTCAAAACGTCCTGTAACAACAGCCCGCCACCAGAAACTCAGCAGAATATGGTGCATCAAGCACCTAGAAAAGAACACCAATTGAAATGCTGTTATGCTATTTATTTACTGATGAGCCGCGTTTCTGTCTGTTCTGGCAGGTGCCAAAAAATCTACCAAGAACAGGGTAGGCGTACAACGCCCCAATTCGTGCTCACTTCAGTGCAGTTTGGAGGAGGTAGCGTAATGGTCTGGGTTGAGATTTACCCTGGAGGACGAACCGGACTCATATTGTTAAAGGCAACCTCATCGCAGTCCGTTATGACTAAGAAATTATGGAGGAATACATCCCACAAACTGGGATTTTCGATTTCTGGATGATAATGCCAGACCTCATAAAGGTCGAGTGGTTCATCAATGTTTAGAAAATCCCATCTGCCCTTTCCACCATTGTCTCCAGACCCCAATCCCATTGGGCACATGTGGGATGTATTGCAGAGAAGGCTTTTCGATCATCATCAGCAGCCAGTTGAACTGCAATAACTGAGTGCAGCATTGCGACATTGAGGAATGAAATTCCTTATGTAATTAGTAACAACTTAATTAACAGTATGCCTAACAGGTGCACAGAGGTTCTTAGCTGACAGAAGCCATTATACACTATATTAATTGTTTAAAAAAATTATTGTCAATAAACAAAATTATGGAATTAAAACATTTTATTTTGTTATTTTTCAATCCCTTAATTACAATTTCCTTCAGTAAAAATCAATAATTTGTAATAAATTTTAATGTAATTCCTAGTAAAAATAAAAATGCTATGAAAGTAAATCCTACAAAAGTAGCAATATCCCTATTTATTTTTGAACAGTTTATATATGCTGTGGTCAATACATCTGATGAGAAAGCGATGACAAAATGTTTACAAATTTGATGAGCATATTATTGCAATGGTCTCAATATTGGCCGTTCATACAACTAAATGAGACTTGCAGGAATATGCTTTTAGCAGTTAACTAACATTTGACAATGTCAATAACGAAAATGTTTGGAAAACGATTCTAAAATTTGACAGGGTTGATTGAAAGGCCGAGTTGAAAATCTACTTTATTTACTCACCTCTTCATTAATAATGGTTGCATTGCTCAAGGATCGGAGAGCGGAAGTTATCTTCCGCCCTAAATCGGCTAACACCATCTCGAAGAATAGGTTTTTTTTGTTTTGTTTTTTTCAGGGGCGTACAACCAAATTCGATGCTCTATTCAAAAACTGGACAGTTTTGGATAAGTAAATCAGGAGAGTCTGCGTGTGAATGGAAGGTTAAAAACATCATCCGACAGCTGTTAACACGAGACAGATCGCCAACTCGGCGAATTCTGCGTTCTGACGGCAAAGCCCTCCTAGAGCGAGGATCGCACAGATGGTGACACACTAGCGGAACCTAGATCAACTTCACTTAACGAGATGCTTAAAACATTTCGATGTCATTTCTGAGAATTAAAAGAGGCAAAAAGCCCAATTTTGGCTTTTTCGCATTTTCTAATTTCAGGACTTTTTATATTTGTTAATTGTTTCTTTTGTTATAAACCTATTATATATTCAGCCTAGTCCAAGTATATAGAACATATAATAAAAGCAAAATATCAATAACTATGGAAAATGGCAAGACGAGGCAAAAGTCCAGTTTTGGCTTTTTCATATTTTCTAATTTCAGGACTTTTTACATTTGTTAATCGTTTCTTTTATTATAAATCGTTTATTCAGCCTAGTACAAGCGTATAGAACATATAATATGAGTAAAATATCAATAACTGTGGAAAATGGCAAAAACAAGGCAAAACGCCCAGTTTGCCAGGACTCTACGTTGTCAATAGTTTCTTTTGTTATAAACTGTTTATTTTGCCCAGTCCAAGTGAATAGAATGTATAATAATATATAAAATATCAATAAATGTGTAAAACAAAAAAAAGGGCAAAACCGCCAGTTTGCCAGATCTCCTTTACTATTCATTTCTTCTGTTATAAACTGTTTATTTTGCCTAGTCCAAGCAAATGGAATGTATAACAATACATAATATATCAATAAATGTGGAAAATAGAAAAAAGGGGCAAAACTGCTAGTTTGCTAAAATTCTTTACTTTGTTCGTTTCTTTTGTTGAAGAAATTTGAGTAAATTTACAGTCGGTGATTGGGTTATGTTAAAAGTTTAACGTATCTCAAAAAAAAAATTACAAGAGAAATACCAAGGCCCATTTGTAGCCAAAAATATAATAAATCAGGTCTGTTTTGTCCTAGAAGATATAAATGATCATCAAAAAATAAGAAAGGCACACAATATGCAACTTAAAGCATATAGTCAACCTATTATAAAGAAGCTACATTCTAATCCTCAATGTTTATTGCAAGTTACACAAATCCGTCTCTTTAAAATTTCATTTTGTTTTTAATTTCAAAATCTATATAAAAATAACTAAATAAATGCCTGCGATGGAGGATTCTATATTTGTTTTTGTTATCCCAAAAGTTTCGGGACCTATGTATGGCCTTGCAGATCCTCCTCTGGCCAGTCTATCTGATGGCCCATTTCCAAAATTCCTCTGTGTCCTCGCATCCAAGATATCATCAGGTTGTTTCCACAGGTTTTGGAGATTTTGGATGCATTCACTGACAAATTTTGATGTGATTCGTTTACATGCCAATGCTTTAATGGCTGCTTGGCTATCAGGTCTTATGAAGATTTTTTTGCCAGTGTAAGATTTTAAGATTTTCCAGGGCATAATCGTTGATGGCAAGTACTTCTGCTTGAAAGACCAAAGTATTCTTCCCTAATGAGTTTGATTGCTCATGTTTTAGCTTGTATTGAAAACGCCTGATCCGATTCCTTCGTTTGTTTTGGAGCCATCTGTATACCATATCATTATATTTGATGCTCTCCTGTGTTCTTATCTTCATTTATAGTCCGTTGAGACTTTATAGGACGTTATAAAGAATGTTTTCGGGATCATATAGTCAGTCCCCATTTCTAAGAATGGGTGTCTCATTTTGTTTATTTATGTCATTATGTTCAGTTCCTATCCAATTTTTGGAGCCTAAATGATCTTTTCCTAGCCTCTCCTTGTATAAATATTTCCAATTGAGATAAATTTAGCAGTTTCTAAAGCATTTGTAGGAGTTGTTCTTATGCCCATGCGATACATAGGTTTGCAAGTCTTTGAATGCTGCCTAATGCTGTAGTTACTTTTTGTCGAGCTTTGGTCCACCAGATTAATGATCCATGAGTTATTCTGGGTCTTATTACACCAGACTCAGTTACATTTAAATTAATTTTTTATTATACACAATATTACATGTCTACACTACAATATTATATCTCAAGTGTAATGCTTTAAAATAACTAGTTAACTAAGGTTTGGTGGTGTAATAAATGATGTCATAATAATCTAGATTAAATGTGAATATGATAGATTTTTAAGTTGATGTCGATTGAAGAAGATTTAAAAAAAAAACTTTAACTCAAATGCTAAAAGTTATGAGCCAAAACGATCGATACAAATTCCTTTCAACACTGGCGAGTGTCAATCGAGAATTCACGAGTCGAAAGATGCCCAGCCGGTTTGTAAAATGACAAAACATGTTTTGAGAAACCCGACCTCCTGGAAACCCGGCGCAAAATTTTGTGAATAATCCAAATTTTCAGTTATAAACGCCACAAAACCGGGTTTTTAGGCAGTGTTTTCCGTTTCGTCGTTTCGATTGGGATTTATTTATAAAAAAAACTATGTCGGTGGAACCTTCCTCGTATCCAGACAAGTTAAATCAATAATCAAAAGAAAATTGGAGGAATTATGAGAGACAGCAATTTTTAAAGGCAAGCGAAAAAGGCCCTATTGACTATGTCGGTAAGCGTTTGGAAAGACTGCGATTAAAACCCTTATCAACAAGTGTCAAATAATTGGATTTTTTACAGGAACCGGAAGACCTCCTTAAGGTAAGTCGACCCTGTAGCCTCTGACATTTATTATAATGTCAGTTTTTCAACAGTCGTTCCATCCGCCTGAAGAGGTCGAGAATGTAAGGGTCGTCGTCAGGGTCAGGCCGCTGAACAGGAAGGAAATTGAGTCCGGTTTCTCTTCGATCGTCACTGTGAATCGCATTAATGGCAGCATCAGTGTCAAGCATCCTCAGGGTGGGCCACAGGACCTGCCCAAAGTCTTCACCTATGATATCGTCTTTGATACCGACTCAAAACAGGTAAAGATTTTACTGCAAATTTTGTTGAGGCCTGTGAGGTGATGATCATCTCTGATCTGGTCTGCTCATTCAGGTTTTGCCATCTTCAATGGTTTGTCTGTGTTATTAAATCAGTTGTATCTTTTTTATTCGTTATTCATATGTTTTTCTGTTTTCCATGTCTGAATCTGAACGATTAACTGAAGTAACTGCATAGTTATATCTGGCGAAACATCTGGCATTTTATTTTTCCTTAGCTCCAGTCAATTCGTTCAGCCCTCTTAGCCTATTGAAAATGAAGAGCATTCATTTATTGCTGTTTATTGTTTTTGTCCTTTTTGAATTACTATATGTATATTCCTTCAAGTTTACATCTTATTCATACAATACAACCATTCCTAATTTCATAGTCCTCATTTTTATTATTATTATTTTATTTTATTTTATTTTTTTTTTGCATCACCTAACAAAAAGGAAAACTGGCACAACTGAAGGGAAAAAACAGATAAAAAGCATAGGCTAGTTAATGGACTACACTCAGTTTAGTTAATCATTCAGTTTATTCTTTTGATCTGGAATAAGACAAACTGACATTAATATTTATGAAGGACAAGACAGACCAACCACTGATGATAATGAAATGCTGACTGACAAAACCTGAGTAGGTAGACCACAATGATCACCGATCAAGTTTAAAATAAAACTTTTTTACTCCAATATAAGATTTTATTTATTTAAAAACAATATTTTTTGTGTTTTACATGGTTTTTTTTTTTTTTTTCATAAATGTTAGATGGATGTGTACAACGAGACAGCAAGGCCAATTGTCGAAAAGGTTCTTGCCGGATACAATGGTACGATATTTGCATACGGTCAAACAGGAACAGGGAAAACATTTACGATGGAAGGCGTCAATACTGAGCCTGAGCTACGAGGAGTCATCCCAAACTCTTTTGCCCATCTCTTTGGCCAAATTGCAAAATCGAACGAGGAGACGAAGTATGATTTTATGTAGTTTAATTTTTGTGTTGGTAGAGGGGGCGAGAAAAATTAATTTTAAATTACAAGACTGTATTTTTAAATATGTATTAAAATTTTATATTCAAGTGAAGAAACCATGGTGATTGTTTAGGTCTTTGATATTTTTTTGTGTTTATTGAAGCCTCAATTTTGTCTTTAATTAAAAATGGGACTTTTGGATAAAGAGCTGCGTACATGTGTTGCAATCGAACAAGGAATCCATGATTATTTTTACTTGAACAAAAAGTCCAAGTCAAAAGTTAAAAAAAATTGCAAACACGCACAGCAAAGGTTTATAGGATGTAAAACCAATAAATCTTTATATTTATCTTTAATTCTTCTTTTTCTTTGTAGGTTCCTTGTAAGGGTGTCATATTATGAGATATACAACGAAGAAGTTAGGGACCTGCTCACATCAAATTCCTCAGCAAGCCTTGAGGTTAAAGAAAGGCCAGATGTGGGCGTATTCATAAAAAACCTGACCACTTATGTTGTCAACAATGCAGACGACATGGACCGAATCATGACGATCGGTAACAAAAATCGTAAGTACAAAAATTAAAACAACTTATAGATCAAAGCTGGGGAATTTTTTACCCACATAGTCCAAGGTTTTTTACCAACATAGTCACAATCACCAATTATTTATATATTAAGTAGGATAGATAACATAATACAACTTAAGTCTTTGTTATTCCTTGGATAAATTGACAATAGGAATGCCAAAGTTTTTCAAACATAGTAATATTATTTATTTTTTTAAATAATTTGCCAACCCTTATTGTATTCAGGAGTAGTTGGTGCTACGGCGATGAACATAGAAAGTTCACGATCGCATGCCATTTTCACAATAACGGTCGAAACATCTGTCCTTGGCATCGACAATCAGCACCATGTCAAAATGGGCCGTCTGCACCTCGTCGATTTGGCTGTGAGTATTCTTTTTGAAACTGCATTCCAAATAGTTGTTTTATTTTGTCTAGCCCATGAGTATTACAATTCTTATCATTTTAAAAAAATAATCACCTGGTTTTATTATTATTATTTTATTTTTTTCTTCTTCAGCAATATGGATCAGTTCATTTGGCACTTTTAAAAGCTTTTTATCGCACTTCTAGGCTTCTTAAAGGAATACCTAGCTTAATGAGCAATGGATCCCTTTGGGTAAAGAATTTGCGAGGGATATATATTTATGATATACATTTTTAATTTATTTATTTATGGAATATGGATATAAGTATTTATTTATAAAGTATGCTTTATTATATTTCTTTATTAAATTGGGTAGAAATTAACCTTTTTAATAGTTTTATTTTATATTATATTTATTTATTTTGCAATAATACTTGTTGATCAAGAACTTGGTTAAGCTTATACAAAAGCATATATTAGTAGTTAAATGTATTTATGGATATTTAGGTATCCATGGCACCATTTCTAATTTTGGGGGGAGGGGACAATTTTTTGGAATCAATTTTTATTTTAAAAAAAATTAAAAAAATAAATAAAAAGTTAAATGTTCTACACACTACTTATATTGGCTTTGAATCTTTGGGACAATTCTCAAAAGATTGATTATGAAATAAAATTTTGAAGAGGTTGTTTTTGATTTTTGAGAATTTAAAATTTTGTTCAAAGGGGTCGGAGAGGCAGAGTAAGACAGGAGCCGTAGGCCAGCGTTTGAAAGAAGCCACAAAGATAAACCTGTCACTGTCCACACTTGGGAACGTCATATCTGCTCTCGTCGATGGCAAATGTACCCATATCCCATACCGGAATTCCAAGCTGACTCGGATCCTGCAGGATTCCCTGGGTGGGAATGCAAAAACGGTCATGGTTGGTTAATTTTTTATTTTATTTTTGTCGAAGTTCTTATCTAAAACTTTCTGAAATGTTTTAAAGTGTGCTACAATCGGTCCGGCGTCTTACAACTACGACGAGACGATTAGCACACTCAGATATGCGAGCAGGGCGAAGAATATCTGCAACAGGGCCAGAGTCAACGAGAACCCAAAGGATGCACTGCTCCGACATTTCCAGTCTCAGATACAAGAGCTTAAAAAACAACTTGCTCAACAAAGTGTAGACGGTAATAACTTTATTAATTGACCGAATGTTTTTAGTTAAAACACAAGTTTTTTAATTGTCTTTCAGGAGGTGAGGTAATAGCTGAAGAAGAGTCAACTGAAGAAGAAGAGCCCCCTGAGGATTTAAATAACATAAAAGAAAAAAACAAGGATTCAAAGTCTGACACCTCTTTTGACAAGGAAACATACAAATTGAAAGAAATTAATGACCTAGAACTTGAGAAAACAAAGTAAGCCTATTTTAAAATAAAAATAAAAACATGTAAGGGTAATGTGTAAAAGTTACCTAATACCCTTTTGTTTCTCCCAACCCCATTTATTAGAAGTGAAACGGTCGCACTAAAAGAGAAACTGGAAAATCTGGAGAGGAAGATACTAGTAGGTGGTGAAAACCTACTGGAGAAGGCCGAAGAGCAAGAACACCTTTTGGAATCTTCTGCAAAAGAATTGGAAGAGAGGGTGCGAAGAGAAATGGAATTGCGTCATCAGATTGAAGAGAGAGAAGTATATAATGTTTTATTTTCATGAATAATTTTTAAATTGTAAAGTACTGTTTCTTCATAGTCTTTAATCATTCGCATCATTCTCTGTTAGATCTACTTCATCATTCATTTATTTCATTGGATATCTGTATGTTTCTCTTGTACTAGTTTATTTTCTCTTTATGGAGTATATAAGCACAAACAAAATTAAAAGGTGAAAACTGATTAGTTTTATGTTTTACTTCTTTGCAATAATAATTAATATTGCATGACAGATTCAAAAAATGCCAATAGGTTTTTTAATGTTTTTTTGTAATGCATTTATTTTTTTTTTTTAATGTAGAAACAGATAATTTCTTTCTTTAAATTGAATTATTGTTGTAATTTTTTAATTTGGCATTCATCTTATATGCTAGGCTAAAATATATGTTCATTTTTTTCATTCTGAAAGGCTGAAAGAATCGACATAGAAGAGAAATACTCATCCCTACAAGAAGAAGCTGTAGGACTTACAAAGAAGATAAGGAAAGTCTCCGCGCTTCTCACATCAGCCAAAGACGAACTGAAGGACATCAGGCAGGAGAACCAGAGGGAGATGGAAGGGCTTTTGGACAATGTGCGGGCGCTCACTAAAGAGCTCGCCTTGCAGGAAACAATCGAGAAAATGTTCATACCAGACTCGTACCGGGTATGTTTCAACGTCCTTGCCATTTATTCTCGGTTTTTAATCTTTATGTTCTATTGTTATAGGAGCTAATAGAGAAGCATGCCTCTTGGAATGAAGACATTGGAGAATGGGAGCTGAAGTGTGTCGCTTATACTGGCAATAATATGAAAAAGGCTGATATGTCAGAACAAACAGCAGTTAAAGTTGCTGTAAGTATAAAATATCAACTTCATATCAAAAATTTCATTTTTTTTATAAAGTTTAAGTTAAAAAGAAACTTTGAGATGTTAAAAAACTGGTATGACAAGCCTCACCATTTTGATTTCTTAACCCTTAATCCCTTTTTTCCCCATCAGGGTTGAGTTGATCAATTCAACATCCGACGCATGCAGTTCCAAACCTTCATACCCACATTCATTCTTAAATGCATTCTTTTTCTTATTTACATACCGTTCATCCAATTAGGGTGGGGAGAACTCGATATTCTTCCGTCACCCTTTTCATCATTTTATAACTAACGTATTTGAGGGTTGATGGGTACTCAATACATTGTCATTGACCCTCTCATACCACACATTCACACTAATAAATACATTCACTCTCTACTTACGCTAGATTCACAAAAAACTATTATTACATTCAATTCTCGATAACTTGAATCTTTTCAAATCTCGCTCATTTTCCTATAGTGTTTGCCCACATTTTTACCTCTATAAGTCGAACATGTCAAAATGAAACCTCAATTAGACGAATTTTCTTGTAATCCCACGCAACCAGCACCATTTCTTTACCCGATGGGTGCTCCTCTCTCCCGCTTTTTTAACAGTCCTACACCAAACAGCACAAAGTGCAGTTCATGCTTATAGGTCTTGTTTATGTGTTCGTTCATTATTAAGACATTAAGTGTGGAGGAGAAATGCAATTATATTAAGGAGGTAGATGAAGGTGAGGTGCACCCAAAAGATTCGGCGAGCAGCAACCCTTCAACCTGTGTGAACTGCAGCAGAGTGCATGCTGCCCGCTCTGGTGTTGCTCTGCCCTTGAAGTGGAAAATTCTACAATTGAAGATCATTGAAAAGGTTTCCTACTGGGAGGCCAGGCAATCATTGGCAGTATCGCTCTGATATGTACTAAGCCTCTAAAAGAAAAAGATGAAGCTGTAACCATGAGATTCAAGCCACCACCAAATCATAGGTAGTTACCATCCCCCCTACAACCGTTGTGGGGGACAGGGAGGTTTCAACACCCCAAAAAGAGAGTAGAAAAAAAACGTCCTCCTCTCAAATATCACTAGCCGAGGATAAACCGGTGTTTTAGCCCTCACCACTGCCATCGGGTTGGTCCCCCATCAAGGGCCATATCTTGCAATTTCACCTTCAATGGAGGAACTGCTGGTATTCAGGGAAACCAGGGTTACAGACCAGGGGAATTGGAGGCCTCTGTTAACCCTACTTACATAGAAAAACAAAAAAGAGAGTGGAAGAAGGGAATGCCCCGACCCAACTCGCGGAAAGAGAACTAATCAAAAAGTGACAAAGGGCAGTGGAATTGCAAAGCAATTGGAAATAAGAGACATATGTTGCACTTCCTTGTCAGGGAAAATGTACTGATGGCATTTGTCCTCCAGGAGACCTGCATCTGCCCGGGGGTGCATTTTAAGTTGAGAGGGTACCAAACCTTGTCAAGGTAGGAAAAGCCCAATCTCTGGGTGGTAGGGCACATGAGGAATGGCTATATTAAAAAGAGAAAATATACATGTGCATGAGGTTAGACTGGATATGAACAGTCAGGCAGTCGCAGCCCAGATGGCAGCTCTGCCTCCCTTCCGCCAGACGTTCTATTGCACAGCAGTGAGGTTTCTGCCCTGACCAAGTCTTCCCCAGCCGATTAGGGTGTTGGGCGATTTCAATGCACAGTGAGGTTGCTGCCACCCAACAACATATGCCTCAGAATAGGGTCTCCTAGGGGCAGTAGCCCTAGGGTGTGTATAGTGTTAGTGCAGGTGTGTGTGTTTGTGTTGTGTGTGTCTAGTTGGAACTTGCATATTATTGACCATTATTTTTTAATTTATTTATAACACCTGGAATTTGCGCACTTTCATAGCTCATTCTTTTTAAATTCATGCAATTCCTTTTTCTTTTAAGGGGAGTATAAACGTGATGCCAGCTTTTCATTTCTATATTGACATGATGTTTGTGAGGAAATGCTTGCCTAATAAGAACATCGGAGTGCGACCAGTCAATGAGAACATATGTTTGGCATTTTTAAAAAATGTTGACAATTAAATAACCCACCCGTCCCACCATAATAATAAAAAAACTGTTAAAATGCTTCTTTTTTTCTTCTTTTTTTAAAATTGCATTTTAGTAGCATTAAGCATGTGGAATTAAGGAGTTTTTTCAACCCCCAGGAAGTGATACCAGATCTCTCGAAAGTCTACCTTTCGTACAGCACCGAGAGAGTGATGACTGCGAAGCAGAGAGTGAAATCCAGCAGGACATACTTGGGCAGCCACAGCTAGTCACAGAAGGTTGTCCATACACCCTAAACATCTAGTCACATTGCAAAAGACATTCCATAAGCGCTTTGATTTGATTTATGAGTTTTTTAATGTATATTATTTGTTGGATTAAATTTGTTTATTTTTGTTTTTGTTATTTTTGTAATTAAATTCTATATGGAAAGTACTTTAAGTAACACAATATTCGAAAAGCTGGCTTATTCTATTAATCAAATAAATTGGGAGATTATTTATGACATCACTATTAAACATTATTTTTTTACCCTCCTCGTACCAAACCAAAAGGTACAACATACAAAATACAAGAAGAAAGAAGTCCAAGAAATAAGAATAAAAAAAAACTTTTATCAAATTTTATTTATCAAATCATACTCACTCAGCCCATAAAGAAAAAAGAAAAGGTAACACAAGAAAGTGATAGAAACTTAAAGCTCTAAACCTTTTAGGGAATTTTTAATGTATGCGGAGTAATGAATTAGTAAGACATTATTTATTCAGTCCAGGAATCACAGTATTTGTACGTCAGATGGTGTTTTGCCATTTTCATGAGATGTGTGCATGTTTCTCTCGCTTAAATAAAATGAGATTGATTAAAAAATGCCAGAATGCCTTCTGCACAGGAGAATTGTGCTCAAATATGGCAGTGAATCCATTTCCAATAATAAAATTTCTGGAGGAAACGGGTAATTCTGTATATAAATATTATTGTACATATATTAAACTGGGTGATAGATTTTTTTAACTATTACATGAGAATGTATTTATGTCGGATGATTAAGCCGCTTGAGCCAAAATTTGGTGGTGGTATGATCAGCCTGATCCCAAAACCGCGAAGTGGTTGATCCTCATAGCTTGTCACAAAAATTATATTTTCGGCTCTGCACATATGTGTGAACAAGTACATTATGGGCAAAATTGAGCCTATATCAATCAATCAACCAATAGAGACAATGGAGTTACAAAATATCCAATTTATTTCAACAGGAACTATGGCTGGACATTTTAGAAGCAAGCAGCAAGAAAAAAGACATCATTCAACAACTCTCACTTACCCCATATTTCATTTTTACAAATAAGGTTCAAAATTGTCAAAAGATGCATTTCCAAAATGAAAACGAGACTAGTGAGGGGTGGCTGATGCCCCCTGAAATCAATCTCAATAAAAAGAAAATGACTAGTTCCTGAAAAGGAACACAAGAAATTTGAAAACTCAACAACCGAAAGAGAAGAGTAAAAAATTGTCATTAGAGTTTGTAAGATGAAAAAATAATTTTGCTTTCAAACTCTTGCTAATACTTTGATAATGAACTATAAGATTGAAATCTGAAATGTTGAAAAAAAAAAAAAAAAAAAAACTGAGTAGGAACTATCTTTTTAAAAAGATTTTGCTTTCATGTTGTCAATCTTATTTAAATTCACTAATTTCGTGGTCCGCTTGACCAATTAAATCATTACAATTAATTAAGGTTTTTAGTTGAGATGAAAAAAAGTCAATTGCACGAGAGGGATTCGAACCCACGACCTTCGGCTTGATACGCCGCTGCTCTACCACCTGATGCTTCACTACCGGTCACGATAGCTCAGGTGGTAGAGCAGCGGCGTATCAAGCCGAAGGTCGTGGGTTCGAATCCCTCTCGTGCCATTGACTTTTTTTCATCTCAACTAAAAACCTTAATTAATTGTAATCTTATTTAATTTTATCCTGCCAATTTATGACTTCCTCTGTGTCTGGATTTATTTAAATATTTTATATACCATGCTCTCTGTGTGGGATGAATGTTGTGATATGCAAATTTTTCAATTTACTTCATATCCTTTTTCACGCAAAATAAAACAATTTTGTACATACTAAATATTTTACTTGAATTTTATTAGGAATTTAATATTTAATTAATGCAATTGGAATGCATAGAATTACTTATTTTTGTGTTATTTATGCTTCTTTGTGAATTTTGTTTATTTTGAAAGGATGGACATGGAACTCCGTTCATGATGTCAGCAAGGGGCGTTAATCAGCAATCAGCAGTGCTGAGATGCTTCTTTGTCGAACCTCTCTTAGGTTATTAGTTACATTTTGTTTAGTTTTAATTTGACTTATCTATCAAAACTAGATAGATCTATTTAGTAAGTAAGGAGAACCTGTTTACTTTGGAAAATGCCAGTTTCCTTCATGAACTTTTAGGCGTACCCGGACAAAAAACAAATTATAGCATTTCAGCTTACAATTTGAACATGGAAATAAAGGAAATCAGCAATGACTCTTTGGTCTCAGAGTCAAAATCGAGCTCGCTCATTTCCAGGCTGGACTCTCGTCAGGATTCGGTTAATTTTATTTTAAAGTTTAATTTTAGGACGAAATCAATAACTTTTTTAATGCAACAGGTCAGCATGAACACGAGCCAAGCGACATCATTGAGTTTGTCGTCCAGCTCACCGTCTTCAAGCAACGCTGTATCAACTCTTGAGAACAAATCTAAGTCAAAAGTAAGTTGGATTTCATGAGATGATGTTCTGTTTGTTCATTGTATGGTGTGATGTTTCAATTAAACACTCAAATTTGTTAGCAGTTCTAAGGGCTTTTAATTATATTAAATTAAAATATACAGAATGTGGATAGTGTGATTTATTTTTGCAACAGAAGCTTTACAATATTAATTATTATTATTGTTATTATTTTAAGGGTGTATTTATGGACTTGCTCACAAACCACAAGATTTTGGACCATTTTATCTCGGGGAGTGATTTGTTGATGTCCTTTCCTTCAAAGATTTCAAATCTAGACCTAGCATACCTATTACCCTCTGTGAGGTAGTGCCTTGTCATTTCTTCTTTTATTTCGCAGAAGCGGCAAAAGGGATCTGGTAGGATACCCATTACAAAGAGATAACTTCTCAGGGGACAGTGGGTAGTGTCCCGTCAGAATACCTATCAGCCTCCTAATTCCCTTCCTTGAGATAGAGAATAGCCATTTCGATTCTGCTGGTTTGATCGCCTTAACAAACTCCTTCGATTGCCTGTGTCCGGGGGATAAATTCCACTCCCTAAGGAATTGTTTCATGCCCCAGTAATTGGTACTCTCTTTTGCTGGGTTCATAGAGTGAGGTAGTACCGGTTATGGCCCGACAAATGCAATATTAGAGCCTTCTTTGGCCAGGCCATCCACCTCTTCATTGCCATGGTGTCCTTTATGTATTGGTATCCAAATAAGGGTTGCCTAGTTTCACGCCCTAGCATCTAAACCTTCCATCTTGGTTATTATTTGGAGATCGTGAGGAGCGGTCTGGTGTGACGTAGTTTTAGAAAAACATTTTCTTTATCATGCCGACATTTTGATCTTTATTGAGATCATCTTCAGGGGGATTTATAAACATTGTTTAAATTTTACAAATACATGTAGGATGTGAAAAAAAAGTGAATTTATACAATTCTAGAAAAATTTTAGATTAAAAAATGAACTTATACAGTGATAGAAAATTTTAGATTTAAAAAGGATGAATATATACAATGCTAGAAAATGTAGCTTCAAAGTATTTGTACTTACTCAAAGTGCTTGTTTTCCGTGTAGATGTGTCATTCTACTTTTGAAGGGGTGGGGTAGGAAGTCGGGAATAGAAAGACATTTTTATATGAGGAGTCGGCTTCTTTGAGGCGAAAGGAGCCGACAATGTGAAAAACGTGGGTAATGGTTTGGCCTGATTATCCTTTCAGGATTATATAGACATGGATAATTAGGGAAAGGAAAGCCAAATTGTTGAAGAATTAGACTATGTAGTTTTATGTGTGGAATGTGATGGTTGTTTTATAAGTTATATGTTTTTGTTATATGCATGTAACTGATATTGAATTTGATTAATGATATTAGCGTAGCTGCGACTGAGTTTACATGTGTCCTTTCTGTAATTGTTGCTGGTTTATCTCTGATGTAAACCATTTCTAAAAAGTTACATTTATGTTTGTTTTGTTCTGTGTGTAATATTTTTGGATTGTTGAAGTCGAAATTGTGTTGGAGTTCAAAATGGTGGTAGTCAGTGCTGTAGGATTTTGTTTGGGGTTTTTCAATCATAGATATGTTTACTCTCTTATCCAGATATTGGGATTTAATACCGATGTAAGTTGCCGGACGATTTAAACAATTGATTTTGTAAATTAAGTCAGATTTATTGGGTTGTCCGGAAAATAATGCAGGATTTTGGTATTAAACAAAAAAAAAGAAACTAGTTACTTTAAAGCAATGTTCTTTAATCAAAATAATTTCCCATACTCTCAATACATTTCTCCCAACGTGTTGGTAACTTATTAATTCCGTCTGAGTAGAATTCAGAATTTTTAGAATTGATAAAGTCAATAAATGCATTTTCCAGTTCCGTTTGATTTTTGAATATTATGTGTTGTAAGTAGTGGTCCAGGTGTCTAAAAAAATGGTAGTCAGTAGGCGAGAGGTCCGGAGAGTAGGGTGGGTGAGGCAAAGTTTCATAGCCAAGCTCCAATAATTTTTGTGACGTTACACGTGACACATGTGGTCGAGCGTTGTCATGCAACAAAATGGGCCCTTTCCGATTGACCAAAGAGGGCTTCATTACTGCCAATTTCTGATGCATGGTATTAATTTGGTTACAGTATGATTCAGCATTGATGGTTTCGCCAGGATTTAAGAAGCTGTAGTGTATTAAACCAAATGAAGCCCACCATACCGTAACCATTACCTTTTTTTGATGAGTTGGGGGCTTTGGAAAATGTATTGGAGCTTCTCCTTTGTCGAGCCACTGTCCAGAATCCACTTTTCGTCACATGTAACAATTCTGGCCAGAAATGGGTCATTTTTGTTTCGACAAAGAAGTGATGCACAAACATCAAAGCGCTGATTTTTTTGGCGATCGTTTAATGAGTGTGGAACCCAATTTTCGAGTTTTTTCACTTTTCCAATCGCCTTGAGGTGGTCAGCGACGGTCGTTTTACTGACTTTGAGTTGCTCTGCAAGTTCTCGAACAGTTGTTTTGGGGTTTTCTTCCACCACTGATCGCAGAACATCATCATTAAGAGAGGAAGGCCTTCCACGACCTTCTTCATCTTCAAGGCTGAAATCTCCCTCCCGAAATTTTTTAAACCACCTTTGCACAGTGCACTCATTAACACAACCCTCGCCCCAGACTTGGTTAATGTTTCTAGCCGTTTGGGCTCCGCTTCGGCCGAGTTTAAACTCGTAAAAGAAAATCGTACGAAATTCTCGCTTTGACATTATAAGGATGACTGAATTATTTCCAAGTAGCGGAATGCTACAGAGGTAAACAAACAATATCATTTGGAAGAGGATTAATAAGTGTTGACATTCATACAAATGAGTAATCCTGTAAACGTAAACAGAATATTTTATATAGATTTTTTTTAATGAAAACTTAAAATCCTGCATTATTTTCCGGACAACCCAATATTTGTTACTGGTGTGAGATCTTTAATTTTGGAAAAAAGTGTGTGAATTGTTTTATAGTTTTTGAAAGCTATTTTAAAGTTTTTAGAAGAGAGAAATGTGTTTAATTTATGTGATAGGTCATGAATGAATGGCAAATACTTCGATTGAATCTAAAATTTCTAGCATTGTATAAATTCATTTTTTCACATCCTGCATGTATTTGTTAAATGTAAACAATTTCTATAAATCCCAGGCCCTGAAGATGATCTCAATAAAGATCGAAACGTTGGCACGATAAAGAAAATGTTTTTCTAAAACCTACGTCACACCAGACGGAATCTCACAATCTCCAAATAATCATTAACTAATGGTCACTAAACACCACACACTTCTATCTTATATTAGCTTTATCCCTTCTGAGTGCTATAAAGCTCTGACTCTAAACATTCACTCATAAACTAATCTATCCTATTGCCATCCAAAGTTTTCATTTATCCTTTTAAAATTCTTGCAAAAGACCAAATGCATGCAAAAATCCCATTTTAAATTATAATATTTATTCCTGATCTTTAATTAGAATTTTGAATTTTTGTTCCATAATTTAAACATTTCACACACGATTTCTGAATAATTTCACATAGGCTTGTATGGCCAATAACAATAATAATAATATGAGAGTTGCAAGATTTCTTTTTTCAGAAGTTTTTGAGGCTGCCGGAGCGGAAAAATGAAATAGAAGAAAATACAAATTGTGGGGTAATGAACTGCAGTGCCTAAAATCGCAATTTAAATAAGAAAAATAGCTCCCACACACACACACACACACACACAAAAAAAAAAGATAACGAAAAAGAATTGTTATTGTGTTTTGTTTCTTATTATTGTTATGTAGAATTAGTTTATGTATGATATTTGAATGGAAGAATAAAAGGACAAGGATGAGCCTATACTCATGCTGAGACTGTTGCTAGTCTGACTCCATTATTATTATTATTATTAGCCATACAAGCCTATGAGAAATGTTTAAATTATGGAACAAAAATTCACAATTCTAATCAAAAAAGAAACAGAAATAAATTTTATATGTAATTTAAAAAGGGATTTTTGCATACATTTGGCCTTCCAAATTAAGAATTTTAAAAGGAAAAAAAAAAGAAAAATTAAAAGCTTGGATGGCAATAGGATAAATTAGTTTACGAGTGAATGTTTGGAGTCAGAGCTTTATAGCACTCAGAAGAGATATAGCTAACCTAAGATAGAAGGTTTGGATGTTAGGGCGTGAAATGACCTTAGCCATTAAAACGCCCTTAAAAATTAATAATAATAATAATAATTGAGTCAAACTAGCAACAGTCTCAGCATGAGTATAGGCTCATCATTATCCTTTTATTCTTCCATTCAAATGTGATAAATAAACTAACGCTACTTAACAATAATAAGAAACAAAAACACAATACCACTTTTAAATCTCATTATAAATTCCAGTAAATGAGAAAGCTGAAAAATGCTCTTTGAAACAAATTCTGGGGACCCAGTAACTCCTTTAAATCACTCTGAAGGTTTAGCCCTCTGCCTAAAGGGTTGCAAAGTGCGACATGTCGACTAAAATATGTTTCACAGTCAGAATGATAGGTTCTCCACTTCGCATACATCGAGAACAAGTTGAAAGGTTGTTGCCTACTAAAAGTCCATTGTGGATTAGCCTGATATGACTTACCATTTCCCAAATTTTTATACAATTGGATGTTCTTCGCCCTTCTTCACTCTAATATATTATATTAGAGTAAATTATTTTGTAAATGTTTACTCATGAATTTTTTCATCCATGAAAGTACAAAATATCCATATAATTGTACAAATCAAATTATAATTTCATTTATTATCTCATTATAAGACAAACGTAAAATTCATAAATAAAATAGGCCAAAATGGAAGAAAGGTAGACCAAGATTATTGTGAACAAGCAATATACAGGTCCATTATCCCGCAGACCTGATGAAGAAAACTCACATTACAATTGTGAGTATCATTAACAATTCAATTTTGTTACGGATTTTTTTGAGATCTGCTCGTTGATCATCCACTCTGAACTATTTTGCTGATGGTATCAGTTATTTGGATTATTAGATTTGTGTACAAAATATGCAGGGTATTTTGCTTTGTAACATCAGTGTTTGCTGGGGGATGGTTAGGGTGTAAAGGGTACAGTGATTGATTCTTGATGACATTTCCACAATTACCAACAAGATATTCTTTGTAACATTATTTTATTGCTTTTTATAACAGGTGGGTAATTGGCTTGTGTTAAAGCTTAAACTACAAAACTTATCCATAGTTGCATCAAATGTCAGAGATATATGCTGCGTGAGATAAGTTGCTGCATTAGTTTTCTCTTTTCTTTTTGTTATTATATATTGTTATAGAAATAATCTGTAAACTGGAAGTCTTAATACACAAAATTAAAAGAAATACAATAAGTGAAAGAACAATAACAAAAATGATAAATTTTGTAAATCATAATATAATATTGCTCAAGTTAATAAGTTTCTCTTTGTACCTCACTTTTCTAATGCAGATAAGCAGAAATAGTAAATTTATGTGTTCCTGGTTGTTTTTACATGTAAATAAAATCAAATCTTGAATATTTTTAAATATTTACTACAATTAGAAATTTGGGACTCACATTCAAAATGAAAGAATTCATTTATTTTGAAGGTAGGATTCCTCCTGGCCAAACCTACTAATTTGTCTGAAAATATGATTGAAGTTTGAATTTAATGGTTTCTCAATGTCAAGTGAATGATTAGCCAGGGTGTATTTTATACTGCGCCCTTTAAGAGATATTGTAGTAAATGTCAAGTGAAAGAGTGATTTTTCTTTTTTTTTTTAAATTAGTTGTAAACAGAACTCAAAATAAAAGTTGGATCATTCCATCCTCTTCCTTTGCGGAAACCATTTGTTCATCGGGGAGTATTATATTTGTCTAAACTATTGTCTAAACCCAGGTTTTAAAGTTAAAATTCCAGTAAAAAATGTAGCTATATTATTTAATAAGGCAATTCCTCTATAGTTGTTTGCATCCTTCGGCTCCTCAGAGTGATTAAATGTGACAACAAATGGGAGTATACTGGAGGGACTTGGTGGGAACCTCGCCATTCTCATATCTTGCAATTTTACCAGCTTTCTTTAGTACCTTAAAAAGGGTATATTTTCTCTCATTTATGATAATGTTTCCTTGAGATTTAGGGTCAGTAATATCAATCTTAAGTTGTTTTGTTTGGCTTTCTGTAAAATTGTTTTATCTATGTTGTTAAAAAATTCCAAGAGCGAATTCCTTCTAGTCTGGCTGTAGATAGTTTTAAATTGATTATCTCTTAATTCAAAATCTATTCTTTGGGATATTTTAGAGATGTCAGCTAGCTTTGCACCTTCAGAGATGCAAACGTAGACAATTTTTGCTCTATTTGTAAAATGGTGTGGTGAGAGATCAGCGAGGCCTGCATTTAGTTTAACTCCATCCTTAGTAGCGAATTATCAAATTTAATCTTATTGTAGTGGAAAGATCTGTTTCTCTCTCAGTAAACGTTTGGTTGACTTCGTTTTTCAGATCAATTAATTCTGTTTGTATTCATATCTCATAAAATGACTTCTAGTTTCGGGAATACAAGAGTGGTGAAGTCTGGACCCCACCAGGTCTCTCTAGTGCCCTCATACTTGTGACATTTACACCCTCTGAGAAGCCACTCAATTTGGTCTTGACTTTGGAAGAAGGAAAATTCTTGAAAGGCTTGTCCAATGATTCTTATCAGTAAGGTTCCAAAATAACCAGGAAAAAATTACCGGAATTGGAAAACTTAAGTACGAACTTAATTTCCCTGATACCAGTAATAAAGGTATTCCTAGTGTCTAGACAAAAAAGAACAAAATTCACACTTTTAACCACTTTTTATAATAATCAATCAGAGTGATGTTAACTGTGCAACGACTCAAAGCCAACATTTCTTTTCTTTTTTATCAAAATAAATTTGCTTGTGCTTTAAGCTTTAAATCAATTTTGAAGTATAAAACACCTTAGTATCGTCAAATGTCTAAGTTATAAGTAGGTGAAGTTACAGACTCCTTTTATTGATTTTAGCGTATTTCAAACATGAACAATATTTTCTTGCTAGTTTTATTCTTTTGTTTTATTTATTTATTTATTTTTTAATGTGTACACCGTAGTGTTAGTTTTATATCAACATTACAATAATATTTGCTGTTCTGAATGTGTGTGGAACTAGTTCAAGACTGATGATTTTGAATTTATAATTTCATTACAATGATAATTCATTTGGAGGACTTTAATCATTTTAGTTTTAATAAAAATATTTCTGTCGGAAGAGGAATTTCCCATCTAGATTATTTATCTGAGTCCAAACATTATTAATATTTGTTCAAAATATAGGCTTTTTTCCTTTAGTACAAAGCTTAAATATTAATTAACTGCAAATTTGATTTGATTGTTTAAAAAAAGTAACTTGTGAGATATGGGTTTAAATTAAATTGCAAAGGTAAATAATTAATCAAAGGTCAAAAAAATAAAAAATAATAAAAAGTATTAATTATAATTGATTTAGTTAATAGAAAATTCACTGATACTATTGAGAAACACTTTTATTTTATTTATTAAATCAATCAATCAAAATTGATGGTGGAAAGTTTTATTGAAAATTGCTTAAAATTCTAAAGAACTGCCTGGTTTTTACAAAGAACCATATTACTTCTTTGAGTAATATTTGCCTACATAGCAATTGGTGAAAATTTACAAAAGAGTTTATTCTTAAGAATAGGTAGAGATGAGTTCAAACTCAGAATCTGATGATAATTGGGGAATTAAACGGCCAATTAACAATTTTTATACCAAAAGAAAAAACAGTTAATAAATGAAAATGCTAAAAAAAAAGAAAATCTCATGGGTAACATTGTAAATTAAGGCTAAGATGGAATATATAAAGAATACATTTAATTCATTCCTTTAGGTACTAGAGGTCTTCTATTATAATTATGGTTTTATTTTTCCTACTACTTCCAGCAGATTGATTAATTTTTCATTTTAGAGCAGTGGTGGTGGAACTTTAGTTGCACCAGCTGGACTCGAGGTTGGAAGTTCTTCTCCCAGGCCTGAAGATCCACCACTTTTACCAGGTGAGCATACCCAAGGGACAGCAAAGGATGTGACTTATCTTTGCCCCTACAATGGCCCCATTCGTGGTCTTTTGTGTGTTACAAACTACAAACTGCACTTCCGGAGTGTAGATAGGGACCCACCGTACATCCTTGAAGTTCCGTTAGGAGTCGTAAGTGTGATATGTTGTTAAGATTTTGTTTCTTCAATTTTGTTTAGTTTAATTTAGCCCAATTGTGTTTTTTAAGGTAAGCCGAGTTGAGAAAGTTGGTGGGCAGTCGAGCCGTGGCGAAAATTCCTATGGAATCGAACTTTTCTGTAAAGACATGAGGAATCTACGTTTCGGACATAAACAGGTTTAATAATTTTACTCTGTTTTATAACATTCAAATATTTTATTTGGCCAATTTTGATTCAGGAAAATCATTCAAGAAGAATTGTGTTCGAGAAACTGCAGCAATACGCATTCCCAACGTCTCACAGCCTTCCTCTTTTTGCCTTTGAGTACAGTGAAACTTTTCCAGAGAATGGATGGGCTGTTTATGAAGTCATGGCTGAATTTAGAAGAATGGTAAACAATGCTTTGACAATAATATATGTCAGAGAGTCGATCATTCGTCAGGACTGGTGTTGTTCTGATTCCGTCATTGTGGTGATATTAAAATAAACCAGGTCTTCCAGTGGACACTCCAGATCCTGTACACTCCATAAAAATGTAACAAAAATCTCTGTGATCAACTGACCAGTGCCACTCAACTACTTGCAGACTAGTCCGCACTTGTATCAACCAGTGATTTGTGACTACTGTTTTTGTAGCATAGGGGTGGGGTATCTTCATACAAACCTTTATACTTACTATACCTCCTACGAGGGGCTTTCTTTTCCTGGGCAGCTACTACCCTCTGGGTTCCCTAATTTGCTTTCCTTGAGCTTTACTTTGGATTCTCAAGTGTGCAGGGAAGGCCCAAAATGTTGCTTCAACTTTTACATATCCTCATTTTAATTGTTCAATATATTTAATACAATAATCTTTTTTTAATTAATTAGTTACATAATTAATTAGCTATACAAAGAAATAATCTTATCACGTTTTTCAATAACCCATAATTATTGAGCCTGTAGGGATTTCCTAAAAGAATATAAAACAGTTACGATTATCATAAAACATCATACCATTAAATCTCAATTTTCTGATTAACAAATCTTTTAAAGCAAGTTATTCTTCATGAAAAGATGTTTTCTTGAAAAAATAGTCTTCTCACAACATATTTATTTATATTTTTTAAATTAACTTTTTAAAAGGGTGTGCCAAATGACATGTGGAGGATAACAAAGATAAATGACACGTATGAAATCGCAGACTCATACCCAGCAGTATGGGGGGTGCCAGCTGCTGCTACTGACGACGATCTTCGGGCAGTTGCGGCTTTCAGGAGTAGGGGCCGCCTTCCAGTTCTATCGTGGATTCACCCTGACAGTCAGGCTACACTCACACGTTGCTCTCAACCGCTTGTTGGTGTGAGTGGAAAGAGGTCAAGGGACGATGAGAAATATATTCAACTCATCATGGACGCCAATGCACAGTCGCACAAATTGTTCATCTGTGACGCCAGACCAAGGTTCATTATTATTTCTTACAAAGTCAATTTTTAATAGTTTTTTTTTTTGTGTGTGTGTAAATTTTATTTATATTTAGTACAAATGCCATCGCTAACAAGGCAAAAGGAGGCGGATATGAACCAGAAGAATCTTATCCTAATACAGACGTCTTTTTCTTTGATGTTCACAACATTCACGTTATGAGAGAATCATTGCGGAAATTAAAAGGTGTTATTTTTTAAAATTTAATTTAATTTTTTTTTTGCTATTACATTTAAATCTTTATTTATAAATTTATTTTGACATTAATTGTACCAAATTTTATTCTTTTTTATTGCTCAAGGGGGCCCAAACCCCCTAAATAAAATTTATGATTATTTAGGATCGTGAGATGCAGTCTGGTATGATGTAGGTTAAAAAAACATGAAAATCCTTTCATCTCAAAGAAGCCGACTTCTCTTAGAAAAACCAATTTCTATCCTTACCACCTTCCCCATTTCTTCAAAATCAAACATATAAACAAAACAAAAAATAAAATCTCACAACACTCTTAATGAAACACAATATTGACACGACTACACAGAAAAACACACACACCTTGGTGGGTACAAATAATTTGATAAAACCTTAAATTTTCTATTATGTGTACATCATTTTATAAATTCCCATTCATATGTTATACGTATTTGTATAATTTAAACAATCCCAGGCCCTGAAGTTGATCTCAATAAAGATCAAAGTGTTGGCATGATAAAGAAAATGTTTTCCTAACCTAAGTCACACCGTCTGTGCCTTTTTGTTTGCCGCTCCTAAGCCATATCTGGCTCTTTGCAGCTAACCTAAGTCACACCAGGGGACCGCAGTAGCCAAGTGGTTAAGGCATCAGACTCTCGGCTAGTAGATCCCGCAGTCGTGGGTTCGATCCCCACTGTCGCCTCTGAACTTTTTTCTGACGCCTAAGGGGACCGGTGGCCGCAATTGAAAGAAATTGACACGGCACTCATCAATGGAAGAGGCGGGATCGGATCTCAACGACCCTGAATTTGGTCCCAACCCCCTTAAAAAATGATTTTCTTTCATGGAAGAACACCGGTACAACGGGGGCTCAATTTCACATTTGTGTTGCGTGCCCTCCCTCAAAATATGGAGCCAGGGATAAAGTACAATAAGCTGTACAGCTCAGCTGAAGTGCTCAGGAGGGAACTCCTCCAGTCCCTGGTATCCATTGTAAAAAAAAAAGTCACACCAGATCGCATCTCACCATTTTTGAATAATCAGTAATTGACGGTCACTAAATATTACACAGAATAAAAGCTACATCCTTCTTTTTGTTTTTCTTCTTCTCCTTGAATTTGATTCATTTAAGAGAGACTTACATCAATGAATTTACTTACTTGAGAGACTTACTTAAATCAATTTTAAAACTGAAATCAACAAATTTAAACCACACTAAATTGAATCTAAAGACTTAGAAGCATTAATGCAAAATTAAATGTTTTCCAAGTTGAACTTTGGTTGTTATGTTAAATTTATCAAGATATAAATTGGTATTATCAGAAGACATTTGAAGTAATTTTTAAATGGTTTTAGAATTGTGCTTTCCGAACATAGAAGAGTCGAAATGGTTCTCAGGACTCGAGTCAACGTGTTGGCTCAAACATACCAAATGTATATTGGCTGGAGCGTGCCGGATAGTAGATAAAATTGAAACTCATAAGACTTCAGTGTTGGTGCACTGTTCAGACGGCTGGGACAGAACAGCTCAGGTATGCAGTAAATAAAATAAATAAAAATTTATTCATTTAAATTAATGTATTTGTTTTACAGTTTACCGCACTTTCGATGCTACTGCTTGACCCGTATTATCGAACGATCAAAGGTTTCGAAGTGTTGATTGAAAAAGAATGGATTAGTTTTGGGCATAAGTTTCAACACGTAAGCCACTGTTTAATTGTTGTTTTAAAATGTTTGTTTTTATTTTGTTTAATTTTTTTTAGAGAATAGGACACGGTGATCATAATCACTCGGATGCAGATAGATCACCAGTTTTCTTACAATTTATCGACTGTGTCTGGCAAGTGACACAACAGTTCCCAAACGCGTTTGAATTCAACGATTATTTCCTTTTAACGATTCTTGACCATCTTTATTCATGCCGTTTTGGAACATTTCTTTTTGACATGTAACATTTATATACATTTTTAGAAATAATTTAGTTACAAATAATTGTATAAATATTAATTTATAGGGAAAAAGAAAGGCTGGCAGAGGATGTGAAAATGAAAACTGTTTCACTCTGGTCGTACACAAACAGCAATCTTGATTTGTACAAAAATCCTTTGTATTATGCACAGCAGCAAGTCCTCCTGCCTATAGCGAGCATGAGACACATTAAACTCTGGCTTGGGCTTTATTGCAGATGGAACCCTGCTATGAGACCACAGGTTATGTCAGAATTTTAAAATTATACTTAAAAGTATGTTTATATCAAATTTCCCCATACAGGAGCCTGTTTATCAAAGAACAAGGGAGCTTCTCTCTATGAAAGAACAATTAGAAAAGATAGAAGAAGACTCGAAAAAAGAGCTTAAGAACAGGACGAACCTCGTTCGCAGCAACAACCTGAACGGGCAGACTAGGCTCAGCTCCCCACTGCACAGTTGAAAATTGAATTTTAAATGAACAGAGTGCAATAATTTAAATCATACCAAAATATTTTTCACCTGTTACGATGGACAATGTGTAAAATTTGACGCTATTTCATATGTTAAAAGATACAAAGTATTAGTTTAATCGTCTACACTGACAAAAAATGCTTATTTTTGTTTCGCTTAGTATTTTGTATAAATTTGATGATGGAATTTTTTATCCTGGCATTCTGCCCTTATTGTATAAAACAACTTTGCAAATATTATTGTTGTTCAGAGGTTAAATTGTTATGGATCAAAATAAAAATATTTTATTAATAAAAAGTTTTCTTTAATAAAAAGATAAAAATAAATTAAATTAAGATTAAAGAAAATATGTTTTGTTTTTCTTTAATTTATTTTGTGTAATGAAGTTATCAAATATTTTACTTGATTATTGGTGTGTGTTACAAACGTAGGAGTCAAGGTAATATCAAATCATGAGAAAAATAGTGAAAAGGTTTGGACAAACATTAAAAAAACTAATTTTACCATATCCTCATATTTCTTTCAGGTTAGACTCTCTTAAAGTCTTTTACTAAAGTTAAAGATAAAAGTAAATCATATTTATTAAATTTAATATTAAACTTTAATTAATACATATAAAAATGGACTAATGTAAGAGAAATATGCAAAGAAACACCAAACAATGAAAGTTTCTGGCTGAAAAATGAATAAAAAAAATAAGTGAACCACAGTTGACTAAATCATCAATTCGATGGATATCTGCTCATTATAACCATTTTCATTGGCTTAAGTCTGAACTATTCTAGACTACAGAACTTTTTTGTTTCAGTGTAACTAGAATCTAGAAAAAGGCTTCAGTACAAGAAAAACATGCAGACTTCAAGTGAATATGGAAAAATACCAAAACAGCTCACAGGGCTTCATAAGGCAAGAATGATCAGTCAGATTATCAACACAGAAGAACCTGTTGGTTTATTGCAATGGTCTCGTTTCTCTCAAGTCTGTCCATTTTGTAAGTTATATTAACCAAACTATTTGTAAGTTGACTTGGGCTATAGACTTCTAAGCTCAAATTCATCTTTTGTGTTACTGTAAAGAGAGAGTGGTATGACAAAAACTAGCAGGCATTCAAAATCACTAAAATGCTTTGGATTAAAAAATAAATTAACCACTAGTGGTTCAGGATGATTAAGGAAACAAATATTAAAAAACTAGTTCGCACTTTGTTAACTTTGGTAAGATCAAATTGTGTCCGTGTGTGATCACATGCAAAATCCAGTTGGTAAGTAGTGCATATTGATGATGGTATTACATTGGATGTAAGCCTTCATAATCAATATTTATTACATTCACATATAGTTAAGACGTAGAATTTTGTCATCAATTTATTATCATAAGATTACAGTAGTTTTTTTTAAAACAAAACAGCTTGTTAACTATTCATTCCTTGTTTTTAATGATAAAAATACTTGTTTTAAGTTGAGCAAATAAAGTAATCAGTTGATTTTTTGCTGTAAGATTTTAAATTAAACAATTTTTTCTAGGGTCTAAAATCCATTTGTGATAAAAATTATTTTTAAAACTGATATTGGCTTCTTATCTTTTGGCAAAAAATTCATTTTTCATATCTCTGTTTGTTGTAAAATAAAACAGAACAAACAAATAAAGCATTAAACTATAATAAAATAATATAGAAACGTATTTTAATATTTATGTTATTAATAAAATCAATATTTGGTATATATATTAGCAAGTTGGGTGACAGGAATGTGTTTTGTCCAGGGATGTGGTTGTCCTTGAGATCCAAGAATAAAAATCATTAACATTTTCAACAACAAAAAAGCGTCTAAGTTAATATCTAAGTCAAAAAAGCCATTTTCAACCCACTTTCTCTCTGATACTTTGACAATCGTATCAGACAAGCCATTAGATTGTGCTCCCATCCCAACTCTGGATATTAGGGGGTCAAATACTCAATGTTATCTGTTTGATTGAGTCAACAAGCAATCAGTGGTAAGGCTCAGTTAAGAGAGCCACACCAGTATTTTAGAGCTTTGCCTAAGGAGAGGGACAGAATCAGTAAGTTCCATTCACATTCACATTCGTCCGTTTCATCCACAGTAACTCTGAGTAATTAAAACATCTTCCTTCATTTAGATAAGATTACAGCTTATTCTTCCAATAAAATCAGTGATCAAATGATGAGATATTTCTTGTTTATTTGATATCAGAATTTTTAAAATTGTGTTTACATAATCACTTATAAAGCTGTTCTCTTGTTTGCTACAATCCATTGTGATATTTCATGCTAATACAATTTAACTCATGATATTTCAGTACTTGCATTGATATTTATTTATAGGGCTTGGATAAGGCAAAATGCTCAAGATTCTCAAAAATAAGGTAATCCTTTAATTAATAATTTTTTAATTTTTTTAATGGATGTAAAAATGTATTTATACATATCTACAAATGTAGAACACAAGTTAATTTTTTTCTTATGAATACTTCAGCTTAAAATATTAACTATCATTCAATCATAAAAATAAATAATATAAGAACAAATATGTATAAAATATTTATTTATTTTTTTTTTTTTTCAATTCCACACACTCATTTCTTTGGCAAACATTTCATACTTCAAGTAGATTTAAAATTCACAATTGTTTAGTAGCATGATGAATAGTTTTTTATTTTAATTACCTTTTTTAACACTAGCCAATATAGGTTTGATGAAAAGTATTATATGTGACATATAAGATGTAACAGTTTATGTTATTTACAGATTTATACAAAATTTAATACAATCCTGTGATAAATAAATAACAATAAAATAACAACCACGATTAAAAACAAAAGCTTTGAAATTTTTCTGAGATAATCTTTTTAGACAAATAGGAATCAAAGAATTAAATTGTGTTTAGGAACAAAGCTATTGTAATTATTTCATTTATTAAATGACACTTTCCTTTCCTCCCTCTTCCAAATAAACTGCTAGCTTAATGAGTACAAATGAGTTTATTTTAGATTGTGTTATTATTTAATTATTTGTTTGCTGCACTTGTTTTATCGACTATAAAACAATTGTTGATATTCCTTGTTTTCTTTGGCATAAACTCTTTGTTCAAAAAACAGTACAGCGTGCCGTTCAATAGACCAAACAGTTAACAGAATTTTGGTTGTAATGACTTATATAATGAATATATATNCAATGAAAAATATAACAATTTTAAAAATGCTGAGAAATTTTTTGCTGGTTGCTTTTTGCTATGACCGTAACATTTTAAATTAAAAATGAGATTTATTTATATAAATAAAATAAATAAAAACTGCATTGATGTAAATTGCTTATAAATATTAATTTAATAAAATTTGTTTAAAAAAAAAGATAGAATATTTTATGTTCTAAAGTAAACAATACTGTCATAAAAATTAAAACAATATTTTTGTAAAAATACATTGTTTTTTTTTAAACCAAAAAACCAACAATGTAAATATTTATTTAGAAATATTGATTTAAACTTAAATCTTTAATTATTAATCATATTTTTAGCTGAATTCTTTTGATTACCAATTGGCACAATGTTTATTTATTTAACATGTTTTTTGTATAAACTTTGATAAGGTTTTTGTTGTTTTGTTTTTCAAGCTGATATTCTTTAACTGGTGGCTTATTTTCAATGGGATAAACAGGAAACATTTAAAGGTCACTGTCAATGACAAAGCCAATCAAGCCCCACTATTATGCTGTATTTATTTGTAAAAAAATTCATATTTTTTTGACCTTGGATGTTGTTTATTTACAAATCAGTTCAACAACTTTTTCATTTATTTAATCTGAATTTTGACAATTTGAAGGTGATATAATTTTGACATTCTCAATCTTCTTTATTTATCTTATCAAATGGCTTTGAAAACTTATTTTTCTGGTAGTTAGCTAATTTTAGTCCTGGAGATAATTTGCAGATAATAAGAGAAATGGTATTTTTTGTATGGCTGTATATAGCCAATTTATCTAGGAAGTTTAGAAGCCAAAAGACCTAATTCACCGTGAAATGAACAGAATGAATCAAAATCAAAATGTGCTAATTATCTACAGTTTATTTTACCTCAGTCAATCTACAATAGGATTTAGAAAGGGAAATCAAATCTTTCATTTAGATAATTTAATTTAATATTTATACAATAATCAAAAAACAGAAAGATAAGCCCATTGTTAAAAAATTAAAATGTTACTAAAGATATGGTGAAAAGTTCTAAGGATATACTGGTCAAAGAATAGACAAAGACAAGTCAAAAATTAGTTTATTTGCTGAGCATTGTCATCTGAGAGAAAAATTAAATGATAACGTAAAACAAAATATTGTAAAATGAACAGCCTGTTCTCAGTAAATTTAACTTATGCTTCAGAGCAGGAGTTGTGAGCTCACAAATAGTTTTATACATATATAATATAATAATAATAATAATAAAATAAACAAAAAACAGATTTATTCAAAGTAGTGGTAGCTATATGCATTCCATTTATTTGACTATTGTGATTTTTGTAATTTTTTAAATAATTATTTTTTTAAACATATTAATTTTAAAAATTCTTTTCTTTAATTATCTATATTTAAAAAAATTAAATTTATCATAAGAGGAAAACTAATTTATATAAATTTTGTTTAAAACTGGCTGAAGAATATTTTGTAAAAGTTTAAATTTTCTATTGTATATTATTATTATATAACTTTTTTTTTACCAAATCATCAATATGAAACAAAGTTTAATTTATTGTCACAAATCATTCTCAAATATTTAACTTGTTTAGAAAAGGCTATAATCAGGCAATTTCAGTTAAATGAATTTACATAAGAATGTAATATTATATTTTCATTTGTTTTGATTTGAGATGCTAAATTGTATGATTTTAGTTTTAAGTGTATTTAAAAGTATGAAATTACTATCTAACCACGTTTTAATTACCATTATTTCATCATTAATATTTTTGTGTGGTGATTAGTGACCGTTAGTCGATGATTATTCAGAAATCGTGAGATGCGGTCTGGTAATCAACCAGACTTCTCATGATTTCTGAATAATCATTAATATTTTAACATCATTAATATAACATCATAATTCTTGCCAGAAAAAAGTATAACTGTAACATCAGTGAATCCCAATATTTTACCAGAAAGTTTTAGTTTATGTAAATCGTTAATGTAATTTAAAAATATTACAGGCTGTAAAACACTTCCTTGTAGAACACCACAGTTATTATAATTGGGATTGTTAAAAGTTTGGTTTATTTTAGTTTATTGAGACCTATTTAACAAAATAATCAAAATTAATGAAGTTACAAACTGATAATTCTTTAATATCAATATTGAAAAGTATTTCAAGCAATACTGCATGATTTACAGAATCAAATGCCTTTGAGATATCCAAGAACTTGATAACTTGTGAATTGAACTATAACTCTACTTTTATATATAAGAGATCTATATAAAATCAGAAGCCTCAAAAAGTGCATCTTCTGCAGATTTTCATGATTGAAATCTATATTGGTTTGGGGACAATTATTTTGTTATCAGAAAGAAAATCAACAATTGTTTTTTAAAATCTTTTTCCAAAATTTTACTTAGTGATGGTGTAAGGAAGATAGGCCTGTAATTATGAGCATCACTCTTTGAGCCCGGTTTATAAAAAGGGATTATAATAGATTTTTTTTTTAAATTCCATGAAGAAATGTCCAACTTTAAAAGATAAATAATAAATTGGGTTAGAGGAAGGAATATTATAGAAAAAAAATTTGATTAATTATACTGAAAGGTGTTTTTATCTTTGTAATCTATTTAACATACATAAAAGTTCTTGATGGAATATTGGTTTTAGCCAAGAAAAATTTAATATAGAAGAGTTTGAACAAGATAGTCTATCAATTTCATTATTTGATTTTAAATGAGTTGATTTAAAAATAATGCTGTTTTATAATTGGACCAACATTGGCAAAAAAATATTAAAGCAGTACTATTTCAGCCTTTTCTACTATAATTTTTCATTTATCGAATCAGCAATATTAATAGTTTGCTCATTGAAATTTCTTTTGTCATTAGTTACTTTTCTAATTAACTCCCAGACATTTTTAGTGTTAAGGCTATTTGATTCAATTTTGCCTTTATGGTAGTTATACTTTGCCTTTCTTATTATTTTATTTAAAGTATTTCTATATTTGGAGTAAAACAGCTTTAGTTTTTTATCGTTAGGGTATTTCACTATTTTTCAATGAATGAGTCCGGTTTTCTAATAGAAGTAACAATTCCTTTTGTAATCCATTCCTTAATTTTTGTAAATTACTTTTATGGCTTTACAAATATCATAGAGTTCTAAGAATATAATGGTCAAAGAATAGATTGAATTTTCTATTAGACAAAATCATTTGTATAACCTTTATAAAACAACAAAGTTCGTAAGGTTCAAAGAGTGAATTCTTGTTAATTAAATTATAAAATTACAATATTCAACATGGTAAAACATAAAAATGTGCTTTGGAATACAATAGTTGCAAGAGAGTTAAAAGAAGAGCGTTTAAATTAAAAAAATAATAAATTCAAACAGTTCACACCCACACAAACCTTCACACTCGATTAACTTGACAAACTGCATCCTTGCTGTAAAGCTGACGGTTGTTCTCTCTCTCAAAAGACACAACAGGCCATTATAACAACTGTGAAATGTTATGTGAAGTATGTTAATGAAAATGATTAGTCTGTATTGTAGTCTTGTTGGATAGCATTGTGCTTTTTACGTAAGATTATATCTGGCAGACTAAATCAGCAAAATAGATGGATTATGATAACAAATATCCAAGCTACATTTATAAAATTATTTCAAGGATTTAAACCTTTAATAATAGGTTCTAGGAGTTTAATTAACTCTACTGCAGATTTGAAAGAAAAAAAAAATGGCAGTCTTCTTAGCTATATTCATAATTATACATATATATTAAAAAAATAAAATAAAAATATATATAATAATTAATTGTTAATTATGTATTATATAATTTTTGTTTTGTTTTAGGCGGGCCTGAGGCCATTAACACATAGTGATATTATTTCAAAACATTTTCCAGCACTTTCGTTTGTAAATTACAATTCAACAGATGTAAGGGCAACTGCGCCATTGCCCGACAGCGCAGATGTAGTCATCATAGGTACAATCTTTTAATAAATTAAATTAATATTAAACAGTTGATGATGTATATAAATATGATATTTGTATTAGGTGGAGGAAGCGCAGGGTGTAACACACTTTACCAACTTTCAAAGCGTGGTTTGAAGGCAGTTCTACTTGAAAGAGCACAGGTAATTTTTTTGTCTAAAGAAAATTTAAGATCTAAGATGGTATTTATGAAAATATGTAGGTAACTGCTGGGGAGACATGGCACAGCGCCGGACTCATAATGCAGATGCGAGCCAACGATATTGAGATTCAACTTAGATCGACAACCAAGAACCTTCTGGCCAGCTTGCAAGAAGAGACTGGAATCGACCCCGGATGGCACAACAATGGAGGTCTGTACATAGCACGTTCCAAGATCAGACTCGACGAGTACAAGCGAATGAGCACCCTAGCTAAAAATTTTGGAATTGAAACATCCATACTTACTCCCGATGAGACGAAAGACCTCTTCCCTCTCATTGACAAAGAGAAAGTTTTTGGATCACTTTATTGTCCGAGTGATGGGGTTGTTGACCCAACAGCATATTGCAAAGCACTAACAACTGCTGCAATAAACCATGGCGGTCAAGTAAGTCCAATTAAACAAATATCTATATTTTTTAATTATATTTGCTCTTACAGGTCATAGAACATTGTCCTGTTACAAAAATAATAATAGGAAAAAGTCAATATGGTTACAAACAAGTTGAAGGTGTTGTTACAAATGATGGTGTAGTAAAAACAAAATATCTTGTAAATTCAACAGGTATTTTTATTTTTTCAATTTAAATTAAAGAAATTTAATGTAATGGAAAATTAAAGGAGCTTGGGCTGGAGAGCTTGCTCAGATGGCAGGTCTTCAACTGCCAATTGTTTCACTCAAGCATGCTTATGTGGTCAGTAATCCTATGTCTTCGGTGGTTGGACTTCCGAACGTTAGGGATTCTGATGGAAGGATTTACTTTCGTGTAAAAGGCGATACGCTTTGTGTAGGCGGCTTTGAGCACAATCCAATCATGCTTGATAAGGTAGCGTTATAATAAAACAAACATCTGTCAAGTATGTTATATAGTTTAATTCATTCAGATGCCTGACGATCATGCGTTTGACTTGTTCGAGCTCGACTGGAAGGTCTTTGAAGCACACATGCAAAGGGCTTGTGAGATGGTGCCATGTTTTGAAACGGCAGGGATTAAGACAACAGTCTGCGGCTCGGAATCTTTCACACCAGATCTCAAGCCGTTGTTAGGTACATTTGAAGCTAAAATGCAATAATTGTTTTCTACTATGATTTATTTTATTGTTGAATAAAGGTGAAGATCCGAGGTTAAATGGATTCTTCCACAGCTGTGGCTACAATGCTGCTGGCGTTGTCTTAAGTGGGGGATGTGGTGAACAATTGGCCAACTGGATCATTAACGGACGCCCTGACTTTCACATGTACGCTTACGACATCAGGTATGACATAAAACTAATGCTTGTGTACTTTATTGTTTTAATAATTTTTTTTTTTTTTTTTCGAAGGAGGTTCACCCCAGATCAAATGGAAAGTAAAACATGGGTCTTGGAAAGGTGCCATGAAAGTTATGTGAACAACTACAAAGTTGTATTTCCACATGAACAACCTCTTGCTGGCCGCAATTTTAAACAGGATCCATTTTATGAGGTATTAAAATTTTTATAAATTCTTTATACGATTGATTCATGTTAGTTTTTGTTAGGAACTACTAGTTTCTGGAGCTGTGTATGAGCAGGCTCAGGGTTATGAGCGTCCTGGGTGGTTCAATCCACAAGGGTACACACCAATACCACCTTATGATTGGTATGGGGCATACGGATGTACAAGAAACTTAGACAAACGCTATTTCAATCTTCAAAAAGGTGACAAGACATTTGGATTCTCAAAGCATCACATGGCTGTGAGTATTGTTTATTGATAAAATTTACGAGAAACTAAACGATTCATGTTTCAGGTCGGGTCTGAATGCCTCGCCTGCAGGGAATCAGTCGTTGTTATGGACTTTTCGTATTTTTGCAAAATGTACATGGTCGGCCCTGATACGAGGAAAGCTGCTGACTGGATCTTCACAGCCGACACTAATGTCCCCATTGGTAAAGCTGTATATTCATGCTTGTTGAACAAACAGGGGAGGATCGAAGCGGATTTGCTTGTAACACCAATAACTTCTGGAAGCGGAACACAAGCTGATCCAATCTTCAAAGTAAATTAACATTTAAAAACTTGAATATAAAATAAAATCTTATGTGAACTTTAATTTTTTTAATTTTTATAGGGGCTTGGAATGTTTATCGTGGCTGGAGGTGCTTCAGCCTCACAGACGAAAGCTCATATATCGTCTGTAATCAGAGAAAAAGGATTCCGAGTCGATATCGCTGATTTATCCTCAAAAGTCGGTCTACTGGCTATCCAAGGACCTGCCAGGTATGAAAATGTTTAAATTAATGTATTCATGTCACATTTTTGCCTCCTTTCATAGCCGGGAGTTGCTCCAGACGTTAGTCGACTGTGATTTAAGCGAGCAAGCCTTCCCGTACGGTGCTTCAAAAATTATGAAGTTCGCCGGACACCAGGTCAGAGGTATGCGTACAAGCTTTGTTGGGGAACTCGGCTGGGAAATCCACGTCCCATCACACGCCGCACTCCCAGTTTACCTCGCGTTGTGGGAGCAAGGAAGGAAATTCGGATTAAGGCATGCTGGTTATCGTGCACTCTACTCTCTTCGATCAGAAAAAGGTATTCAATTCTGCATAGTTGTTTTGTCAAGGTTAAAAAAAAATTTTTTTTCTAAGGCTACACATTATGGAATTCTGATGTGAGAGTAGATGACAACCCTGTAGAGGCAGGGTTGCAACACACTTGCAGAAAAGAGGGCAATTACTTAGGAAAACAAGCTGTTGAGGAAGCCATGGCAAATGGAATTAAAAAGAAACTAGTCTTCATAACAGTCTCTGAGTAAGTTAAATTGCTAATTTTATCTAAGTTTAGTTATTAAGTATTAATTCAATTTTTTTAGCCACGTTCCGCTCTATGGTATGGAGACTATTTGGAGGAATGGAGAAGTGGTCGGATTTTTGCGTCGAGGAGAATACGGATATTCACTCGGCTGCAGCATCGCTCAGGGGTAAATACTTGTGGGAAAAAATTAATAAATAAAAAATACATTTTTCAATGCTTTATCGTTATATTTGAATAGATATGTACGAGACCCAAGCGGCCAGAACGTAACCAGCGATTTCATCAGATCCGGCAATTACGAAGTCGAAGTTTTAGGCGAGAGGCACAAAGCCAGTGTCCACCTGAAGAGTCCGTTCGACCCCGAGAACAAAAGACTGCAAGGAATATACGAGGATCCTTTACCTGTCCAGTCATTTGCTTAAGAATTTTTGTTTTTTAGTGAATAGTTTAGATGTTAAGATTTTTTCTTCTTTTTTTGTATATACAAAACAATTTATTTACAATTTTCACAAGCTTATAAAAAATGTTTGCTATCCTGCAATTGGATTAGCGTGGATTGTTACACTGTTGATTTTTTTATCATTTAACGGCTTATAAGTTTTTGCGTTAACTGGAAGTTTTTCTAGTTCATCTAAAACTTCAAACCCATCAATTACTCTGAAAAAAAAAAAAAAGTTCTTTGTATGATATTTTTTATTGTTTTTTTGATATAATGAAAAATTATTAGTTGTTAAAATAAAACATTTTTTATTCATTTTAAAAAGTAGTTAATTAAATAAATAATTACCTTCCAAAAACTGTATATTTTAAATCCAAATGAGGCTGGGCACCATAAGTAAAAAAAAACTGGCTGCCGTTCGTATTAGGACCATTATTAGCCATTGACAAAATACCCCGTACATTATGCTAAAAACAAAAACAAAAAACGATGTAAAAATCGTCCATTGAAAAATTACAAGAATTTTTGTTTTGAACATATCACCTTCAAATTCTCTTTGAATTCGTCTTTGAACTTTTTGCCCCAAATCGAACTGCCACCCTTGCCGGTATGCGTTGGGTCACCAGTCTGCACGATGAAACCCTTTATGTTTCTGTGGAAAATGCACCCGTTGTAATAATCGCTTGCACACAGGGCTAGGAAATTCTGTGTGGAAAAAAATGATTAAACTCAGATTAAAATTAAAATTCTGTTGCTGTAATAAATAGATTCTCGCTGGACTTGCCTCACATGATTTTGGACATGCTTCACAGAAAAGCTCGAGTTTTATGTCACCAAGATCAGTATGGAGAGTAACAGCCTGAAATGGTTTTAAAAAAACTGATATATCATACAACTCTTGCATTTAATCTGAGTGGCATTTTTAAAATACTAAAACAATATTTATTTTATTAAAGCTGTTTAATTTAGGATTATAAATTTGATTTATGATTCATTTTGATTAACTGTATGAAATTATGTAATTTTCAATAGTACTTGAGCTAGGAAAAAGGAAAAAATTTACATTTCTTTATCATAAAAACTATAATCTAGTTTCTGACATTACAACACATTATAAATAACTAAACAAATAACAGGTTTAAACTCCAACAATATAACAGAAATTGATTTATTTGCTTTATTTATGTAATATTGGGTTTTTTCGGGACACTGGTCAAAGTGAATAAGTAAAGAACATTCCATTTACACACAACCTAGTGCTTTATATATATAAATATATATTTTTATGCCTCCTAAAATTCAAGACTTTTTTTCTGCTATGCCCAAATCAAACCAAACAGGTTTTAATTCTGGTGAAAGGTCAAGATCATTGCCAAGACAAAGATCTCCAATTGTTAAGAGAACATCCACATTTCCTGATAAAGATTAAATAAAAATGTATAGCATTTAGTGAATCCCAGGCTCTGAAGATGATCTTAATAAAGATCGAAACGTTTGCATAATAAAGAAAATGCTTTTCTAAACCTATAAAATAAAAATGTCTGGACCAGAAGCTGTCCTTAAAAATCAATTGCCCATTTAACCATGCCTCACGGGGTCCTTGTCAAAATTCCTTGACAATAACTGCTTTCGGTTGTTTCAAAAGATGATCAAAGCCTTGAGAGAAGATAACAGAGTCCTTTGGAAAAAAATCTTCAATTGAGAGAAGAGATAAAGGCTCTAAGGGACGTCACTGTGAAACAGCAGAATATGGTCAAACTTGTGGACTTCAAGACTTGTCATTCCAACTTAATTTTTAGAGGCATTCATTCCTTACACTGAGGGCATTGTTTGTAATTTCTACAAAGAATTTCAGGATGTCCAGATCTCTGAAATCTCTGTTAGTCTCCTTTGAATTCAAGCAAGAAAAGGTGGAGGTTCTCAAATTCCACGATTCCATAATTTTCATCCAGCAGGACCTCGCTATGAGTATGAAGCAGAGAATATTTAAATTTTTGGCTTTATGAAGAGAAATTATAAGAAACCTAGTGCGAAAGTTGCTGTGTTGAGTGATGTCATTAGATTTGGGAGACTTTCTTTCTTTACGCTGGTGCCTTTCTACTGGTTTAAACCTTGGGTATTCTAATAGCTTGAAGAAATAATCAGCGCTACTGGGAGCCGATGGTTCTCCACTTGCTTCTACTTTGATGGATCTACTCCAACTCTTCTTTTACCTCGACCTTTAAGTCTATTTGATTTGATGCCGTCTGTCGTAAGATCAATAAATAATATGTAAATTTAAATTCTATTAAGTTTACGTCCTACAATGTCAATGGATTGCAGTCAAAGTTAAATGTCTCTTTGTTTTGTAAACTTGCTTAAGGATTTCAAAATTTTTATTTTATTGGAGACTTTCGTCATGGGACTTGAATCCTGTGGAAAATCTTTTGCCGATTATAAATTGTTTTGGGCGTGCCATGGAAGATACTATTTTTATAATTACAAAAACAATCAACAATAAAACTAAATTTGTTAGTCGCCAATGGTTCTTCCTGAAGTGCTCTGTCCTCTTCTCTCGACGATGTCATCCTTTAAAACGCTTAAAGAAGTAATTACTTCGCCCACCATGGCCACTTTACAAGTGGCTGAGAATCAAATCCTGATTACACATTTGAAAAATGGCAAAAAGGGAAAATTTTGAAAGGTTGTAGATTGGATTTGGTGTCCGTGTCAATTCAGGTCACGACAGCTTGAGTGGTTAGAGCATCAGCGTATCCTACTTGTGACACAACTTTTTCACCTCAACCAAGACTTTAGATAAAAAATATACTTAATCAAAATAATTAATATGGAAACTTACAACTGCTAAATATATAAGGATTAATTTGTTATTTTGTGTATATTAGAACAAGGTTACTTGAAATTAAATAAATATTGCATCAATTAAAATAATTTTGTATTACAACTTTGGCTGGTGATGAAGTCCAATATTTCATGGCTTGCACACTGGAAATATTTATTTGAAAGTATCCTCCTATCCTTAGACAACCTTTGTGACTGGTACAATTATTTTTCAATTCTTAACAGTCAAATTAAAAATCAACATCACGAAGAATGCCAGTCTTGTGTCCAAGCAACTACACATACAAAGAATAAATTTCTCCCACATTGTTCAACCTACATAACGACAATTTTGACTGTCTCTGTCTCAATGAGTTGTGATAGCTATTTAAGCTAAGAAGCGGGGGAACAGGATGTTTGAATTTAACCAAAACTTCCGAATTAACCTAGATACCAAAAAAGAATGGAACGAGAGGGAAACACCTCTTTTAAGAATGGCACCATCCTTTGGTAGACAGATAGATCTAGAACACAAGAAGGTACAGGGGCAGGAGTATTTGGACCTGGAACAAATACTCAGAACCCATGGGAAAATACACCAGTATCTTCCAAGTTGAGATTCATGCAATCGAAAGATGTACCCATCTCAACCTAAGTAAAGGGTACAAAAACAAGGATACAGCTATCATGTCAGATAGCCAAGCATCCATCAAAGCACTAAGCGCAAATATCATTAGTTAGAGGATGGTTCTGCAAAACCAAACTAAACATGCAGAACAAAGTCAGCCTCTGCTGGGTCCCAATACACATGGGAGTAGAAAGAACGAGAAAGCAGACACCCTTGCAAGAAAAGGGGCTGCTACACCGCTGATAGGACCTGAACCCACACTATTAACGAGTATTTCAGGGAGAAGGACAAAAAGAAAATGAAGGAACTATGGAATTCACTCATTGGACACAGACAATCCAAGAATTTTCTAACGGAAGAAAAGAAATTACAGAATGTGTCAAGGGAAGCAGGAATAAACTGCGAATCCTAATAGGATTCCTAACAGGACACTGCAAGTTAAACGGACACTTAAAGAAGATTGGAATAATTCAAAATGGCACATGCAGATTCTGCAAAGAGGCAGAAGAGACACCAACACATCTACTAACAAACTGTGGAGCTACACTAGCCGGCGGAGGAAATATTTTGGGATGTATAATGTGACCATAGAGAAATAGGACTCACCGATGTGCTTTAGGCAGAGCACAGGGGATACAATAGCTCTTAAAGGGCGCAGTATACTATACCCTGGAATTATATAAGCACATAATTATAAGCGAGGGCGAGGTTTTGCACTTAAACTCGGCTGTTTGGATTACAGGGGAATTTGTTCTTTGTGCTATCCGCTTTCCATTGAAACTGTATTCCATTTCTTGGCAGTGGTCCTCTCTGGGTGAGATTCAGTTATTGAGTGGCTCAAATATACGGTACTTAATTCATTACACTAGGCATGCATGGAATTACAGAGTTGTTCTTTCTCATTTTAACTGTTATTTCTCTTTTCTTTCCATTTATTTCCTAGGCTATTATTATCATCTCACTTTATTCTGTATTTTTTTTCTGATTGTTTATCCAACATCCTCTGGCAGATCCAAGATGTCCATAAATGTTTTGAAAGCACATTTGTCATTTTACTTAAATTCAATAAAGCATTAATATTATTAATTTTGTATCAGCCTGAGCCTTCTGGATTAAATATACAAATATACACTGTATTATTCTATTTTAAACAAGAGTTTTAAGCTTAATATTTCTCCGAGGTTTTACTTATAATTAAAAGGAATTTTCGCTATTAATTTTAAGAGAGACTTCGGTTTGTTCCTGTTTGAATAAATCCTGGCTTAGGATGGTGATTGAAACGATTTCTTCGACATTCTTCCACACCGTACCGATTTGACAGCACACAATTTTAAATTTTTTTTTTAACAAAGTGCCATTTAAAAATAAAAATTACGTACCATTTTTCCCCTTTTTTTTAATAAAAAACAAAAACAAAACAGATTGGGCTCGTGAATTGTTTTTGGGAAAAAATGTGGTTACAAAAGAGAAAGGCTCTTGTTTTCACGGTGCAAGAGCTTTCAAGATCACGGAATCCTAAAAACAGTATAAATCGTAAGAGTGAAATATAAAATTTACAGTGATTTTTAATGAAAAAGAAAAATAATCGCTAAAGGTTAAAATAAGGGGAAAGAAATAAAAGCAGAAAAGTCCTTGGAAGGAGAAGCGTTTTCCAGAGAGGGGCTCGTCCCTTTTCACGAAAGGAAGGAAATTACAAGAAATAGATCGTTTAAAATAATCAACCCAACGTCGAACAGTAAGAATTTTCCCAGTCGAGAGTCCGTCTCTGCCAGAAGGTCCGTAAAAAAAACAAAAAAAACAAAAAAAAACAAGACCATACAGATTTCGATACTGTTTTAATTCAGTTTCGACTGTTGTTAAAAAAACACATTTTTAATTTTTTGAAAAACCCCGTCTGAGCCCGTAAAAAAATCGCGGACTATTTTTTCGGTGAGAGGAGAAGGAAAAAGGCTTTGGAGCGAAAGGGAAGAAAATCGTGGGAAATTGTTTTTCGGGCAGTGTGTTTCTGTCGAGTGACGTCACCGTATTGATCCCGAGGAGGCGAAGAATCCTACGTCCCGTGAAAACGTCGTTCCGTGAATATCGCCATCTTGTTCTCGGGTGGTCGTTTAACTGCGGGACGAGTCCGAAAAACGTTGGCAGCCCGAGTCGTCCGTCCCGATTTTCGCCGAGAAGGAGTTTATATTTCTTCTTTTTACACCGTAGCCCAATCGAACGGACCTGAGGTAATTCCAGGCCGACAGGCCGTTTTCTTTTTTATAAAAACTTTTAATACTCGTTTTTACACCGACGTTCCGTCTCTCGGTTGCGAGAGGAAATTCGACCATCTTTCCGTCTCGACTAGGAAAATCTCTCTCCCTCGTGCTATACACCGTTTCACACGCTTCTTCATAACCCTCGTCCCATTTTACCACCCTCAAAACAGCTTAAACTTCCCTTAAAACACCAACAAAAAAATCATTTCTCCCATTTATTACCCGATTTTCTAGTGCACCCTTTCTCCCGACAATCCTCGGGACAAAGACCTCACGCTACCTCTTCGACCCAATCGTCCAACTTAAGACCGCAGTCGAATTTCCTCCCTTTGCCAAAAACAAAGAAAAAGGTGAACGCTTTGACTGCGTGCGGCCGAAAATGTTGCACGTTCTAACCAACAAAACCTTAAACAATTTGTAAACAAAGCGTACGCCTCGTTCGATTTTTAACTCAAACTCCGTCTCATTTTTAACCGGGACATTATTTTATAAATGTGATTAAAAAAAAATAACAAATATAAAAAAAAAATTACATCTACACAGCAACCTTCATTGCTTGGTGCATGTCATTTCACTTTTAAGTTCTGTCCTCGTGGAAAAACACTGTATAAATAAATAACTTAACCAATATGCCCATGAGGATTATTAGTGTCTTGATAGACTTGAGATTTTTAAAGCCATAACTGTGCTGTTTTATTCACTGCAGTCAAACATACAATTGTGTGATGATCTGGACTGGAGCCATTGCCCCTCCCTCGCATATCAACCCCAATCTGCTTCAATTTCGGGGGTGACAATTGTACATTAAGAGAAAAAAATCAAGCCTTTTAAACAACACATTTGTTTAATTTTTATCTTATTTTGCTGGATTAACATCATCAATATCTCGACAATGGGCCAGTAAAGAATTTTACCTTACCTCGGACCTTTATTTACCCTCAGCTAAGCTAAGACGTGTGGTTGCTAATAGTGAAGCTTAATTTCCTTTATTTTATGTTTTGCCTAAAGGTGGACATAAGGAATTCACCGAATCCCCACTAGTTGGGGATGGTTGTTCAGTTATTCATCGAGAAAAATATCCTGTACTCGTTGCACTCGGCTAATTGTCGGTTTCCTTGTCTGCTTCAAAGTGCCACGAATATTTGTGAAGTAGCAGAACACAAATCAACCACACATTTGGGAATCAACTGTACTAAACAGATAGCAGCTATAATTATCAATTTATACATGGTATTTAGTGACTCTCAATTAATGATTATTTAGAGATCATGAGAAGCAGTCTGGAGACATTGGCTACCCACCATTTTGAACAACACAACTTCGAATTCAACAATCCAAAAATATTAATCACAGAACAAAACAAACATAAACTTAACTTTTTGAAGAAATGTTTACGTCAACAGAAATAAACACAGCATCAATTACAGAACACATGTAAACTCAGTTGCAACTACGCTAATATAATTAATCAAATTCAATATCAGGAACATACATATAACACACAAAACGTAATACAACATATAAAACAATTATTGCACTCCACACATCAAACAATTCTACATAGTCTAATTCTTCAACATTTTGTCTCGCCTTTCCCTAATTATCCCCATCTATAATAATCCTGTAAGGCTAACCAGCCTGAATGGCAAACCATTACCCATTTTTCCCCCATTGATCGCTCCTTTCACCTCAAAAAAGACTACTTGTCAAAGAAAAATGGATTTCTATCCTGCTTCCTCCCCCAATCCTTCAAAATCCAACGTATATAAACAAAAAACATTAATATCTCCCTGGCACTCTCCACACGTCACACAGTAATGACTAATGACATCTACACAGAGAACACACATTTTGAGGGAGTACAAATACTTTGATTAAACCTAAAATTTCTATCGTATAAATTCATTTTCACAACTTATAATTTAAACAATTTTTATAAATCCCAGGCCCTGAAGATGATCTCAATAAAGATCGAAACGTTGGCACGATAAAGAAAATGTGTATCTAAACCTATATCACACCAGGCCGCATCTCATGATCTCCAAATAATCACTGCTATTTATTTTTCAAGAATAAACGATTCCTAACTAGTATAGGTAGGTGTATTAATGAAAGAACATCATAGCATTGTTTCTGTCGGTAAGAAATAGATTGGCTCAACATGTCTTGGAGTTCCTCGATCTGTACCAAGCTGAATCAACTATATAACGCTTCTCTTCCTAATCACCAAACCCGGAACGAGGTTTTTGCTGCATGGAAACGGATCAAAAGTAAGATGGGCAACATATTCTGTGACTGTGTTTGTAGCCATTACAAAAAAACATTAACTGCAGCTGCAGCAATGACAGTTTCACTGTTGTTCATCACGAATGGTAGTTTGGGATTTGTATGGCACTTGGCAAATACATATTCGCTGTTTCCATACAAAAGGGCTGGTTGTATGAACACCGCATGTGAGTATACATAGCCATATGGCAAATGCCAAGCAGATCATCTTGAGACAGCAAATGTTCGGCAACAATCGGCATTTGGCGAATACTGCGTGTCTGGAGACACGTAATATGTAGGTGTATTTGCTTATTTACTTGCTACAATCACATGCAAGTAAACATTCAATTGTGCATTATAACCCCTCCCAAAAAAAAAAAAAAATAAATAAAAGTATTTTCACTGAATTTCAAGGATTAACTCCATTAAATATCTCAAGGGCCAGTTGAGAAATATACTATTGTAAATGTAGATGCAATAATGTGAATAATATACTGTGCCCTTTGAGAGCTATTATGTCCCCCGTTCAGCACCTATAGCACACTAGTAAGTCCTACTTTCAGTGGTTGAATTTCTTCTATGGTTACATTGGCAGCAAGTGTGACCCCACGGTTTGTCAGTAGGTGTGTTGGTGTTTCCTCTGCTTCCACTGCAGAATCTGCACTTATCGTGTTGGATTATACCTATCTTACTCGTATGTCCATTCTTCAGTGCCCTGTTAAGAATTCCTGTTATGATTTGAAGTTGTTTGTTGCTTCCTTTAATGCATTCTGTTGCTTCTTTCCCTTCCAAAACTTTCTAGAAGGCTTTTAGATTGTGTTCAATGAGTGAATACTACTGTTTCCTTATTTTCATTTTGTCCTTTTGTCTAAAGGCAGCTCCAGACATGTGGAATACGCCGTTGAATATTAGCTAAGTCTTGCAATGCTCATCTTGGCATTGGCCAAATAGTGAGCCAATGTATGTATACATACGGGGTTTGTACAATCACCCAGCTGTTGTGGAAACAGCTAATACGTGTTTGCCAAGTGCCATGCAAGTCCTAAACTTCATGATGGAAAACAGTGAAACTGTCATTGCTGCACAACTTTTTTGTGTAATGGCTACAAATCTATTACTTAAAGAATAGAATTTGTGCACTTTGAAGCAGACAAGAAAACCGCCAATTAGCCGAGCGAGGCAAGAACCGAATATTGCTGCTTTGCAAATAACCTTAGCTCATCATTTGGCAAATTCCGCATGCCTAGAGCCACCTATATTTATTGATAGTGTGAATCCCTATGCTTATTTGCAATAAAGTAGTTTTCCTTGCAAGGGTGTTTGCTCTCTAATTTCCTTCTACTCCTACATATTCTGGGACCCAGCAGAGAGTAACTTTATTTTACATACTTAATTTACTAGTAATTTATTTAGCAGCATCTTCGAACTAATGATATTTGAGCATAGTTCTTTGATGTCTGCCTGGCTATCTGACATAATAGCTATATTCTTGGTTTTGTACCCTCGTTCAGGTTGAACTGAGTACATATATATATCTCAATTGCATGGACTTAGGCCTGTAAGATACTGGTGTACTTTCCCATGGGTTCGGAGTATTTGGTTCTTGACCCCCTGCCCTTGTACCTTCTTGCTTTCCAGATGCTTAGATCCATCGAAGTTTGCTTAGTATAACAATAAAAACAGTTAAACCATTTTTTAATTTTTTTACTGAATTCCTAGGATTAACATCAAATATCAACAATGGGCCATTTGAGAATTAAACCTTAGTTTGGTGCATTTATTGACCCTCAGCTATGCTAAATGGTTGCTAATAGTGAAGTGGTTTTAATTTGCTTTATTTTATGTTTCAAATAATGCTTAATCTGCTGCAGTGAAACATGTACACCAACATTCAATTGTGCATTATAACTCAAATACAGGAAAAAAGCTTAGGTGGTAAACACCAAAAGCAAATGTGCAGCCATTTTAAATTTACTGTACTTCAAATTTTGTATGAGTTAATAAATTATTTGTTAACAGATTTTTTTCTTTACCTCCAAATTACATGCAATAAATCCTTCATTGTCCAGGATAATGATGGGGTGTCCACAGAAAATCAAAAACCACAGATAATGGAATTTATTTTTGTAATGTATTAATTAAGGTTACATCGAAAAACTGTCAGGCCAAGTCTACACAAGCGCTCGAAATGCGGCGTTTGAAACTCCTCCTGCCTCTTATTGTTTTTAATGGTTTGAAACACATGATAGGAAACTCGAGGCCATTCTGAATATGCGTAAGAACAGCGGGTATCGGTGTAGTTAGTTTCAAAATGAACCCTCTTGAGGTAGGATGTGCTATGGGGATTTTACTGTTGAAGCAACTTATGAAAAAAAAAAATTAGGGGGCTTAAAGCCCTATTTGTTGAAATAAATTAATAAAATAGTACACATTAATCATGACATATGAGTAACTAATATTTGAATTGCCGATATGAACGTCAGTGTAGTTTGAACAACGTTCCAAGCCTCTTACCATGTTAGAAACACTAACGCTGGGCATCCGCCAACATTTTATGCGTTGGAAACACTAGTCTACACTGCATCCGAGTTTTTCTGTACAAATGCATTGAAAAGTTCTGTTTTGAGAGGTGAACGCTGCATTTTGAGCACTAGAATAGGCCTAACATGAATAAAGCAAAACTAAAGGCCTGTGACAGATTCGATTGCAAAAATACCCCCCAACACCCTACAACAAGCTTCTAAAGCGTAGGTTTTCTGGAAAAGGTGCGTCGTTCTGGAATGTCTGTAAATAGGGAAGGATTTAGTGAGTCATCCCAGAATGAGAGACATAACGATTCTGTTAATGTAAACAGACTGGTGGGAGTTTCATAGGAACAAGACAAAATACTGTGAATCAGAAGTGAATTGCTGTATGAAATATATACCCTGTATATATAGACAGTGGCTTGAGGCTTGGATAATTAGATTCTAGGTAAACGAACCATATATAATAAAACTGTATTTTGGTTTTATATACAAATTATATATTTGGTTTTTATACTTGCAGTTTAACATATTGCATTTACTCTGAGAATGTTTCACATTCTAACCAATAAAATTCGATCGTTTAAATAAAGAGGAATAAAAATCATCAGGTTAATTTTATTCGTATTACAGGATTTTACTCCCTTAACAAACAAAAATCTATGACAGGGTACAATTTTGACAAAAGGATTATTCTCAATGTGTTGTTTATCGTTAAGATTTGTCTGGTGCAGACTGCTCAGGTCTGGTTATTAAGGATTAAGGTTATTAGCAGTAAATCACATCTCACGCTCAGTTAAGATTCTAATTTGTTTAGTTGACTTTTCCTTTCTTTTTTTAAATTAGCCACAGTAGAAGGTCTTTAAATCAATGAGGGACCCACTAATTAAATATATGTATGTAATTGGAATGAATAACAATAATTTTTATGTCCCCTTATCTATTTTATTAATGAAATAATAAAAAAATGTTCACTAGAAGTTCAAAACTTTATTTTTGCAAGAGTTTTTTCTTCCCAGCAAAAAAAGTTTTCATTTTTAGATTATATTTCTTTCTGTCTTTTTCATTACATTGTTGTACTGTCAATGGAAACGATCTTCCACGTATGGAAAGTTGATGGATATCTTGTTTGTTGTAATTAATAATAATTAATAAAAATACTAAAGAAAGACTACTTTTTATAAAAGTGTTTTTGGTTGTCTCTGTCTGTGGAATAGAGTGGGGTCAAGATAAATTGTAATAACTTATAGAATAGAATAAGAGTAACAATATTATCAAGATAATATAGTTTTAATGAAATAATATATTTTTTCAAAATAGAAAAAAAGTAATATACTTTTCCATAACATATTAGAATAAATAGCAAGTTAAAAATACTGTTATTTTAATTAGCCTTTTTTTTTTTTATTCTTATGCCAATATGTCCTACCAATTATTATTGTTACGCATAAGTTTTGTTTATAATGAATCAGTATGGGGGGAGGGTGATCAATTGACACATTTTATTATATATACCAATTGTTGAACATAGGAAAGTGAGAGCATCTGATAGACATGCATAATGAGAATAGGAGATGGTTGGAAACGATAAAGTGAAAATAATTTTAGTAAATGTTTTGTTTAGTTCGCAGGACTCAAGCTAATACAATCTTTGATTGAATATAGTTTAGAAGATTGTATTGTCTCATTTCTGCCTTGTTTTAATATAAATTTGTCATTTTTGCCCTGGTAACTACACTGAATCAACACGAGTGGATTAAAAGCTATTTTTTATTTGGACATTCGATAATTCAGTCCTACTTGTTGACATTAACATTATTTCTTTCTGTTTCAGAATAAAGGTTCGTTCTGAGGGTCTGTTATAATCTAAATGGTTCCCTGCGGACAGCATGTCTACATTGTCGGGGGTACCAACGAAGGGGGAGAAAGGAAAAAAGTTCCAATCCCTAGATATAAATAGCTTGTACAGCACAACAAGGGTAATTTGAACAAAACATTTTAACATTTTGCTAGTTTAATTTATTTGTGTGTAGTTTTAAGCCTTAAGAGTTTTTATCCTGTAAAGGAAGGATGCGATTCAATTACAATAATAATATTTAACAATTTCAATGTGGGGCTGTATTTGCTGAAAACCCTCTTTACGTGATCATATTTTTGGTAAAGTACATAATAACAATTATATAAACAACAGGCATATAAACAACTTATTTGTCATTAAAAGTTCGAAAAACCAATAGAGTTGGTTGGAGGTAAATTTACCTCCTCCGTAATGTGTGAAAATCCAAGTTATACAATCCGTATAGCATGCCTCGCAAAAGTGACGTTTCCTATTATGTTCAATAACTAATAAGTTTTAAATACTTATTTTTAAGGATATTTTTTTAATGAAGTGAAAATTTTGATATGTACAACAAAAAATTATATTGTGATAATGTGTGTAAATTAATTAAATATAATTAAAATTATGGTCATATAAGATATGAATATAAGATACACACACAACACACAAATAACACATAAAACTATTCATATAAACTAACTTTATAATTAAATTATATAATTGTTTAAAGCTAAAAACTATTTATACAAATAATTTTTCAAAAATAACTTGAAATTTCAAATCTTCATGGGACTTTTTAAAACAAATTCCAAAGCATAATCCCATCGCAACCTGGGCAGAACGTACTGACTTCTGCCTTTCAAAGCCTTTTTTCGGACAATGGAGTAAAATCAATTTTTTCTTCCTTGTCCTCATTGTCTGCTTACTCTTTGTTATCATCCTCCTTCAATAGTTTTAATAAATCCTCATTGGACAATTCATTTAATATTAATTGTTCTTGAGTTTAAATATTTTGACAGGTGGTTCCCCTTTCCAATTCAACTGTTCAGACGGGCCAGGTTGCTTGTATCTATTGGGTTGTCCGGAAAATAATGCAGGATTTTAAGTTTTCATTAAAAAAAATCTATATAAAATATTCTGTTTACGTTTACAGGATTACTCATTTGTATGAATGTCAACACTTATTAATCCTCTTCCAAATGATATTGTTTGTTTACCTCTGTAGCATTCCGCTACTTGGAAATAATTCAGTCATCCTTATAATGTCAAAGCGAGAATTTCGTACGATTTTCTTTTACGAGTTTAAACTCGGCCGAAGCGGAGCCCAAACGGCTAGAAACATTAACCAAGTCTGGGGCGAGGGTTGTGTTAATGAGTGCACTGTGCAAAGGTGGTTTAAAAAATTTCGGGAGGGAGATTTCAGCCTTGAAGATGAAGAAGGTCGTGGAAGGCCTTCCTCTCTTAATGATGATGTTCTGCGATCAGTGGTGGAAGAAAACCCCAAAACAACTGTTCGAGAACTTGCAGAGCAACTCAAAGTCAGTAAAACGACCGTCGCTGACCACCTCAAGGCGATTGGAAAAGTGAAAAAACTTGAAAATTGGGTTCCACACTCATTAAACGATCGCCAAAAAATCAGCGCTTTGATGTTTGTGCATCACTTCTTTGTCGAAACAAAAATGACCCATTTCTGGCCAGAATTGTTACATGTGACGAAAAGTGGATTCTCTACGATAACACTAGACGTTCTGGACAGTGGCTCGACAAAGGAGAAGCTCCAAAGCCCCCAACTCATCAAAAAAAGGTAATGGTTACGGTATGGTGGGCTTCATTTGGTTTAATACACTACAGCTTCTTAAATCCTGGCGAAACCATCAATGCTGAATCATACTGTAACCAAATTAATACCATGCATCAGAAATTGGCAGTAATGAAGCCCTCTTTGGTCAATCGGAAAGGGCCCATTTTGTTGCATGACAACGCTCGACCACATGTGTCACGTGTAACGTCACAAAAATTATTGGAGCTTGGCTATGAAACTTTGCCTCACCCACCCTACTCTCCGGACCTCTCGCCTACTGACTACCATTTTTTTAGACACCTGGACCACTACTTACAACACATAATATTCAAAAATCAAACGGAACTGGAAAATGCATTTATTGACTTTATCAATTCTAAAAATTCTGAATTCTACTCAGACGGAATTAATAAGTTACCAACACGGGAGAAATGTATTGAGAGTATGGGAAATTATTTTGATTAAAGAACATTGCTTTAAAGTAACTAGTTTCTTTTTTTTTGTTTAATACCAAAATCCTGCATTATTTTCCGGACAACCCAATATTTCTAAAATTTTAAAAGGCACGTTATGAAAGAAAAATCATAATAAACAAATGTTGCTTCCTCACTACCGACAATTACTATTATTTTTAGCAGTTTGTAAACAAAAAAAATATTTTAAACAAAAAAAAATGGTAAAAGAACACAAAAAATAAGTTATTTTTTTATTTATTGTACTTTTCTATTTTTTTAAATCAAAATATTAATACCAATTTTTAAAATACTAAAATTAAGTTTAATTACCAAATGATAGTACAATCTTTTTTTAAAAAAAATATATATATATGGAAAAACTGCAATAACTCAGGTTCAAATTAAAATAATCGAAAACAGCTTGCAGTTTAAGGTAGGTAATTCACTCAATAAATTCAAACCAAAGGTCTGGTGAAAGGAACAACATGAGAAATTTTCGACCATGAAGGAGGTAAATTTACCTCCTTTACATTAAAAGTGTTAATTTACCAAATGATACAGATTCAACACTCAAAACATACAAGCATGTATAGCGAATTCAATTAATACAGTCTGTTTTCTATGAAAATTTGATGGAATACTTTTGATACATGATTCGAATTTTAACTAAATTTGCATACTGGATTTGTACTAGAATTATTACAACAAACAAAATAACTAATTTAAATATTTTTTATTTAAACAGATAACCGAATACAAAATTATTAATCAAATAAAAATTTGAAACTATTAAAAATGAAAATTCCAGTAAGTTAGTAGCTGTACAAAATATAATTATTTTTCCTGTATAGCATTACTTTTACAAGGACTTTTTAATTAGAATATCTAGGTTACTTATTATAGAACGAGCATTGGTTGAACATCTGTACTGAATATGTATATGTGCCATTATTTTAACGCTTAGTCTATTCTTTTGTTGTTTGCTAAATACAGTCGACTCTTGATAAAACCCAAGGAACACAAAAATAATAGAGAAAAAATTATCAAGAGGAAAGAAAAAAATTAAGAGTTGATATGCATTTTTAAAAGTTCTTACATGCATTGTACATATATGAAACATTGTAATAATAATGAAAAAGTGAAAATAGATCAACTGTAAAATTGGACATTATGCATTATTTCTTTCAATTAATTATTCTTTTTTTATGTAAGGCATGTTATTATGCATTATTTAAAAAAAAATTCAATGTGGCTTGGTGTCCTTTGAATAAATGATTTTCCTAAAAGTGACCAATGATGAGAACACATTGACAAAACATTGTCCACCAAACATAATAAACTAGAGAAAGTTCGAAGAAACTAGGCTGCAAGGAAGTAAACATATGTGGAAATTCGGAGGAATAATTACAATGACAAAGTTGGAATTATAAAGAGGGGAAGTGGCTCCATTTCGATTTATAGAATTCTCTCTCCCATTGTAAAAAATAATTTACTATTTATTATTGAGTGTATCAAAATGTACAGAATTTTTTCATTGTACCAGTGAGACCCAAATTAACAAGATTCAACTCTATTTGTTACAATTAATCATGATTAATCAATTTAAATGTTATATGCTTGATAAGCATGACATACGAGAAAAGTTAAATTCTCAGGAAGATAAGATGCTCGTGCAACGTATAACCTCGATTTTGTGATTAAAATAATCAAAGACATGTAATAAAAGCAAACCAGAAAATATTTCAGCACCTATCAGTGCAATTAATTTGTTTTTATTTTTAAAAGTAATTGTTATTATGTCAAATGTGATTAAAGGAAACTTGTTTTGAAAAATCTGCTATTGCATGACTCATGAGTGATTCATTTTTCCTGTGTACACTATCTGACTCGATCATTCTGAATCTTAATGCTACTGAGATTTGTTCTTTGTTGGTTTCTTTTAGTTTCCAGATATTTTTAAATGGTTATTCTTTTAAAGTGCATTCAGGTCAGACTTTTTTTTTAATGAAGTTTTATTTTATGTTACAAATTATTTAAACTGTTTATGGTTCTTTTATGTATTTCTTTCTTTCAGTTAATGAAAGTTTGTTAAGTATTATATAAATATTAAAGTTTTAAAACCGATGTATATTGTTTTAACAATATCTAGGGCGAATCTAGTGATCACCATCCTCAAAAGAACTTACTAGCACGCAGACATGGAATGCAAACGCTTGGCAAGGTCCCACCATCTCGTCGTCCCCCGGCTAATCTCCCTAGTTTGAAATCAGAACACAGCGGAAACGATCCAACAGTAAGCCTAGTACCGACAGGAGGAACAGGATGGGGGAGCAAGCCAGGAGAAATGGGTCCATCCCCAACACCCCAGCCGACCACACAGACTTCAACGACACCGGTAATTTTTTGTGATTAAAGTTGAATGATTAGCCTGTTCTTATAACTTTATTGCCTGCAGGCGAGTTCAATAAGCCAATCACATGGAACAAGTGCCCCTGCTGCCGTGGGGACACCTGTTCCGCCGCAAAACTTGTCAACACAGACCCCAACCACTCAACCACAGGTATTTTTGTTTTCTTTTCTTCTTATCGGGTTTGCTGTTTACTGTTTGTTTTGATACCCTTAGGTGATGATGAAGCCAGTAGGAAACACAACAAGCACAGGAGACAAAACTTGGAGTTCAGTTATGTGTGCAGATCAAGGTCCGAGCTTCCTGGCACACCAGTCACCGCAGTTCCACCAAGAATTCCCGAGCCTATCTGGGGAGGGAGTGGCCCAGGCCCACCCGAAGGGGAGTGGAGGGGCGGTGATGGATATTCCTTATGGCCCAGGCCCATCTCTTCGCCCGCAAACGGAAGGCTCTTGGGTTTTAGGAGGGAGTGCGAGAGCAGCCACACCCCAACACCCTTATTTTCCTCAGGAGACTGGTGGAGTTCGCAACAACTTGGGCCAATTTGGGGCGGGCGTGGCCCCGGTAGGCCTTTCCATCTCGCCTCCTCAGAGCCAGATTTCTTCTCTGCCGTTCAAAGGGAGCATGCCGTTCTTGTTATCTAAAACAGGCCCAAATTCATTCCCGTCCGGATTTTCGGGAATACCCCCTTCAGTTAGATCAAGTCATATGTCAGGCCCTTCTGAAAACCGATTCATGCCAGGCTCCTCCCGCCCCACCGTCGGTGATTCAGAGGACCTTCCAATTGTCAAAGTCGAAGATATCAATCGCATCGATGAAATTGCGAGGGATACCGGCTGGGCCAATCAAGATGATATCGATTACAGTGAAACGCTGAATTTCAGCGATAATGAAAGCACAGGAGCTGACGACGATAGGGATAAACAGAAATCTTCACCTCAACGTATTAAAGATGACCATAAAAAGGAAAATGATTCTGATAAACAAAACAGCCATCAAAACGAAAAGCCCTGGCTGCAAAGAAACACATCACTGCCATCGTCTGACTATAGAGCATCTATGTCTAGAACAAATGACCCAGTGAGTACAAAACAAAGCTCATTTAGTAATATAAATTTAAGATCAAACAGAAAAGTTAATGATACCATAAAATCAAGTTTTGGAAAAAGCAGTTTCCCTAATAACAGTACATAATGTTAATTGTATTCAAATGTAAAATTTCTTAAATAGAAGCAAGACTTTAGTAATTTGTTTATTAAGTTTAATAGTCAATTATAAAATAAATGGAATCTGTTAATTACATCCCATTTTAAGTCCATAATAAGATAAAATAAATACGATCAAAATAATTTATTAATATTTTAATTTTTAGTAAATCATGTGAATTTAAACAAAACATTGAATATTTAATGAACAAATAAAAAGGGGATTTGTTTAATTGTATCATTATTATTGTATTATATATTGTATCATTGTATCATATTAATAAGAATATAAATATAGAACATTATTTTCAGAATTATTATTATAATTTGTTGTTACTTTTTTTTTTAAAGGTTATAAGACAAGAAATGGAACTGAGCACGGAAATGCAAGCAAAGAGAAATTTAAGAGAGTCGATAGCGGCTGTTGCTGATAGAGCACATCAGAGGAAAGAGGATGAAGAACAGAGATTTGTCCTCAAGAAAAGTATGCAGGAAAATGAGCTGAAAAACAAAAACAAGGATGAATCGTCATTTTCCTCTATGTCAAATGACAGAGAGAAAGAGGACAAACAAATGACACCGACATTGATCAATAAAGACACAAGTGACAGAGATTTCAGGCAAATTTCACAAATGGATTCGAGGCCAAACTATGGGCGGGACAGGGATCGTGATCGGGATCGCGACCGTGACCGTGACCGCGACCGGGGTAGGGACAACACTTACTCAAGCTTCACACTAGCCCCAAGGTTCCAGAAGCAACAAAACGAGAAAAACAACCAGCAGTACATGCGCCAGCATGCTTCCAACAGTTCAAATTATCAATTTCAAAATTTCAACTCAATAGGAGATGATCCACGGTGCCTCCTCTCGAACCACGGCTCCTCACATTATAATAAAGGAGGTGGATCAAACCGATCTGGCGAATCTGATATTTCTGAACGTGGAAAAGAAAGGCTGAAGGACAAGGAAGATGAAAAAGAAAGGGATAGTAGAGACAACCGCCACACTCCTCCAGAACAGGATCGTGATCGTGATCGTGACCGGTTAGCTATTATTTTTTAATTGCATGGTTTTAATTTGCATGTGTTGAGTTCTGCTTACCATTCATCATCTTCATACTATTCTCAGCATCTAAAAACCTAATGCAATTCCACAATTATTTTATACTTAATTTATTCTTCTTTGTAATAATATAAAATATTTTGATTAAAGTTATTTATACTCTAATAAGATTTTTAGCAGCTGAGAATTTACTGCTTAGGAATCCCAATTTTTCTGGTTCACCCCTATTTAGTTAGAGCCTTACTGTTTTTTACTTTCTGAACTTTTATCTATCCAGAGAGAAAATTGTGTTAAAACTAGTCGTTAGAAAAATGGGTATTTGAATAGACTATCAGGAAATTTCGAGGATAATTTCTGTACCCCATCATTAGTAGAATACAATACAGAAATTAATCAAAATTATATTTTAGTTTGTAAAAAGATAATTTGTAAAACAGAAAATAAAAATAATAACACAAAATTTGGATTTAAATAAAAAAAAATTGGGTTTAAACAATCTATTTTTAACTGCAGGAAGAAAAAACTTGATTGACTCTAATTTTGTTTAAACTAAAAACTTTTTTAAAAATCATTTACCAAATTAAATTGTTGAACAAAAGAATTCCCGTTTGGAAACTACAGGAAAATGTAGACTTCGATCATAAGTTTCAAAGATTGTGTTTAATATTATGTTTATGTTTGTAAACAGATAAAAATTTTTGACCTTTGATATTTATAACTAACATTCTCTTGATCGTCTTGTACTTTATCATATTTTGCCCATCTCAACCGAAAATATGCACTAATTTCGGATGGTTTAAAAATTGGGAATAAAAATCTAGAGGCATGCCAAAACTTTTAAGATTCACATGTGTGCATGCATACACATGTGTGATATTTGAATTTAAAAGATTAATAACATGTACATGGTAAATGGAAATCCTTACAAAAAAGTTAATCTTTGCCAACCTTGACTTTTTGTGGGTGTGTGCATGAATTTATGTGATTTTAATGTAAAATTATCATATCAGAACATAAGTTGGTGTCTGTTCTATTAATAAATGCTATCAAAGAAAATAAATAGTTACCAAGATCTCTGTTTTGATGAAAGGTGGTGCGTGTGTGTGTGAGTGAGAGAGAGAGAGGAGAGAGAAATAAGTGAGTGAATATTTTTGTTAAAATTAGATTCATGATATTATATTTGTAGTGGGTGCAAGTCTCTCTTTAAAAATATTTGCGATCATTACCAGTGGAATTTGTGAGTGTGTATGTGGATTCTATGAAAATAAAAATAAAAAATTATAATGAAATTACTGATGGTGTTTTTACTGGATGATGCATGCCTCTGTCTAACATTACAATAATAAATAATTTTAATAATAATACTTTTCATTAAAGAAAAATTTCTTATTATTGTTATTGTTACTGTGTTTTTTAAACAAACAGAAAGTAGCATACGAGTTTTGGAGCTGGAAGTTCATATTTAAAATATTGATCTAGGTGTTTTTTTCTCCCCCTGATGGTAGGGATGATATGATGGAATCATCATGGAAGTTCATAATAGTAATAGATTAGGGTTTGGTCAGTAATCATGATTTTGTTTAAAATCAGGTTTTATATACACAAACTCATATGATTATATGTTGTAAATAGTGCTTGTTTTAGTCTCTAGAATATAGAGAATAAAAGTCTAAATAACTTGCTATCCGTTTTACACTTTTCTCTCTGTTTCCTATTTTTGTACAAATGAATTCAAATAAACAAAAAAAAATGGACTCCAAGATTGATTTCAATGTATCTTAATAAGAAATTTGTTACCCTCTATAGGTTTAGAGGAGTAAGAAATGACAGAGGTTACGAGTCTAACAGAAAAAGCTATTTTGACAGCCATGGACCAGATTACAATAGATCTCAGAGAGGTTATGAAGATAGAAATAAAGAATCTTATTGCAGGCAGTCAGTAACCCTTATATTTTTCATTCCTAGTCTTTCTAGCCTTCTGTTTTGTTTTTTGAAACTAGTAACTGACTTATGCTATCCATTTTATGATAAACATGTTTTTCAATTTTTAGGCGGGAAAGGGAGGTTGAATGGGAAGGAAGAAGAGGGACCACCTGGGAAAACAGAAATCATGCCGATGATAAGAAAGGTCGTAGGGATGTTAAAAAACCTAATCCTGTGGACGGCTACAACAAAGTTCATGTGGGTGCCATTTTTTATTTGTTATTTTTATTCATTTTTTGTTGAAACCATTTGATTAATTTGTTTTTATCTGTGTAGTCTAATTTTTCGGATGATAGAGACGATATAAGAGAGAGGCCACAAAGACCAGAAAGTAGAGACAGGCCTGAACACCCGACAAGACCTGATTCTCGAGATTCTAGGATATCTAGAGAGTCAAGAAACTCTAAGGAATCCATCAGAGATGACACGAGGTACGTTGATTAAAGTATGTTTTAATCCACAATTACTAGTGGTCCTTTTATAGGTCTATGGGTGAAACAAGCCACAGTTTTAGCTGGGACAACAGGGAAGACAAGCCAAGGAAAAAAGATAGTTTTAAAGAAGACAGGAGAGAAAATCAATCTAGAAGAGAAGGCTACGGTCCGATAAAGAATGAAAAATTCACAGCTTATGACAAACAGTACAGTGAGAAGAAGGAACAGTTGAGCACGTCGTTGATACTGACTAGGACAACGGCAGATGAGTGGACAAAGCTGGGTCCAGGTGTGACTTCGACGAGTAACAATACATCTTGGGCAGACGCCACTGAAGAGAATAGCCCGTCGACAGTCCATCAGAAATCTTCTCCTTCACCTCCCCTTACAGACCAGTCATTAACGCAGCCAACGCAATCTCAACGTAAAAAATTATTTAAAGTACAATGTATAGATGAGGGAAATGAGATTTTTTTTTAAATTTTGTAGTGCCTGCTGAAGAAGAAGGTGAAACTCAGATCAAAGATGATACACACGATAAAAAAAAGGATGTAACGCTGCTGAAAGACAACAGGGGTGAAAAGAGCAATAGAGGTGGAGGAAACCGTGGTTCAGGAAGAGGTGGTTCGAGGCAAGGCGGTCTCTCTGGAAATAGCAATTACACGGGATTTCCTTCTCGTAGCAACTGGCCGAATAGGGAAGGAGGTGGAAGGTAAATCCTAAATAAATCACTTAGATATTTTATTTATGAAGGATTGGTTATAAAATTATGTGCAGATTCAAGTTAGTAATTACTAATGTAACTACAAATACTATAATAGTATTTACAGGATGACACATTATTATATTATGTAATAAAAACTTATTTTATAGGCGTGTTGGTAACAAGCCTCAAAAGGGTCATCGAATGGGTTCTGAATCAGAAGGGTCTGCAGATGAAATTTCTGCATCCACTGAATCAGGGAAAGAAGATAAAAAGACTAACGATGGCAAACAAAGGTTAGTGAAAATATTTCTAAATAACTCCTCAAATTTTGGAACAATAATTAACCTTGGGTCTCCTAGGTCTGGAGACAGAAAAAAAGACAAGGACGAAAGAAACAGGGAGTCAAAGAAAAACGAGGCCGACAAGGGCTCAACACAAACCAGGCAGGATAGAAAGCAACAGCCCCAGCAACAACAGCCCATCGGAAGCGGTGGCGGCTATGACTCTGGCAGGAGAAAGGAAGGGGGATTTGCCCCAATCGGAGAACCTTCAAGGCGAGGCAGAGGCGGAGGAGGCTTCCGGGCTTCACGAGGAGGGATGTGCAATGTCGGTGGCCAGTACGGACCTCCGGGAAGTAAATCCCCATTCCCCTCTCACCAGCACACGGAGAACAAAAATGAAAACGACGACAAACTCAGCACTGATAAACCCTTACAAGGAGATTCCGACCTTCAATCGGAAGAAAAGGCTAAACATAAAACAAATACTGCTGGAATTACAGGTATTCTAAAGAGATGTTGATCACCAATTAGTAGTTACCCTTTTCGCCAAGAAGAGATGTCTCTCCTTAAAAAGCCTTCCCACTAGACCCCCGTTTCCTTCAAAGGAAAGAAAACCATTATATTTTCTATTTAACAATTTAAAATAAATGTTGTTTAAAACAGTTTATTCATTATTTCTTAGTAGATGTAATTTTATAACAAAATTTTGAGATTAGTTTTTAAAAACAGTCGTCCGTGCTTTTCTCCTCAATCCATTCCCATCCTCGGATTATATTGAGCCTTTTAAAACAAGTAGACATTAGCAAAAAAAATATATATGAAGCAAAAGTGAATATTAATAATGATGTATTTTTTAAAAGAATAAAATACATTTTTTTGCTCTAATTTCAGGATTCTCTCGCCAGAACAAGGACATGAGGAAAGAGGATGGCAACCGCAACCAGAAAAACAAAAACAAAGGGAAAGGCAGCGGCGAGGAAACGCAAAGTGATGCAAGTGAAAGCGGCGACGGAAAGGGAAAACACTTTAGACATCCTAACAAAATGGATAAGAGTAAATTTCAGAGGTAAGTTTTAATAAATCTAACACATTTTGAAAATTTCCTGAGCACTTGACAAAATTATTTTGGCTTGAATGATTAAAAAAAAGTTAAAATACTCTTTCCTTTCTCCTATATCTCAAAATAAAATGGTTTGTAATTGTTACAATTAGGTCTGTTGGTGATAAACGTGGGACATTCAACTCGATGCAAATGAATGGAAGACCCAGTAGAGCAGACGATGGTAAAAATGAGGACTTGGCTAATAACATTGTTGGTGATAAAAAAGCCCTCATGGAAAAAGACTCTGATAGCTCTAATTACACGAGTAATTTTTTCTTTTAAACTTTTTCTATTCTTGTAATAAAGAATTTGTTTTAATTTAATTGTGCATAAAACAGATAATGGCTTCCAAGAAGTGAGAAGTAAAAAAGTAGGCAAAGAACCACGTCCGTTGTCAAAAGATGATCAAAAACGTGGACGTGCCAATAAAGATGCAAAAGGGAATCCCCAGGGCAGCAACCCTAACAAAGGCGCTCAAATGAACAAAATGCTACACTTGAATAAACGAGAACGGAATAACAAACCTCCTCGCCTTCAACGCCTTGAAAATTCCCGCCAGCAACAACAGCAACAGCAGCAGGAGGTGAACGACATGAACAAGCTCAACCACACTGTGCAACTATTCTCGCTCAATAGAACCGAAGTCGTCAATTGCACCGCTGCACCGCCTCCGCCTACTAATGCATGGGACAAGCCTATATCACTCAGTACCAGAACGACACCACCGCCCAACACGGTCCACATGTCTACGGTGAATCCTGGACAGGATAAGACCAGTATGGATCTCGGTGATCATCAGTCTGGCACTGGCAGTCAAACGGGAAGTCCAACTGCTGATAAGGCCTTAACGAAAATGAATAGAGATGTAAGTTAACCGAAGTACAATTAGAATTTTTCCCCCTATAAAGATACTAACATTTAAATAATATTAGTACAAAGCAGCCCTGTTCTGATTAAGATGACAATTTCTTCTAAGTTGAAACAATAATTTTCTCTTTTAATTACAATTGGTCAATATTACAGGTGGATAAGAATATGAGACATCCCGTTCAGACAATAATTATCCAAAATACAAATTATAAAACCCAGGCACTGGAGAAAGTCAAAGGGAAGCTCGATGATGATATGGAGGCAAACACTCACCAAATGCGTCTTGTCACAGCTGGCTACAAACCCAATGAAATGAAACCAGGTGACAAGGTGCCAGAAGCCCTACAGATGCCGATGGCATTTAACAAGGTCAGATTGACAGTTTCTATATCAATATTATTTAAATATGATTGTTCTTTTATTAATGGTCTTTTTTAAATACAGGGTGAGGACAATGTCGATATGGATTTCAAATTTGATTCAGAATTATCCCAGTTGACTGAAGACAAAACAAATATCCCTCACTCAATATTGGTCCAGTCATCATCCACAGCAGATCTTAACCAAAAGATTGCTTCCGTTAAAAAGGTACAATGTAATTTAATTTTATGTAAATTTTATATTAATTGATAATTTTTTCTTGTAAAGGTCTGGGACCATCCAGGTACCGTAATGGAACATCATCAACACCATGTCGATGAAAATTTAGGAGTGGTGTCAACATCATCGACAACCTTCACCACAAACTTCGGTGGCGTTGTCGACACGACTTTGGACCACTCTTCTGCTCACCAGGTCGATGATTCAGCCTTCAACAGTGCTGATGTTTACGGGTGAGTGGTTTTAAACCATCCTTCCATTTAAAAAACCAACATCGTCAAGACTTTTATTAAGACAAACTATATTTTTCCTGAACTTTAGTACTACGCCACTGCAAGGTACTGCAGGAGCGTATAGCTCGGGTAATGCCAACATGATGAAACCTGATCCAAATAATCCGGCGTCGACGCCACAGCCACAAGCGGTGGCCATGGCTTCAGGTCTAGCCAATCATTCAGGAGCTAGCCTATCATCTCCGCCACCTCAGTATAATCAAACTACACATTTTAACAACTACCAAGTATGTTTTTTTTTTCTTATGTAAATTCTTGATACACATTTCAATTAATATTAAATTTATCTGTCTTAAAATACTATTCGGATTGAAAGAAAATTTAGTTCAAATTGTTAATTTATTTGTAGCAATATAGTAACATCCCTGCCATCCCTTCACCACCTACTGTGATAAATTTGGCTGCAGGGGGCCAACAAGTTACAAGCGATGTTTATTCGTTTATGAGCCCTGTAATGGGAAGCCAGCCTACAAGGACCAATTTCAACCAGTATCAGTTTAACTTGAACCAGGGTAGCGTTATGGGCCAGACGTCTGCATACAACCAGCAATCGCTATATCACATTCCTCAGGCGGCCGGTACCAACGCTCCCCATCCAAGTGAGGTCTACAGTCCCTTCAGACTACAGCCGGTAATTATTGAACAATTCAAATTATTTAGTAGCATTAAGAAAATAATTGGAATTATAATTTTGTTCTTTCTTTTGGCAGAATCCTTACGGGCAGTCTCAACAAATTGGAAATAATCCTACTGTTTTGATCACTTCGTCAACCGCCAATTCGTCGCTCATGTCAGCTAGCGTAAAGTCAACGACACAACTTGGCGCAATCGGCACAAAGGGATTCCAATCATCGCACCCACAGGTGGAAAATTATTTTAGAATAAGAATAACAATACAATAATAAGAATAGCTCTAGATATTATACTACTATATAAATTGTTTTTATATTTACACTTTTCATATTATTTTGACCTTATCATTTAATTAGTGTTAAATTAAATTCATATTCACAGGTGCAACTTAATTACATGCCTTATGAAGCACAAATGGTAGCTTCCAATTACATAAGAGGGACTGTACCGACTATGCAGACTACTCCTACTTCATTTTATTCTAATTCAACAGGTAATTATTTTATGTAAACTTAACAAACAAAACAAGCCGTCACTTAAAATATGCCGATATGATCAGACTCATAACGAGACAGAATGAGATTAATCTTTTGAAAGTTCTTCCTTTTCTGACAAGTGCTTCTTGCAGACGGCTTTTCTCGTACTGCTGAAATTGGTACCTGATTGGCTATTTAATATATTGTTTACATTAATGCTATTGAATTAATTTCACCATGAATAAAGTCTACGGAAAAATTGTAAAATCACTAATATTGCAATTGTATTTTTTTGTAAAATTTTAATTGTGGTTCTAATTTATCATTTAGCCAACATGATGAAACTGATGACGAGACAGAGAGGAAAACTTAAGCCAGTTTATTCGTTTTAAAGAGGTCTTCTCTTTTCTCGAGTATTTCTGGCCAACGGGTTTCTCCTCGCTGCTGAATCTGGCGCCTGATTGGCTGTTTTATTATTTTAATTTTTTTAAGTAACATGCATAGTACATGAAATTTTTTTTCTCCCCTTTTCTTTCTTTCTTTCCACTTTTGCAAGAGAGATCCGAAGTGATGATATTGAAGAGAAGGTATCAACCACTGAAAGTTTAATTTGACGTATGATCAATATTATGTCAAGGGGTAAGGGGGAGAATAAAAAAACAAAATTACAACTTTGCCAAGCTTTTGACCCGGGCTTCAAAAATATGTCCTGATGACCTTGGAGCCCAAGTCGAAAGTTTAGCAAATTTGGAATTTTGTTTGTTATTTTACCCCTTGACATAATACTGATCATACATCAAATGATGATATGTAAAGTCTTAGCTTTATTTTTAAAAAAATCTTCCCCTTTCCGCAATTATTACTTTGCAAAATCTATTTTCTTTGCTCCATTTTTTATAGATCTATATCATTGTAGGCAATATCTTTTTTTAAACATAATGTTAACATGATATGCCAATATGATGAAACTGATGACGAGACAGAGAGAAAAACTCAAAAGCCTGTTTATCCGTTTTAAAGAGGTCTTCTCTTATCTCGAGTATTTCTGGCCAATGGGTTTCTTCTCACTGCTGAATCTGGCACCTGATTGGCGGTTTTATCATTTTAATTTTTTAAGAACCCTGCATAACACGAAATTAAAGTTGTATTTTTATTGTGTCGTTTTGTAAATGATGATACGCACTTTTGTAAGAGAGATCCGAAGTGATGATATATAAAGTAAGCTTTATTTTTTAAAAATTCTTCCACTTTCCGCAATTATTACTTTGCAAACTCTATTTTCTTTGCTCCATTTTTTATAGACCTATATCATTGTAGGCAATATTTTTTTATAAACATAATGTTAACGTGATATGCCAATATGATGAAACTGATGACGAGACAGAGAGAAAACTCAAAAGCCTGTTTATCCGTTTTAAAGAGGTCTTCTCTTTTCTCGAGTATTTCTGGCCAATGGGTTTCTTCTCACTGCTGAATCTGGCACCTGATTGGCGGTTTTATCATTTTATTTTTTTAGGAATCCTGCATAACACAAAATTAAAGTTGTATTTTTATTGTATCGTTTTGTAAATGATGTCATGCACTTTTGTAAGAGAGATTCGAAGCGATGACATTTAAAGTCTTAGCTTTATTTTTTTAAAATCTTCCCCTTTCCGCAATTATTACTTTGCAAATTCTATTTTCTTTGCCCCATTTTTTATAGATCTATATCATTGTAGGCAATATATTTTTATAAACATAATGTTAACATGATATGCCAATATGATGAAACTGATGACGAGACAGAGAGAAAAACTCAAAAGCCTGTTTATCCGTTTTAAAGAGGTCTTCTCTTTTCTCGAGTATTTCTGGCCAATGGGTTTCTCCTCACTGCTGAATCTGGCACCTGATTGGCGGTTTTATCATTTTAATTTTTTAAGAGCCCTGCATAACACAAAATTAAATAGTTGAATTTATTTTTATTGTGTCGTTTTGTTAGTGATGACACACACATTTGTAAGAGAGATCGGAAATGATGATATGTAAAGTCTTAGCTTTATTTTTAAAAAAATCTTCCCCTTTCCACAATTATTACTTTGCAAAATCTATTTTCTTTGCTCCATTTTTTATAGATCTATATCATTGTAGGCAATATCTTTTGATAAACATAATATTAACATATGCCAATATGATGAAACTGATGACGAGACAGAGAGAAAAATTCAAAAGCCTGTTTATCCGTTTTAAAGAGGTCTTCTCTTTTACCGAGTATTTCTGGCCAATGGGTTTCTTCTCACTGCTGAATCTGGCACTTGATTGGCTGTTTTATTATTTTTGTTAATGACATTTATCAGTTGATTAATGTAATGTATCATACTTTGGAAAGAGAGATCATACCAATCATATGTTTAGGTGTTGCAAGTTAGCGAATGAAGCTTTTTGACTAGTTCAACTTGATCTCGTGTAGCAATCTTGATAAAATTTGGTTACAATATGTAGAAATACTTTTTAAAACTAACCTAATAAAAGAAAAAAAAATACTTCAAGAAAGTATTTTTCTAACGGTTTATCTAGTCTGAACAACCAGTTGAGGCGTGAGTTGCGAGTTAGCGAATGTAGTCTTTTGACTAGTTCAACTTGATCTTCTGTAGTAATCTTGATAAAAATTTGTCACAATATGTAAAAATACTTTCTAAAACTAAGGAAATATCAAACGTCTAAAAAAAACTTGAAAAAGTATATTTTTCAAAAGGGTTTTTGAATTTGAACTACCGGTTGAGGCGCGAGTTGGCGAATGAAGCTGTTTGAAAGTTTAACTAGATCTTGTGTAGCAATCTTGTTAAAAATTGATCACAATATGTAGAAATACTTTATAAAAATTAGGAAATATCAAGTCTAAAAAAACTTCAAAAAAGTATGTTTTTATTCTGTTTTTTCGAGTTTGAACTACCAGTTGAGGCGCAAGTTAGCGAATAACGCCTTTTGACAAGTTCAACTTGATCTTGCATAGCAATTTTATTAAAAGTTGGTCACAATATGTAGAAACAGTTTCAAGTAAATATCAAAAGTATATAAAATCCTCCCATTTTAGCAATTCTTTCTTTATCTTTACTCATTATTTTATAGGCTTATGACATTGTAGGCAATATTTTTTCATAAACATAATACGTTTGTTCCATGATGCGTCCAAGCTATCAGAAAACTAGAGCCTGGATTTTGCAATAAAAATCAACAAATGTGAAATTATTTTGCTCTAAAAATATTAAAATGAACAACATGAATGAGACATCACCCGAGTTATATAATTTAAATTTAATAAATTTTAATAATCAGAAAGAGAACTGACCCTGGCTATCTTTCCACAACCCAAATACTTCTGTAAAATTTAAATAGGATTCCAATTATTACAAGAAAATTCTTTTGTGTAGGTTCATTTACATTAATAAAATAATGTTATAAAGTAAAATAAATAAAAGAAAATTTTTTTAGCAATGTTGTTGGAGGTGGTTTTTAATGAAAAATTTATATTTTTTAAAAACAACATAATTAATTTTTTCAAATATAAAAATAAAAAGGGCAACAGCAACAAAGAAACTAAAGCAATAATAAAAATTTCTTATTTGAAATATTATTCAAATTTCCAAAAATATGCAGAATAAAATTTGAACTATTGTTCCACAAAGGTATGATTTGGATAAATATCTGATCAATGATTACCATGGTCCTTACGACGACGAGTTACAAACTATATGGAAGGTACCGTTTGACTATAGGAGTCTGAAATTGGAAAAAAAAAGCATTCAACCATAGTTGAGATTTCGCGATCTGTCGTCCAGGTTTGTGCAAACAATAAATCACGGATTAGTTAAGAACTAGTTGGTGATTGTTTGTTGGAACAAACCTAATGTGTAACAATAACAAGATTGTAGCCAACGTGATGAAACTGTTGGCGAGATAGACAGAAAAACTCGAAAAAGTATATTTATTATTTTTATACGTCTTCTGGCCAACAGGTTTCTTTTCACTGCTTAATTGGCTATTAAAATTTAATTCATTTTTTCCTCCTCTAAATTCATCATTTGATACAAGAAGAAAAACAAAAATTCGGATGCCAGTTTTATTGATCTAAAAAGGAGGCTTCCTTTTGAACCATATAAAAAAATAAATAAATGAAATAAAAACAAAAGTAAAAGACAGAATAATAAAGTTAAAACTATAGATACATAGAATTTTTATTTTTTTATGAAGAAATACATATTCAATTTCTGGGACTTTGACATACAGTAATTTAAAAAAAAAAATCTTTCTTCCTCTAGTTGGACAAACAGGATTGTTTCAAGCTCCAGGAAATTCCCTTTTGACTGCTACAGGGAATCAGACTGCATTACAGGGCACATTCGGTATCCAGGGCTTTAACACACCTTCTGGTGGTAATCCTGGGGCTTCATCATCATCAAATGTGACCCAGACAAACTATAATTCTCAAGTAAGTTTTTAAAAGGCACAAACTTTTTTTTTTTTTTTTTTAATTAAAATGCATTTTATAAAACAAAATTTTCTTTCCAGGCTGGACATTATCGAGGTCAGTCACAGAACTACTTGAAGCCAGCACCTCCTGTTCAGCATCCTGGGGACGCTTCAAAGCTTGCTTCCTCAAATCCTGATGTCATAAATAGTGTATTTTCTGGAGGTTTGTTCCATTTTGTATTTCTGGTGTTTGTATATTGCAATACAGCACGTTTAGATATTGATTTTGTGCGAAAATTAGGTAGCAGTACTGGTCAAATAGCATCACCTAAGTCGAGGTCGAGCGGGGTCAACTCTGGTGGCAATAAACAAGTACCATCGCAGCAGCCCAGCCCAACACAGACCCACCCTAAATTCTTGAATTATCAGTCGAATCAGAACCTGGTATGTTTGCCTTTTGATAAATTGAGAACAAAAATTTGACATGGGAAAATGCCAGGTGTTGCAGCAGCAGAGCACCAACAGTGGCGGCCAGAGGAACAACCAACCCCTGCCTGTACAGTACATCCGCCCAGCAAATAATTCCAGCATGTTGAGCAACAACAGCATGTCATCCAAGTACTCGCAACCTATTCAAAGACCCAATGCATTCCAACAGATGCCCTCGCCCCAGCAGCAGCAACAGCTCATGCAGCAGCATCAATCAGTTCAACAGCAGAACCGCCAACAGCACAGAATCCCCAATTCAAGACAGCAGTCTCAGCCACAGACACAACACAACAAAATGATGCATTATTATCCACAACAAGGTATGTAGTGCATTAAAACGTATATTTCAAGATTAAATTTTTGGTTTTAACATTAATTTCACTCTAAGAAGTTAGTCGTCATACTTTATTAATAATTGCAATCTAGAGGCTAAATTCTGAGCTTTTCAATAAATTACTTCTCCGTTTTGTATTGAAACATTTTCCCCCTATAGAAGTGGTCTATACTCAGATGTAGTCTGAAGGAACTAGGATCAGGACTGTAGGGAACAAGCTCAATATCCTACATATTTAGGCCCAACTGTGACACTTTTTATGTATGCAGTTAGGAAGGATGCAGTTGAGGTCATAGGTAGTCTTGAACAAAACTTAGTTCTATTTACACAAAGAAACTGTCCATATTATGTCCCTAAAGTGTTCATTGTGCCAGTAAATCCATTTTTCCTCACTGGTGGCAATGTTTCTAATGTACCAATTATTAAAGTTATGTTGATTTTTTTTTTTTTTTTTTAATTGATTAAAGTTTTAAGTTGAAATAAAAAAAGTCAGTGTCACAAGCGGGATTCAAACCCACGACCTTCAGCTTGATACGCCACTACTCTACCACTTGAGCCATCATGACTTCAATCCCCTCGGGCACTAACTTCCCATCTCAACCCCACTTTTGAATTTTCCCTCCTTTTTGCCATTTTTCAAATGTCGTGTAATCTATTTGATTCTCGGCGACAAGTGAAAAAATAGTGAATTTTTTTTTTTACATTACTTGTTAATTGGTTTTAAGCATATAAAATTGTAAATTGTACTGCAACAAGCTTTGTTTGTTTGGCAGTTGATATTTATGTTTCTATGAATTTCTCAATTCATGGTTGATCACTGTCCTCTTGCTAGGTTTGTATAACAATTTTTTTTTCCTTTCAAATTGAACCATTTTTAGCAGTTGTAATTTTTATTCAGGGAATGTCCAAAAATTCTGATTGCAAAATGTGGGGGTCCTACGTTCATATAATTTATTCAAATAAGTGTACGGAAAGAAAACAGCCATTTTTCTACTCATCTCAAACATTTAATTTGAGTTAGTTATTTTGCTTTATTTTATTTATTTATTATATAATTACATTTAATATAATATATTATATTTATTATTTTTTTTACTTTGCCCTACAGACATTCAGTCAATGTCATTTTGTTGGTGACTACGCCAACTAACCCGGGCCACCCCCAAAGGGCACTACCCCATACGTCCGATTCTCATTCGGGTATACACTTAATTTCGGCAGCATTAGGAGGATGTGGATAAAAACCGTCCAAGGCCACAGAGGCCCCTGGAAAAGTCCACATCCTCTCCACTTCCCGAGGACCATTTGCCCTTTGCATGTGGAGCACCCTCCGGAGAAAACCCGAGATTTTTTAATTGTAACAGTCATTCATATATTCATAGATAATTTTTTAATTTAGTTCATTTAAGATAGCAGGCATAATTAAATTATTGGTTTTGATTACAGGCACCACTGTAAAAATAGAGCCTGGAAATATTGAAAGCAAGGTCGACACGGATAAACTACAAGAGAGCAACTCTGCTGTTCCCAAGCAGGATAAAGGGAAAGAAGAGACTACTAACACCGAACAGTAATGTGCTAAGGAAATGGAATATTAGAGATAATAGTGAAATATAAAAAACAAAAAACAAAAAAAACACAAAAAATGTTTAAAATATCAAAAAATAATTGAAGGAAAATGATTAAAATAAAAAGAGAGAAGTCACAGGAGGCAAGATGTGGCTTTGTCGCTTTTAGGACAAAAGAGAAAAAGAAGATAGAGACTAAAAAATTGACTAAAAAGAAAAAAAAAAGGAAAGCGGTGCAATAGAGTATGGATTTTTGAATGTAGTTGCACATTATTGGCTGGGTGGATTCCTCTCTTAAACTACCTGCAAGGCAGCACTTACACCAATTAATTGGTATATGAATAATGACACCCCTGATTAGTGTTTACATAATTATGGGTTAGGGTTTAGCTCTTACTTGAAAATATACTAGATATTGTATTATGTATTATGTAATCCTCTTTTTACTGTGAGATTTATTCGTATATGTTCCTTATTTCTAATTGTACCGAGCACCGACGGGGCTTAGCGCGCTGATGTATAATAACTCATTATTATTTTTTTGAAAATGAAATTGAAAAAGCTATAAAATAAATAAAGAGAAAAAGTCGAAAATAAAATTAACATTACAAAAAAAGCTCCTGACGTGCTAGTTTGATATATCATTTAAATAGTGTACGTGCGTATCTGTGTGTGATCCTCTTTTAAGTGTTTTAAAACTGATCAAGAAACTCCAAGTTATATTGAACAATATTAATCTCATGGGGGGTCTACGGGAATTATATACACAAAAAAAAAATAAAAAAGGGAAAAGTATGATTTATATGGTTTTTCATATAAACAATGCATTAGTTAAATTTTCGGAGTTGGTGCAGGCATAAGACTACCCTCATTCTTTCTGAAATTTATATTATATTTAAAAAAATGGTTATTTAAAATAATTTAAAAAATAATGTGAAGTGATTCAAGTGAAGGTGAATTAAGCGATATTCAACAAGCGTGTTGTGCTGATTACCTCAGTTTATACAAGTGCATAATCGTGCTTGTTCAAATATATTAACAAACTGTTGTGCTTCATTTATGTAATACTACTACTACTACTACCTTATATTTAATAATTATAAATCTAGTAAAATTGTTTTAAGGAAGGAAAAATTTACTCTGTACACACTTCGGTGGAGAAAATAATCCAATGTTTTAAAAAAAATTGTTGAACTACATTGATTCTAAAAGTTCGGCAACTGCCAATAAATTTTGACTCATAAATTACAAGTCCCCTCAAAAACCTTGTAGGCGACTAATGTACAGCAGAAAAAAAAAAAATATAATGCTTGATTTTTTTTAGAAACTTTGTATTATTATTTGAGCTTTAGTTGGTTGTAAATCATTTATGAACTACAGATAACAGATAGCTTACTTGGTTTATTATATGAAAAGAATTGAAACAAAAACATTGTGTACGTATTAAATTGTTGTATATTTAAACGTGATTGTATTTTGTGTACAGTCCCTTAAATATGGTATATTCCAAAAAGAACAGTGATAATTTAATTTTCCAGCCCGAATTCTGCGCTATCTGTCTTATTTGTCTATAGTTGCAATAAATTTTAATTTTTGTCTGGAAACTGTGAAATCAAATGTAATGTACATTTTGAGTTTCGTATTCCTCAAGATACCTTTTTGAGTCCTTGATTTTCTTTTTTTTTTTTTTGACCTAAAGGTATAGGTAAAAAGAAAATACCCATTTCCCTTTTTTCTCCTTATTATGAATATTTTTGTTATAAATAAATAAATTAATTTAAACAATAATAAAGTTGAATATACGACAATAAAGTGTCTTTCAACTTTTGGTTACGAAAATTTGGCAGTTCTTTTCTTTTCTTCTATATTAAAATTTTTGTGATTAGACTCGGACCATTAGAATTTTATTTTCCACTAGACATTAACACTAATTTAGTTTTTCCTTTCTTTTTTTTATTATTTAAAAATAAAATAATATTCGAGTTGCCAGTGTGGATTTTATTTCCTTTTGTTTAATATTCCAGAACTGAACTGCAAACTTGTTTTCTGCTATGCGAACAAATTATTTATTATTTTTGAAGTTTGAAATTACATAAAAAATAAATGTGTGTTATGAAAAGAAGCGAACCAAAAAAGTTTGGTGTATATTTTCCATAGAGATTTTATTGGTCATGTGAATTAGTCATCATTTTTATGAAGTTTTTATTTTATATTTTTATATGCTTTACTTTTATAAACAACTTATTCATAATTTATTACTGTTACAAGTTTTGGTTACATTCAAATAAAAGACAAAAGTTTTCATAAAGGCAAGTATCAAGGCTCATTTGTAATGAATACTAATTTATATGGAACATGTGTAAAACATAATTTTTAAAATTTGTTGCTTTTTGGCTTTCCAAAGAGTGAATTTAAATATGCATATAATTCTGCCTTTTGCGCTGCTCATTTTATAAAAATTTACATCTTGATGTGTTAAATGATAGTAGTGTGTAAATTTTATAAAAGGTGCATTGCTAAAATATATGTATATTTATATTTATTTAACTATGTGTAGGTATAAATAATGTTCAATAATAAAGGGCAAATTCTAATTTGAATCAACAAATCGAATTTAAAACAAACTAATTTTGCCTTTGGAAACACATTGCCTATTAGCAAAAATTATACATATCGCTTACAAAAGAGTGTTAAGGACAAAAACATTATTTCAATAAATATTCAAACGAAAAAAAAAAACAGCAGTTTTTAAAATTTATTTTTTCCTAAACATTACAAAGAAGATTGTAGCATATGATATTTAAAATAAGGGGGGATTTAACACTTTTCCAAAAAGCTTGGGCTACGAATTGGCAGAAATATAGATTAAAATTGATGTAGACCAAATTTGCCTTTTTAAATGTGAAAGCACAAGGTTGTCGAAAGCGTTTCCTTATCCACCAGCATGACTAATAAAGAGAAAGGGTATCAGCACTGCGAAAGGGCTCGCCTCGTTTCTCAGCTCAAGCAAGTTGCAAGTGACCTCAGGAAGGAGAGGTTGTTATCTAGTTGACAATTTAATACAATGCGACTTCTGACCTGTCATAAATTTTAGGCAAGGGGATCAGAGGCCATCATTTTTCACACCGATAGATAAGTTAAAAGAAAAAAGAAATGAATCTTTGAGAGAGCGAGGTAAGAAATACGTTTCAGAATGGGTTCCAGCATATACCAAGTTCGATCCGAAGAAACATCCATTGGTATATTTTTTAATTAATTAACTATTTAGAGTAAAAGTTTTATGCAGTTTTGATTAGTACTTTATTAAAAAGCATTGTATATTTGCTAAAAATCATGCAAGAATTTTTTTTGTTATTGGTTTTATTTTATAAATTTTTTTTAGAATGCGTTACCTATGCCTCCACCTCATGTTCAGCTTTTAGCAGGAGATTTAGTAGGTTTATGTCAGTGCTTGAGAAGAAATGGCTTGCAGGACGACTGTCCAAAGTTGGGATGCAAAGGGGGCTTGCATTGCATGACGCGTCCCATTCCAACCTGCTTGCCTAGTGGACTCGGCGAGCCTCCGCCCCCGCCAGTTGTGATCAGCAGACCAAAGATCGTCCCTTGCCCAGAGACTTTGCGTCAAAACCGTCTCAAACGCCAGAAAGAAAAGAAAGAACGGTGTGAAAAGTTCATCCGGGAAGGGCGGAAAAACTACACACACTACTACTGCAAGGATCTCTTCTTCAAACCGTGCTTTAGACACGACGGTACGTACGTGAGGAAAGTGCTTGTCAATGAGAGAGAGACGCAAACCAACATCGAAGATTTTTGCAAGTGTAAAGAACCACTGATCGAATATTCTGGTGAATGCGTCGATGGTTTGATCGACAGTTTGAAGATCGAAGAAGGGGGGACTTCGGACCCAAACCAGGTGGATGTTGAAATCGCTTTCAAAGAGAAAATGGCTGAATGCAAGGAAACTCTTGCTAGAAAGTTTGTGGTGGAACCTGTGAGACCAAGATCCAAATCCATCCAAGAAGAGCCATCATTGGCCGAAGCATCAGTGTGTTCCAGTGACGGTGTAAAAAATACCGTATTGGTTTTATAAATTATCTGCAAACTCACATTTTCTGTATTTAAAACAATTTAGAATAAATAATCTAAAAAATCATAAATAAATCATGTGTTTTTTTCCAGCCTACATTTCTACTTTTAAAGTCTACATTTTAGTGTAAATTACAAAAAATTATAGTATGAATAAGAAATTATTGTATAAGTATAATAAATACATAAATGCGATTATAAAAAGAGACAAGCCAGCATAACTATTTTTTTAAAGAATTATAAGATAATAATTAATTATATCAGAAATCATTTTTATCTTTTGAGTTTTGGCATTAAAGGAGAAAATCGACAAAAATGGCTTATAAGCCAATAGCAAAGCTGAAAAGCAACAATGAACGCGACAGCACCAGTCGGGCCAAAAGTCTGATAGAAATTGTTGATCTAGACCATAACTGCGAACGAGTCAACCTATTGACAGAGTTGAAAAATATCCGAAACATGTTGTCGCATAAAAGTCGTAGGTAAGAAATCAATTTGTGCCAAGTTTTTGTCAAATATTGAACCAGTATTTAACTTACATTTACTTTTTTTTTTTAAAAAAGCAAATATAATTTTGCCAAGACTTAGTTACTATTTTATAAATTTCAGCATATAGACTAATATTATGCTATAATAGCTTGTAATTTAATATTTTAGTGAAGTGAAAGAATGGCTTGATAAAAAAAAGAAAGTAGTAAGGCACAAATACAATGATGTAGTATATGAATCAGTTCTGTGCGATGAACAAACTCAAGAAAACAAAGACAATCAGGCTGATGAAAAAGACTCTTCTCCAAGAGATGAGGTACGTCTTTGAATTAAATAAAAATACTCTTATAAAAATTGAAAATTTTCCTTCTATTTTACTCTAGCCTGAAGAAGACCAACAGGCATTGGTAAACACAAGAAATATTATTTACAAATGTCAGTGTAAGAAAAGAAACGGACTTCAGCATGAGTGTCCTAATATAGAGATTCAGGATGCAACTGTTACTACCAAAGAAGAAGAAGAAGCTCCTGTTGAAAAAGAAGCTGATGAGGCACCAAAGAAGGAAAAAAAGAGTCCAAATTATATAAAATTAGCTAAAAAATATTACAAGGAGAGTTTTTGTGAAAAAATTCAGGTTCCTTGCCAACGCCATGGACCTGGTTTCAGAAGGAGGCAATTACATCGGAACGCGAAGACGCAGACTGAAATCAAGGAAAATCTTGTGAGCCCGGCTAAAACAGATATTAATAAATTGTCGGTCAAGATGCCGCCTAGTAGCTCGTCAATACCTCCGCAGATGAATGAAAAGATGTATCTGAGCGAACGCCTCAGGAAAAAAATCCCTCATATTCTGATGAATGAAGTGGGCCAGTTTGAGTTGAGAGTGGCACCTGCGAATTTCATTTGTATGCTTAAAGAGGACAAAAAATATGTTAGGAGACCGATCGGTCCGATAAAGACAGAGCCTGTGAGAAACAAGTTAATATCACAGAAAGAATGCACCCCGCAGAAAGGCATGGATGATTATATCGATGATTTACAAGAAGATGCAAATTATGAGGTTGTTAAGAAACCGAGTTTGTTGCCTACATATTCACATATTATATGAATTATTTTAGTTTCAATTTATTATTTACTTTTAAAAAATAATTGTCCTTTTACAAAGTAAACAACCAAAAAATTTGTCAAATACTACTAGAATGAGAATGAATTTTGAATGATTTTGACTGTCTTTTTTTTACATTTTTACAAGCTAGGATTGAATTGAAAAGTAATTCCTGTCATGCAGGAGTTAGCTGTCTGTCAAACCGTCAACCATTGGCTGTAAAACCCCTTTACAATACTTCATTTTTCGTATCATTATCAACTTAAAATAACCATGGGCTCTACCAATATTCAAACCCAGAACCGCTAGACCATCGTGGCAAATGTGTACTTTAGTATCCATTTCAGTTGCTAGGATTGATTCGACTTGGAGTATTGAAATACTTCTAAATCAAACACAAAATTGTAATGATTAATATTGCAGATTTTTTCTCCATCGACGGCTGAAATAATTGATATAGTAAAATATCATAAGATATGACTATATTGGTGATTGTTGTTTACAATAATTTTCTCGCAGGCTTTGTGATGTTTTTATTTGAAGAAATTTTCTTTTACGTCTGAATTACAAAATTCAAAATTGATTACAATTTACAAATAAAATATGCTTAAAAAATTAAAAACAAAAAATTCACTACGCTACATTTTAATTACTCAAGTTACAGTTCCTAAATATTTATTTGTTAATGTTTATTTGTTAACTTAAAACGTGCATTTTAATTTAAAAATTTGTGTACATTTTGGCTGAAATTTTCAATTCCATAAGATTTTATCCGCTTTATTTATGCCTTTATAATACAGTTGAGATCAACGCTGACAACAACTTTAGTTTAAACATTTCAGTTTAAAACAATCATGATTATTTACAAGTTTTAAAATATCTTAAAGAATTTGTATAATAATTTTAATTATGAAACTTTAAATCTTGTTGTTGGTCTTTTTTTATCTTTCAAATTTTTTTACATGTAAAGATACATATTTCCAAACAGCACCTTTTACACATAGAACAAAAATTATAGCAGGATGTATAAATAAAACGTACTGAACATCCTGCTTTCATATTGGTCTGTTTACTTAAAAAATACATATTATGTAGTCAAGTTAAAATAGATCATGTTTCAAATATACTTTTTTTTGTACAGACATTAAAAAATTACTAACATGCTACAGTAAATGTACCACTTATGTTCTAAAATTTTATTTTTTTGCACAGTTAAAAAGAATGAAACAGCAGAGTGAAGTAAAACCACCATCCATTATTTTACAATATAATTTTATATATATTAAAATAAAAAGGCGATAACATGAAAATATCTACCCCGATGAGATCAAGAACGTTAATTATTGTTTTTGGAAAGCTATTCCAAATCATTATTTATTATACAAGCTTAAATTTTAACACTAGAAACACCATGTTCACAAAACTGCAAAATGAAGGGATAAACAAAAAAAAGTACATCTAAACTTTGTTAAAACCAAACGTCAAATCTCAGTATGTAGTATAATAATTTAAAAAGTCCTCAAACTAAAGATTTATAGTAATTTTGCTAAAGCTGAGTCGATAAATTTTGTGATTTTTTTTACAAAAATTCTAAGTTCTTTCTTTGCATTTTTTTTTAAATCAATCTTACCTGACATTTTTATATATAAAATGTTCCGTATCTCAAGATCTCCAAATAATCGTTATTTAACGGTCACTAAACATTACACACTTATACTCACAGTAAATATATTAAATAATACTTTTAATTCTGTAGTTTGGTAAATAGATATAAATGCAAAGAAAGAAAATTGAATTTACGAAGAAAATTAAACAAAAAATATTGCAAGAATTTTCGTTATTTATCTAAAAAAATATATATAGTTAAAATAAAAGTTACTAATATCTTCTTATTTGTACAATGCTTATATACATCATTATATTTTTTTAAATTTTTTTCAATAAGTACAGACTATTTAAATCAAATTATTGTACATTGTTTCAGGTATATACATTACCTTAATTTTGTCTTTTATAGTATTTAAAAATTTTCTACTCAAAAATCAATTACCTTTAAAGATATTTTTTTACTTTTAAAAATTAAAAAAAAAAATAATAAAAAACTGAGCAAAAGTGGTAACGGGATAATGATATTAGGTACTTGGGAGGGTGAAAATTCAAACATGCTTACACAAAAAAAAAAAAAAAAAGTTAAAACACACGAGGTATTAACCGGCTCTTGACCATCATCGTATAAGTCACCCAGGCAGTCGGGTGTTGTACAAAGCTTCTCTCTTCTACACGAGTGACTTGATACAGATGCTCGAATATGGCGAAGAGTGGAATGACAAACGGAACCCAATGAAACTGGGTGACGCCTCCGCACAATAAGCCCCATGCCATTTGCATGAGGAGAAAACCGGTATAGTTCGGGTGCCTTACAAATCCCCAGAGGCCGCCTCTGAAAAGATTTGAACCGAATCTTCTCTCCTGGACAATATCTGAAATAATATGTTTAATTAATAACAGTAAAATGTCTGGAGTGATGGTACACTAGCTAATTTAGTGGATGTCCTTAGTTAAAATTCATTGACAATTTAAAAGTTTGTCACAATTCAATCAAGTCCCTTCTTCTTGTACTGGTCAAACTAACTTTTAAACTATTAACTAATTTATTCACTTTTATTAGAACCTTTCAAGAAGACCTGGCTTCAGAGAAACAAACATCAAAATAAATATGCTTCCAGTATTAGAAGTATCAACTTTTTTTTCACTCTCGATGTCTCTGGATCGAGGTATGGCCTTGAAGAAAAAAGCAAATTCTGTTGTAACTGCCAAACTTCCAGCCTACTTAAGGTCATCATCAGAGCAATACAATCTTAAATGTTTACGGATTAACTTATTTATTTTTAGATCACCTGTAAAAAACTTAACTATGTCAACCTGTAGACATATTTAAGATTGTTTTACCCTGATAATGGCTGTAAAATAGATGTAAAGCTAGGCAGTAACAACTCAATTTGCCTTCTTCTATTTTTTTTTTTTTTTTTTTTACGAGGGTTCGCAACAGCAGAGATCATATAAACCCTCAGGGTGCCGTTGTTTTTGAAAAAAAAGCCCATTTGTAAGTATTTCGGGTTTGAATGCAGGGTCGCTGGATTCGAACCCGGGGCCTTAAAGTGATGAGCGCCGTGTCAAAGACTAAACCTTGCGGCCACCAACGCCCCCCATTTTTTTTGCTATTTGCCTTCTTCAAGACATATTTTGATCCAGAGTTTTTGTGAGTGAAAATAAATATGCACTTTTTTTTTAAATTCAATTACTAGGTGCCTTTACTCCCTTCGCTTGCCAAGCCCAGGTCATTTTGCCACACTGTTTTTTCATTTCTCACTCATCCGTACCATAAAAGCTAGCAGGTGGCCCCACCTTTTTTTTTTTTTTTTTTTTTTTTTTAAAATAAGTAAAAAAGAGCAACTTCAAGTAAATAAACTCAAAAACTTCCACACCTTCCAATTTTTGGAAAGCTTGCTAGAAAAAATAACTTGTACGCTATTCCAAAGCTTCATCAAAAACAATATTTTCTATTTTTTCTTTTACTTTGCATTCTACTTTAATGCCGATCTTGGTGATTCACCACGACAGGGCTACAAATAACAGTCTATTTTCTATTCTGTTTTTTTGAATTTTCAAACCTATTTTCTCAAAACTTGTTATTTATTTATGGTCATAGCATATGCTAAATAAACTGGGAATTGCTATCATTTCAAAAGAAAGGGCATCTCGTGTCAAAATATATGGAAGGATATGCACATATCTCCCTTTTTATTTCGCAGTGAAGTATCGTCTTATGAATTTTTCTTAATATCAAACGGGTCCCATTACGCAAACCGTGTCCTATGCATAAATTTCTTAACGGCATAACTATATATCCTGCTTTTAAGTTCTGCAGGAGGCAAATCCGAATGTTTCTTTTTTTGTAATTATCAATGATACATTTTAAACATATGTTTTCATTGTTGCCTAGAGGCTCAGCATGAAAAAAGATGGAGAGATCTTATGATAAAAACTTCCATAACTTTGAGAATCGTAATTCATTTTTAGCATTTTTTTAATTCAATTGGTATTAAATAGCTGTTTACTTAACATGTAAAAAAAATACAGTCCTCGGAGAAAATCTTTCACAATTTTAATCTGAACAAAAAGCATAAACTAGCTAACTTCCGAATTAAAATAAGTACTAATAGTATTTTTTTTTTTTTTACAAATTTCAAATTAGGCTTATTTTGTAGGGGAAAAAACCGTTCCTTTGTCCAACAATACATAATTGACATGGTTTCTTAAAGTTTAAACTTTAATAGAATTACAAAAAATACTGATAAATGTGAAAAATTCTATTAAAATATTTCATTTACCCTCTCCCTATCTTTTTCCCGTTCTCCATCAAAATCGTATAGGTCCCTTTCTCTCACTCCCACTCTCTCTCTCTCTCTCTCTCTCTCTCTCTCTCTCTCTGTCTCTCTCTCTCACACACACACAAAGTTAAAACTTTTTTAAAATATTATAGAGATATTAGATATTATTAAGATTATTTTCAGTTCAAAAGCATTGCACTAAATTCAGTGGATATCTGCAAGTTTTTCTTGAGTTGGAATGAAAGTTCTTATACAGACCAATTCAGATACCCACAGTTTTTCTTCTTTCTTAGAAACTAGAAGACCCTAAGATTAGTTACGAAGAATGGACCTTGATCTAAAATTTTACGGCAGAGAAGTTTCTATTTATTTTTAACTACTGTATTTTGTTTGATTTATTTTAATAAACGGAGCATAGATTAACTTACAAATCTAACACAAACTTATATCAAAAATTAAAGGCATTTTTAATTGGACAATTTTTTTCTCTTTTGTGAATATATCTATTTGAAAATCCATGTTTGCAATTGATCCTAAAATTTAATATTTGCTCCTGCAAATAAAAAATGTAATTGTGAAATCTGTTTGATGTTAAAATGATAGTGAAGTGGTTGGTAGACAAATGGAGTGGCCCTAGTAATCGAGTTGGAGGTCAATGCCCTCTGGAAAGTATCATTTCTGGCCTATCATCTAACTGGTTCGTTTTGTGGGAAATTGTGCTTAATTGTCAAGTCTCACTTACCCTGGAGTTTATCCACTCTGTGGTGTTTGAGGAATTTTGCCTTCTGTTCAGAGCTCACTCTATAAACAATGTATCCGACTAAATACATCAGAGAGGCAGCCATCACGACGTAGAAATTATTAAAAACCCTTAAAAAATAAATAAAATTAAAAAAATCATTATATTAAAATTTAATTAGTTGAGAAAAGACTCACTCGACCGTTTGTAAATATTTAGGCAGGAGAGCAAGCCAAAAAGGTAAAATGGAACGCCAAATAAGAAAAAAATATCCAGTTCCTTCTTGTGTGACTGTGTAAGTTGATAAAAAGGAGTTTTCAAACATTAAGAAATCTAAGGCAAACAGAACCTGAAAGGCGCAAACTACCATCAGCGGAACTGAAAACTCGCTCGGCCTTGCTACACTTTCTACTTCTTTCAAAGCAAACAGACAATTCAATAAAACCTGTAAATACACATAAATAAGTTATACACCGCACAAAAAAATTATTATTTTAACATACCAAAGTTACAAACGATGTCCTTAAAACAACAGTCTTAAAATCAAGAGGGCCAACACGAGGGTTGACTTCTCCACCCGTCCAAAAATCGTAGACGAAATAGCCCGTATTGCCCAATGGGTTCCTGACAACTTTCTGGTATACGGATTTGACATATAAAACCACACTTAAAAAGACTGCATAGACTGTCGCCATAAAGAGAAACGGGACTGACTTGTCTAGCAGTTTGGTAAGAGGGAACGAAGTGTAATAGTAGATAGCAGTGAAAACACCAAGGGTCACAAATAAAGTTCCAATTCCTAAAAAAAAAGTTAAAAAAATTAATTTACAAAAAAAAATAAAAATTATTCATTTAGGATCTACTCTTAGGATTATTTCAACCTAGACATTTATTTTGAACTCAATTCGCAGGTTTATCCTAAGAGAATGTCAAATTCTAAATAATTTGCTCCAAAATAAATAAATAAATTTATAATCTTCTCTTATTACTAAATCCTAGCAGTGATTCCAGACGAACTGGATATTTTTCCCCTATTATAATCAATTATTTACTTTAACATTTGACAAAACAGCATGTTAATTGATAAAATTTGGGATGTTTTTTATTTTAGGGAAATGCAAAAAATGGAAAGAGCTCTTGTCATTGCTTATATCCGCAAGATCCATAAAATGCTTAGTTATGGCTAAATGAATCTAGGTCTCGTTAATTTTTGTACAAGCATTTTTATCTAAAAGAACTACTGAATACAAGCATTAAATTAACATTATCCAGCCCACTTTGATATATTTTATTTTTACACTAGCAATTTGTTATAATTTTGAACAATCAGACTAATATTGTTATGTTGTTTTGAACAAATACATTAACTAACGTGTGTGGGTATTTCGGTGGTACATATACTAAAATATACAAAATTCAATACATGGTTTTTGTACAAATATATTTTTAAACTGTACATAATACAAACCATTGTTCCTATACATCAAACGGGTTCCTCGTATGACTGTGCCATCACTTTTAAATCCAAGGGGGAGAGTTGCCAAAATAAACTGACTGAGCAGAAAACCCGTATACCAAACTGCAGCGTCCTTGTCAATGACTTTAACATGAGAGAAAGTAACGTTTGGCACAAGTGAGCAATTTCCCTAAAAACAATTTAATAAAATTAATTGACAAAGTTAATTTTTTTTTAATCGAAAATATAAATTTACTGAAACACATCCGACGTAAGACAAGAAAACAAGTGCAGGGTAGAAGAACATCATGAAAAGGGCGAGCAAAGTCTTTACAAAACCGGTGTAATTTTGAGTGGTTTTTTTCGTCTCTTTGACATTGTTCTCAGGCAGGACTGTCACATCTGAGTCACTGTCTTTGAGTCCTTTGGCATTCTGATTTTTCTCAAACTGAAATTAATTAAATATCTCTTTTATAAATATTTTCAACAATACTGGCTTCATAAATCAAATTATTTCAATGAATTCTAACACTCCAAAATATTAATCCTGACCTATTAATAAAATTTGGTTTAATATTTTTGATATTATTACAATTTTACTATGATATATAGATTATATGGGAGGATCGTTTGGAAAATTAATTTTTTTAAATTAGTATGCCCCTATTAATAATAATAAAGGGTTCAATTATTTTCATTTGCATACACAATATTTAGTAAAATTATAACAGGATCAAAATCAATTTTTTAAAATACTATTCAGTTTCTATATTGTATTAAAAAATAATAACTGAAGTGTTCCCAATACTTATGAAAATTTTGAAAATGAAAACAAAAAATAACGATCCGGTGATAAGTTATCTTATTTATTTAAAGATTAATCGTCACTTTATCAAGATATAAACATAATGTTAATAGTTAATAATTCACCTCGTCTTTAAACGTACTGCGTGTTAATTTCCTCACTGAGGTCATCATGTCAGTAGCAACTTCCTCGAATTTTTGCACACTGCTTCGAACGACCTCTTCGACCATTTTTCTGTCAGGCGTTAGAGAATCCCGAATTACTTTAAAAAAAAAAATTAATAATTTATTTCTCAAATATAGGTACAATACAATACAAAAAAAAAAGTATCTCACTGGACCCCTCCCTTGACAGCATTTGAGGATGCTTCAAGTATACAAGATATATAAAGAAAGAGAGAAAAAGTTATTTAAAAAAAAAAAAATAGAATATAACGGTAAAAACACAAATATTGGGTAAATAAACATGTAAAAGAGAACAAAGCAAGACAAAGGGGAGCAAATAAAATATGAACAATTGTTAAGAACGAATTAGAATTTTTAAAAATTGAATTTATGTATTAGTAAGTATCTAATGAGTGTAGAAATGTGTGGTGATTAATGACGGTTAGTCGATATTTATTTAGAAATCGTGAGATGCGGTCTGGTGTGATGTAGGTTTCAGAAAAACATTTTCTTTATCGTGCCAACGTTTCGATCTTCATTGAGATCATCTTCAGGGCTGGGATTTACAAACATTGTTTACATATAACAATTACATTTTGGATGTGGAAAAGTGAATTTATACAATGCAAAATATATTTTTTATATATTCAATCAAAGTATTTCTACTCACTCAAAGTGTTTGCCTTCTGTGTAATTGTGCCATTCTTGCGTGTCGTGTCGAGACGCAGCCAGTGAGATTTTGCTATTTTGTGTTTATATACGTTGGATTTTGAAGGAGTGGGGAAGGAAGTCGGTATAGAAAAGACATTTTTGTATAAGGCATCGGCTTATTTGAGGTGAAAAGAGCCGACGAAGGGAAAAAATCCACTTTTCCACATCCAAAATGTAATTTTTATATGTAAACAATGTTTGTAAATCCCAGGCCCTGAAGATGATCTCAATAAAGATCGAAACGTTGGCACGATAAAGAAAATGTTTTTCTGAAACCTACATTACACCAGACCGTATCTCACGATTTCTAAATAAATATCTAATGAGTGTTTAGCAATACGAGTCGAGTTGAGAAATGAGCTGGGATAAAAAAATAATATACATTACTATAATTTTATTTTTAATATAATTATAACACTAGTGTAAGAATTGATACTCATAAAAATCCAGCATGATCTCATTATATATTATTGTGTTTTTATTGTTGTTACATAAACATAAATAAGGAATAACTGCTTTATGTTCATTGGATATTTTTTAAATAATTTTCTTAATAACTAACTAGTAAACTTTTTTTTTAATATTGATTTTAATAAGTTCAAACTTTGGTAGTTATTAGCTAGAATAAATGTACTTGTTAAATTGTTCTTTATCTTGATGTATTTAATAATAAAACAACATATATAGCAGTAATAGAAATGTCAAATTCATTTTACAGCTTTTATAGACCTGTAAAGCCATTGGGGCAATGGCTCAGGTACAACTAACGATTTATCCAAATCAGGCTTTATCGAATATATCATGACTCAGTTAGGTTAAGATATTTACAAATGTAATTTATTGTACATGTAAAAATATTGAACGTTAAGCGTATTTTTGCCAGGATTGTTGCGAGTACAGATTCACTGTGATATTTGTCACCTTCTCAGGGTAGTGAATCTGGTATCAAATTGGTTCTGTGGTCCAACCATCACAGCATTTATCTTTCTGGACTATTTCAAAATAACAAAATGTATGCAATATTTTCTAATTTTATATATATCTTTGGGCTAATTCACTAATTATTTGTCCACTATTGTATTTCAAGTGTAAATATCCGGAATTTGTTGGTTTATTTATTTTTCTTTTTTGCCTTATGCTTTTACGTATTAGCCAGATTCTATGTAGTGTGTATAGATTATACTTTTGGGGAAAGAGTAACATGAAAGTTAATTCTAAGTGTGTAGAGATTAGTGACCGTTAATCGATAGTTATTCAGATATCGTGAGATGCGGTCGGGTGTGATGTAGGTTTCAGAAAAACATTTTCTTTATCGTGCCAACGTTTCTCGTAGCACTCTCAACACGACACGCAAGGATGGCACAATTACACAGAAGACAAACACTTTGAGCCCTGAAGATGATCTCAATAAAAGATCGAAACGTTGGGACGATAAAGAAAATATTTTTGTGAAACCTACATCACACCCAACCGCATCTCACGATATCTGAATAACTACTGTTAATTCTAAGGGAGACAGTGAAAATCGAGCCCATGGCTGCAAGGTCTACGAGCCGAGAGCATTTCACGCTCACTGCTCGACTACCACGGTCTCAAACCTATAAACTAAAAAAATTCTGTTATGCCAGAGTTGGTTATTGTTCGAGGGAAATTGTTCGATGTCACATTGCCAGATCAGTGGCTCTGGTATCTCAATAATCACAATTAAGCGAAAACAAAATTTTAGAAAATTGATTAGATCATTAAGACACATTAACTACAAGCAACTTGGACATAACATTATTCGTGATCATGTAAGAAATAAAAAATTTGTATAAATTTGTATTGTGTATTTCTGTTGGATTAAACTTGTTCTAGATACTGTAACAATTTGAAATTTAAAATTCTTTTTCGACAGATTGTACAGATCACCAAATGAAGCTAGTGCTGCCTGTTTTTTAACACTAACTCTGTTTCCAAATGCAGTAACAATTATATTTGAAAAATTACAATTGCCCTCTTAAATCCTTTTTTTGAGCTTGTTACTGATCAGTCAACACAAGGAGATCTCACAAATTATTAAATTTGTTGCTAAATATTACAAAAAAAAATCATAATATTATGATTCCTTCATAGCCATACAGAGAAATTGACCATTTTACGATACTTTTTTATTAAATTCTCAAATAAAATTCCAAGAGGCTACACAGGGATTGAAATCCACCACCGAACACAGATTAAAATATTAAATATTTAACACACATTTTGGAGAGAAAAAAAGATAGATTCTTACGCTCAATTTTCTTGAGTGCGTTGGCCACCTTTGACGGTTTTGACGGTGACTTGGACTTCGCATTACTCCTAGCCACCCTCTCAGATTTTCTGGTAGGCGACTTCTCCTTGTACGGAATCTTTTTCTTCGTTTTCTCCGACTTGTCTTCCTTCTGAGACCGTGACTTAGACCTGGACCTTAAAACCGCTTCATACCTCGAAGGCGATTTCCTCAAGCGTGATCTCTCCATATCTAGTTTAACAAATAAAAAAAAAAATATAATAATTGAATTATTGTTATTATTGATATTATTTAACTGGATCTTCTTGTGATTTTAGTTTCTGTTTTAGTTTATTATGGAATTTTTTTTTCTTCCTGGACAACTTCCAATCGGCAGGTTTAATTTATTAATAAAGACCCACGTGGTTTTTTTTATTCGAATAAAGCCTCCTTTTCGGCCTGAAAATAGAACCGCGAGACCCGACAATTATTAATAGAAGCGAAGCGTACCTCCGAACCGCTGAGGTTAAGGGCCTTTGCCGCGTCGAACGCAGCGAAACCCGGCCCCCGAGGCTAAACGCAGTACAAAACGGCGTAGTTCAAGAGTAAAAGAGGCAAAAACGAAATATTGAGACTGTCGAAACTCACCGTAAAATGTTACACAGATTTACACGGAGGATCGTTGAGTCGGCGACAAAGAGACGCTACACAGGGACCGACGCTCAACGTCCAAAACAACACAAACATTCCCGACTTAACGGTAGGTTGCAAGTTCTTAACCGTTGAAATTACCCTCGGAAACCCCCTCCAGCTAACAACGCCTCTTCTATTACAAATCTACGTGTATTCCCTTACTAAACTGCCTTTTTCTTTATTGAAAAAGTATTTTTTCAGCCCTAAAAACTGTCATTTCCTTCCAACTGCGAGCACTCGATCTTTTCGTAATATTAAAATAAGAAGACTTATATTTGCTTATATCTGCTGTTACGCAATCAGTCTCATACATAATGCGGGATAATTTTCAAACCTCTAAGGCCAACTTCTGCTATTATGTACACAATTAAAAAGATCAATGTTAGTTGTTAGAGCTATTACAGCAAACTTTGATCATATTGATTAATATTATTTGGCTGATCAATTAAACAAAGAAGAATCAGAATTAACCTGATTTTTCCCACGTTCTGCATTAAACTGCTCATAAATGAATAGGGTTATTGCCAATTTTATAATATTTACTTTCCCTAGCATTTTTATTATAAATTGCATTCAAATTTAATAATGATTAAATAATTCAATTATTTTATCTTTACTTAAGAAAAAGTTAATTAAGAGATTTTGAAAAATAAAAGGTTTTAATTCCAAAATTTTGTTTATCGGGCACAATAATTTTTTTTTTTAAACAATTAATACCGTGTAATAAGTAATACCCACATATGGCACTCTCAACACGACATGCAAGAATGGCACAATTACACAGAAGACAAACACTGAGCCCTGAAGATGATCTCAATAAAGATCGAAACGTTGGCACGATAAAGAAAATGTTTTTCTGAAACCTACATCACACCAGATCGCATCTTACGATTTCTGAATAATAATTCATAGTATACAATATAGGACCAGCAGTCCTTACTGGTGATACATTACATTTTCATTGTGAAAAATATTGGCACATTATTTTTGTTATTTAGATTGTTTAATTATCATGATGCAAATTTATCTCATCAAAATTTACAAAAACTACCAATTTTTCCATCCCAGTGATATTTTATACTTAATTAATTATACACAATTTTTTTTCGAAATGAAAATTTTTTGTCACAGGCGGGATTCGAACCCACGACTTTTCGGCTCAATACGCCGCTGCTCTACCACTTGAGCTACCGTGACTGATCGCCCATGCCACAAACTTCTCATTTCGACTACCTGATTTTATTCTAATTATAAGCAAATCGCGGCTTCATATAGAAACACTTTGTATTAACGATTATACTAGATTAGCGGGACTGTGTACGATTCACAGGTGTGATTCTAGATTAATACTAATTTTTATCAGCTTCTATTAGTATAATCGTTAATAAAAAGTGTTTCTATATGAAGCCGCGATTTGCTTGTAATTAGAATAAAATCGGGTAGTCGAAATGAGAAGTTTGTGGCATGGGCAATCGAAGTCACGGTAGCTCAAGTGGTAGAGCAGCGGCGTACTGAGCCGAAAAGTCGTGGGTTCGAATCCCGCCTGACACAAATTTTTCATTTCGAAAAAAAATTGTGTATAATTAATTGAGTATTTATATAATTAATAGAAGCTGATAAAATTTAATATTTTATACTTATTTTGTAACTGTGATAAATAAATACCATTATTGTTAATAACATTTGCCTTTCTAGTGACGTAATTATTATTTTTTAAAAAATGAGACAGATGAAGCATCCTAATTAACAATATGCTCTTTGATTTTCACAAACTTCGCCCAATTTATGCATTTAGATGCTAAACCGGTTTTGATTTCTCCATTGGAGCGTAAGTTGAAAAATAGATCACGTTTATCTCAATAAAGCATACGAAGAAACCTTCAGCACATTTTCTATTGTCATAATTTTTTTTATTAACTTTATTAACACTGCCCCAAAAAGAAAGATTCATTAACGACTGAAGAAACTATAAAAATTGTATATTATAACAATATTCAAACATATTCTTTTTACATTGTAAAGTTTATAAAATACAAACAGACATAATTAGCCGAAGCCATTAGCTGTTAAATTTTTTTATATGTTTCTTACTAAATTTTTTATTTGTTCATTTTGAGATAATATGCTAAGCATGCCAGAACTTACAAGTAACTACCACATTCCTCATCCTAATTCTGTTCTTATTCGAAATTAACTTTTTTAAAAATCATGTTCTTAATTTGTGATTTTTTTTTAAATTAAATTAATTTATTAAAACTGATCTTATTAGACCAACCATTAATTTTACAATAATATTATAGAATAAATAAATGTTTACATTCTTATAAACCCATTGGTACAATAAGATTTACATTTCACTATTCTTTTTTAACTACACAAGTTCATATGGCTTTGTTCTTTTTAATCTTCTGACCATGTTTTGGTTATGTAAGAATTTGGTCGCTTCCACATTCTCATGCTGGCTGAGGCGAGCCTGGTGTTTGGCGGCAAATCTTTATATTTCCGCCATGACTTCAGGGATCTTAAGATCCCTGTATGTCCTTATTCCTTATGTACCAAGGTGCATTGACCATGTTACGTTTTACACATTTTATTTTGGAGTGTTTGTATGATTTTGATATTGCTGTGTTTGGTACAAAGCCATAGTTGAATACTGTATGTCCACATAGGCTTTATGACTTTTTTATATAATAATATTTTATTTTGTATAGCAAGATTGGAGCCACGTCCTATCAACCAGCATAGTTGGTCTATACCTTAAAACTATTTCTGTCCTTTTTGTCCTTTTTTTTCTTCACGTGTTCTTTCCATCTCAGCTTGGCAACTAAGGTCATTCCCAGATATTTAGCAGTATTGCTGTATAGTATATAGTTCCATCGAACATGGTCCACCTTTTTGTTTGTAAAGATTAGATGAACTGATTTAGCTTGATTTTCCATTTTTTTGTCCATTCGTTTATCTTATTACATGCATTTTGGAGGATTTTTGTTGAATGGGTGATAGTCAGTCCAAGTGATATCACCGTCATCTGCAAACGTTGCAATTTTTACTCCATCTATTTTTGGAAAATCGCTGGTGTATAACAAGTAAAGCAGTGGGCCTAATATGCAACCTTGTGGCACTCCTGCATTTATTGTTTTTAATTTTGAATATTGATCTTCTTGTTTGTCTAACAGTCTGTCAGTTAGGTAGGAACTGATAATATCGACATACTGCTTTGGTAGCATAACTTTTAGTTTATTGATGAGCCCTTCGTGCCAGACCTTGTCAAAAGTTTGTGAGACATCAAGGAAGATAGCAGAACAAATTTGTTTTTCTTCAAGAGATTTTTCTATTACGTCCATTACTCGGTGAATTTGGTCTATTGTTGAATGTCTTGTTCGGAATCCAAATTGGTGGTCAGGAACGATTTTCTTTTTTTCTACGATGTGCTTTATTCGTTTTAATAATAACTTTTCGAAGAGTTTAGACACTGTTGGTAGTAGCGAAATTTGTCTATATGATTTGACCTCATTCGCCGATTTTCGTTTTTTTTTTTTATTTTTTTTTTTATCATAATGACTTCTGCAAATTTCCAGATGCTGGGAACATATTTCAGTCTGATTGCAGCATTAAATAGGTATGTTAGTTTAACTATACTTAATTTGTGATGAGCAAATATTAAATCCTCAATAAAAATATTAAAATTTATAGAATATTTAATTATTTTTTATTGAGACGCTCAAGTCTATTTTTAGCTGCAATATAATCAATTTATTTGATATACAACTGAGCTCACACACAGTTGAATATTTCTTACAATATGCCTGTAGAAACAAAAAATGAATATAAGGTAATAAAAAAACACACATAAATAGTGAAATTTATTTTGAAGACAAGTAATTACAGAAATTTATAAATCAAAATTAACTTTACCCATGGAAATTATGATATTGTTTTCTTCAATCATTTAACACTAATAAAAAAGAAACAACGTAATTGCTTACGATTATGGAACAGGTAAAATTTATTTGCACAATCAGTGGATAAATGCTAGTGAAATGAAACTACAGTTTCTATAACTTCAAATGCAAAAAAGTCCTTTATTTGCATTTGGGTAAAATTAAAGTTCTATTTAAATATAAATCTATTGACTAAAAAATGGTTCTAGCTCTAGAAAAATAATACCAATTATTGACTAATTTTAGTATCTAAATAAAATTTGAAATTTTAATAAAATGTACCTTCGAATTTGGTCATTTGATATAAAAATGTTTATTCTATGCAAAATAGAAAAAAAATGTATGGAAATTACATCACCTCATTGTAGGCACACATTTCACAATTAGTAAAACAAGACATTAAGCTGCTCATTATTTTTGTAATACATTCAACAATTTTAAGTATTTACATAATTATATTGCAAAAATCATTTTATCTTCTGACATGCAAGTTACGGCAAGCAACTTGGACTAAATTGCGACAATTTTGCACATTGAAACGTCTCATTTGTAAAAATAGACCCATTTATTTACAAAATTAGCAGTTAATTGTACATTTTAATAAATTACTTTCTTAAATTTACGAGAGAACAAACTAACGATACGACTTAGGGCAGGAAATAAATACAACAAAGTGAGAAGAATAAAATTATAGACACAAATTAAAAAAATAATCTTCACCAAATTCACTTTTGGATTATATACAAATTTTCCGAAATAAATTTAAAAATCATAATTTTATAATTTTATTTTTAATAGACATATCGAGTTGTTATACAATATATACACGAACGACTTAAACCGCTATATACACATTTTTAAATATCGTATAAATTACAAAGACAGTGTCTCCCTAATCAATTTTTTAACTGTTGATCCTACTGAAGATGTAGTCGGGCCAGATGTAGTGAATGACAGTTTAAAAAGATAAGGCTGAATATCTGGGTAAGTGGTGTCAAATATTAAATCCAGTTCTGATTGATTTGGCATTTTTGGCACATAATCATGCCGGTTCATCACCTCAGCGACATAAAGTATCTTTTCTGTTAAAAGTTCACCCACCTTTTCCCTGAAGAGTTGCCTTTCGTGCTCGGTATTCAGTTTGATAAGTTCTAGCCGCAAATTCCAGACCTCCCAAGGTATGCATTCCGATTGAAACGGCCATCTCGTTTTCTTTTTCTGAAAGAATTCAAGCGAAATCTGTCCCGAGCCAGGTCCGTCGTTCCCTCTCAGCGCTTCCGAAAACCCAGAAATTTCCTTTTTCAGGGTCCTGTCCAAGTTGAACGATGAACAGCAGACATAGGTGAAGTCGATGAAATCACAATCAACATCTTCGTAGCCTACTGTTCCCACTGAGTAACTCCCTTCTTGTTTGTAGCTGAACTTCCCGAGCGACCGATGAAACAATACTGTATGGAAAATGCTCGCCACTGCTTCATCGACCTGGTGTCCTTCCACTTCCAATTCAAAAGTCTGCGATCTCGTATTCATATTTTCTCTTATCCATGAGTGCGATCGCATATGAATACATTTCTATGTTTCTGGTATAATTTTCACAATACTTCAACAAATTTGTTAATCTCAATTATTTTAAAATCCATTGTTGCATTTAAAAACTATGTTAGATCTTGTTTGGTGTAAGTATGGGGTAAAAATTAAAAAAACCTAAATTTTAAAGGTTGTGGACTCCTTGGGCCCATGATCGATCTAGTCCCCCAGCTCTAAAACAGAACAAAATGTAAAGGATTAAAATATATAAGATCAATTAATAGATAAGAAAAAACTCTTTTTTTTGATAAATTTATTTATTCTCTTGTTTACAATTTTATATATAATCTTTACTGACATTGATCTAATTAATCAAAAGATAAAATTAATGTATCAGAGGGAATTTGTTCTCATTTTATTCGTAATTGTCCTGTTTTTAAAAGTGGTTTGTTTGCTGTCCTTAACAAGGCCAGAAATGGTCTCACCAAGATATAACACAACGATTTATATAAGCTCATTTCCAAGAGAGTATAATACCTATATCCTATTTTTAATATCTTCTACTTCAACAATGCATCAAATAGTTTATTTTTAGAGCATTGCCCTTTTTCCACAAAAACCAAGTTTCTAATAAATCTAATCTTTTTGTTCTCCAATACAATAAGATCAGGATCAAAGATTAGCTTATGTTTAAAAAGCAATAAAATAATCTTATTTACAGTTGCATTTGTATCATTTGTGTTTGTCATCATGCATTATATTTTAGGTACAATTAAACGTCAGATTTGAGAGTTATATTTATATCTTTTGTATATGCCATATGGACGCTAAATATAAATCCATTTTTGATCTGGGACAACCACTCAGCGTTATTAATAATTATTCAGGCCATAATTTATGTATCTGTCCTTTGCAAACAACTGAAACAATTTCTTTTCTCTCACAAACAGAATTTATTATTACAATGCTATTTGATCTTTGTTCTGAAACTATTTTTCATTACTACATTTTTTTTAAACCATTTATGTTTAGTGGTCTAATTGACCAAATTACTTATTTCAATTAATTATTCTTTTTATAAAAAGTTAGTGTCACAAGCGGGATTCGAACCCACGACCTTCGGTTCAATACGCTGCTGCTCTAACCACTTGAACAATTGTGACTTGAAAAATTGTAAAATGTGGGAAAATTCAAAAGGTTGTAGGTTGAGATGGGTAGTTGGTGTCCGAGTGGATCGAAGTAAATCATTAAAAAATTTTCAAATTCATAAATCATATTTTCAAAATATGTTCAGCATAACTGGCTTCAGAATAAGAAAAAAGTTTTTACCTGTAAAATAAATCTCACGGCCTTTATAAAGTTCTAAACCTTAAATGAACTTTTAAACATAATTTTTTGATAAAATGCTGCTTCATAACAAAATCCAGAATATAGACATTTACGTGTGCAAACAAATCGTCTTCTATTAATGCTAATTTGAGAAAAAAAAATCAAATCTAAATGTAACGTCAGCCAAGCAAGGTTTTAAGCTGTTTTTAAATTTGTCGATAATAGTTTTACGACAAATTCACCAAAATTTCAAACTATTACATTACAATAATTGAAATAAACTGTTACAGCCAGGTACTACAGTACCGCTATGATAAGGATATAACAACTAGATAATCACATAAATCAATCTAGAAGTATATAGTGTGAAACATGGTTAGGTTTGCATGGAAATGAATGGAGAAATGCCAAAAACTGTCCAATAAAACCAGTTCTCATAGGCAGACCAGGATGTGATATAGCCTCAGCAAATTCAAAGGAAAAGTTTCTAATACACATTTCAGCCTTGTATATCGTTGGGACATTGTGAACTTTGTAAGCATCATTACAATGATACGGTCTGTAATAATTAAGCCATGATGTATTCCTAATATATTGAAGTCTGTAGTTGCCTTGAGAAAGATTTTAAAACTATTTTCCCGTTGTTGCACAGAATTACATTTATATAATGCTTGCAAACCGCTCTCTATTAGCCAAGCTTTAAAATTAAATTGCATAGTGCTAATTTCAGTAAACAACAAAAAGAATAGATGTTTGATATAGATTCGTACTTTTCTAAATTTTTGCAGCTAGTATGGATAAATATAATTCACTAACAATAAAGACGTACATACTACAGTAAACAGGTCTAGTCAAGAAGATCATGGAAGAACAACAGACCAAAGAGATGAATGAGTTCTTTACTTTTTCACAAGAATGGGCAATATTTTAGCTTCAAATCAAGGAGACTTTTCAGAATGAATTAGGGATATCTCAAATTATTCAAGGACTAAAAGACAATTAGTATAAAGAAATTAACAAGGATGGCAACAAGTGACAAGATAGAGAATAAATTCATGTCTTGACTCTGTAGACACAAACTTTATATATAAAATGTTTTTACAATTTTCTTTTTGCAACTTAAATGAATTTTCAGCAAAGACCACTACTGGGATAATTATAGCGTCCTATTATTGCATTTTTGTATACAGCTGTCATGGGTTCGATTCTAAGCATTGCCCTTGGAAATTTACATGTACATTTGAAAACGTATGGTAGTTGATCTGTAATACCCAGCAAGTAATAATAAATAAAGCACGCAACAGATATTATTTTGTGTTGTTACTGAACAATAGGACAACCACAAGTGATGGAAAATTACAGAAATGCGTCAAAACCAGCGAAAATACATGAACAAGCAACAAATAACTATATTATTAAGTCCCATTAATTGTCAACACACGATGATCATGAAACAACAAACATTGTAAAATTAATAAACAAGTATCAATTATGGAATTGTCCCAGAGTCTGTATTAAGTATCATAAAAGTGACTAATTAATCAAAAAAGTCTTAATAATAGATAAATTGCCACTCAGTAGAAACAAAAGATTTTGTCGTCATCGAGATTGTTGTATTTCTCGTGCCGTGGATTCAAATAAATTCCAATTCTACAAGGAGTTGAATCATTCACTAACTCCTTGCAATGTTTTTTCTGCTCCGGTAAATGATGCTCCGTTCTCTTTTTTCGCTGGTGGTTTAAAATTCGAGGGGAGTTGTTGTTCCTGAATTTCAGGCCTTGGGTTGGGGGTAGTGCCACTGCAGTGTGCTCTCTATGCAACTCAGGTGGTCGTGAGGATGCATTTTGTTTTCTCCTAGATGGTCGGTCCTTAACGAATTGAGGTTTCTGTAAGTGGGTAAGGGTTTTCTGACGAGGGAAGAGCTTATAGCCCTTCTGAACGGCTCGTATTGCCGGGGTCTTGTTGATTTTGCTCAGAAAGCCTGGTTTTACAGATATGAATATATTGGAATGTAGGGAATTAATTTTCTGTTCGACTTATTTTGTTTCCTTTTTTGCTCCCGCATATAATTTCTATAGTTATTCAGATATCGTGAGATGCGGTCGGGTGTGATGTAGGTTTCAGAAAAACATTTTCTTTATCGTGCCAACGTTTCGATCTTTTATTGAGATCATCTTCAGGGCTCAATAAAAGATCGAAACGTTGGCATGATAAAGAAAATGTTTTTCTGAAACCTACATCACACCCGACTGCATCTCACGATATCTGAATAACTATTGATTAACGGTCACTAATCTCTACACATATAATTTCTATTTTGTGGGCTAATAAATGCGAATTCTGTTTGCCGGTGGAGGACCCTTTGTGAATTGGAATCCTTGCTTTGGTTCTTTGAAGTGTCATTTTTATTATTTTCAAAGTTTATCGCGTTTCAATTTTGTAATTTGAAAATCCTGTACATAATTTTAACCTCTAAAGTTGAATTGTAAATTCTCCTTTTCTTATAATTACATATGTATATTCTTGGAATAGTAATGCACTCCGAACTCTGGCTGACAGTCTTAATACCATGCCATAATAATACTATGTTTTTTATTTTTAACTCTAAATTTCTTTCATTTTGTACATAAAGTATATCTATCTATCTAAGATTTTTTCGAACATTATAAATTGTTTGTCATTGGGAGCAGTACTGGAATCACAACACAGATAATGGTACAAATCGGTGGCAGTAGTGGGACAAATGGGAAGATACAATTTCACTAAGCAAATCTCAATATCCTGTTAAACAAATTTTTACATTGTTATATGACATAAAAAAATATGGACCTTAACAATCATGAGCAATTGGTGCCAGTAGTGGTCTTACAAGGCAAACACTTATTTGCTAGGTAAGGGTCATCTAGGTAATCTGTAGACTCAAAATCTAAACTAGGGTTTAGCTCTTTAAAAGTACATAAAAAGTCAAAAAGGACCTTTCAAATGTCTTGCATTTAAAAAAAAAAATCAAAGCTTAAAAACTGGCTGATGCAACTTTCATTCAAGATAAATCTAAGATTAAACAATAACAAAAGTACAAATTTGTTACAGCGGTAGGATCATAAGAGAACAAACACGCTAGCCAAGGATAATCTATGATATATCTTATATATAAATCGGTATCGGGTATAAGAAAACTGATATTCAAGTTTAATGGTATCAAAAGAAATCTAATGTGATATCAGAAAATCTAAACAAATCAAGGTGCAAAAACTGGTTAACTCATTACTTCCACTTTGGAGAAACAAGTGAACACCATTTAAAGGTGGCTCCAGACATGTGGGATTCGCTGAGCAGCAATATTCAGTGCTTGCCATGCTCAGCTAGTTGTTGGTTTCCTTGTTCACTTCAAAGGCACAAACATTCGTGATGTAGCCGAACTTAAAGCATCCACTGTACTGTACGGAAGCAACTATAATTATCAATCAACACTGCCATTTATTTTTCAATACAAAACAATTTCTAACTAGATATATTGATGAAAGAACATCATAGCATTATTTCTGTTGGAAATGGATTGGCCCAATGTAACTGTTTTGTAATCTGTACCAATAATTTGGAACTCTTCCAAATCACACATATCGGAATCAGATTTTTGATAGAAACAGATCAAAAGTAAGATGGGCTAACAATAACCTGTGAATGATTTGTGACCAAATTTGTGGCACACAAAGCACAAAGCAGTAACCGCAGCTGCAGCAATGACAGTTTCACTGTTATCCATATGATTGGTAGTAAGGAGATTCGCATGGCATTTGACAAATATATATTCGCTCTTTCTGCACAAACTGCATGTGTATATCATAGGAACACTATTTGGCGAATGCCAAAACAAGCATCTCAAGACTTGGCAGACGTTCGGCAGCAATCGGCATTTGGCGAACACTGCGTGTCTAGAGCCAACTTAAGGCACACACACTAAACAAATCATGGTCAATGAAAGACAGCCAACTGCTTCGTTGGCCATGATTTGCTTAGTGTGTGCCGGGCGAATCAGAACCAATGAAGTGGTTGACCTTGGTCAAGGTTCAGTCTTCTGGCGGTAGCATCAAAAGAGTTGACAGTGACTGCGAATTAACATGGCCGAATCCCTTGGTTCGATGAGGATGAGCAAATGTGTTCGGCCAATCAGTCTGATATTGTCTTTCGTCAGCCGAGATTTGTTCACAGATGACAATATGGGACTAGAGAACTGAACCTGAACAGAAGTAGCCTCACGTATTAACAGTGAAGTCAAAGCTATGTAGGAACTTCTTAGTATTCACTTGGTCTTATTCAAAAGTTACTGAGGAGAGCCTTTTAAACACAGCGACTTGTGGTACAATATATCCTAAGTGACCATAAAAACATGATAGTTTTTTTTCTTTCATCCATGATTTGATTTGTCTCAGAGACCCAGGGGTAATTTCATTGTCGAGTATTGACTATCCCAAGGGGTAAAACCAGATAATATGCCCATGTAAACTTGACGAAGTTAGTAAAGCTTCCATAGTCGGAGTTTGACGACGCAGGTATCATTTGTATCAGGTAGATACCTATTTTGAAAGGTAAACCAGATCTCTCAGACCTAGATTGAACGTGCGCTATATTTTCATGCGCTTCTAGACCCATGATGGAATTTACTAATACTTTTTTTGTGGGTCTATTTTAGTTTTCTAAATTTTTAAAGTGAATATCTATCTTGATATTTGCAGAGACAATGGACCAACCTGGCCGTTCAAGAGAACCAGCAAGGCTTTTATGAGGAAAGATCCAGAAAGAATTTTAAAATTTCTGATTGAACCCAGTGAGGCAGATGGTTTTGGCGATATTTCTGATGATGACGAGACCAAATCAACTATACCTACTTGTCTTCATTTTAGAAAAATTTATGGTTATGGGAAAGCTATAAAAAACAGATTATTTTATGTATTATTACAAGTATAAGGTATAATTTTAATGGTCAAAAGACTGATAAACGATAATGCTAAACTACGCATATGTACTTGATAAGTGGAAAAATTATTTTTGTTATAATAAAATTATTTTTCTGGAATATTTTAATCTTGAATTCTTCATCAGACCCTCAGAACAATAAACATAAAAGTAAATTATACAAAAAACTGAAAAATGGTGGTTAAAAAAACCAGTAGTGGGGTATGTCTGACCCATGACGGAACAAACTAACGCCCGAAGAACAAGGGAACGGTACGGGTTAAAAAGTTATTGTTTAATATTTAGTGTATTGATCTTTTTTTCACAATCTTGGGCTAACCAATGGGTTATTTATGCGAAGTGTCAATTATATTGAGGGAGAAATATTTTGACTGAAATATATAAATTATCTTTTAGAATATTTTTGGTAAAAAACGATAGAAGAGAAGGAATTTTTTTTATCTGTGTATAAAGAACCTTTTTGAAAAATGCAGGAAACCCCTGGGAAAACCGTTTTCTCTCTTTGTACGACACAGACGAATAACGACGTCAATTACCAATTCTTGTTCAAGGCAGGAAAGAAAAAGACTGAATTCAAAACCTGTTTGCAAATCGAGACCGAACGTCCACGCATTGGGAACGTGGTCCACGAACCGTTTCCTACAAAGACGAACATCCTTTACGGGTCTATACGTCAATTTCGACTTCTCTGTCGCCCCCGTACAAAGAGAAGAACAAAGACAAAAACGTCGAGACGCTGGCCCTGGCGATGAGTTAACAGACGTAAATAAAAACACACGCGAACACAGAGAACGATTATTATTATACAATTATTCAACCCATACTCACGCTATGAGACTGCGAGGAAATACTTCTCATTACAGTCTACTGACTGGAAAAAGGACAGTCTTCAACATTATTCTCCCTTCTCCTTATCGAGATAAATAAACACAAAAGCACCACGATTGGCCCAGTGTAAAAATGAGCATTTAATCGAAATTCCTCATCTTATAACTAATCTTTATTACAATAATTTTTATTATTTATGACAAGGATTTTTAAAACTTTTTCAACTCATTTAAATTAATGAGTTACTTTTAAAATGATGTCATGCGATCTACTGTAGACCGCCACTACTTCAAATCGCACTAACAATTTATATTGTAAATACCAAGTTTTAATAAATTGAGCTTCCTTTATCGCAAACAGAGTCTAACTCAAAAGAATGTTTATTAGTTTGAAGAAAAGTTGGTAACATTACAATTTTATCCGTTTCATTATATGTATTTTATCACTATATTCTTTTTTTTAACCTTTATTTTTACTAAAACTTGCTAATTTTTTGTTCCATTTTAAGTTAATTAATTTTCAATGGTTGGTCTTTTGTAATGTTCTTTTGTTTGTCTCTCCTGTTAGCTCTTAATCTAAGCATAATTCTCAGTTTTTGTTATTCTTTCAATACAAATCCATTGATTTATTTAAACATATAATCAATGACAATTAATTTTATGCCCTTTACTTTACAGTGATGTGCGCCATGTCACCGGTTAAACCGTTGTGGCCACCGATACCCCATCATTAATGTTTAACAATTGATTAATATATCTTAAATATATATGTATTTAAATTAAGTATTGCTAACAATTCATTAACACAGTCAAACTAAAAATTAAAACAGTTTTTAGCAGAATGTCTAATGAAATAAAACATCTCTTGATTCAGGAAATATCAAGACTGTGCCATAAAATAAACCAAAATGCGTTAGATATTTATATGAATAAGTTCATATTTTATCTCATACTTCTTACTTTCAGTATATAAAGTATGATATTCAGTTCATATTTAATATTTAAAAAAAAATTAATATTAAAAAATAATAATAATAAGCAGGCACGAACAAGATTTTACACCACATATAAACTATTAAATATAGACCAGAAAAATTTTAAGCTACTTAATGACCGCAAAAGATTACATGTCATTAATTTTAAATTTTAGAGCAAAACAACTAGAATTGAACTATGCAATGGTCAGAGGAAAGGCATGTGTGCACTTTGAATATGTCCCAAATAGAAGAAACATACCGTTTTATAGGAATCAGCCCAATCCTGAAAATTACAATGATTCAAAACAACACATCAAGAGAAAGAATTATTCTGCTCAATATGCCAAAAAATATATAGTTCACTATATAATACATGAATTATAATATAGAAAAATGTCAAGCAATGGATTCAATTATTAAACCAAATAAATAAATTATTGGTAATATTATGTGACAAATAAAACAAATTATTGCGTACAATATCAAATTTAGTATTATGAATTTAGTTATCATGAAAGTTTACCATCTTACATAAATATAGTTAATAATAATTGTTTGTTTATTTATAGTAGATATATCTGTACATAAATTAAAAACAGTGATGTTTTACTATGTTTTCACCAATTCTGTTGTACCAAAGCTTGCTAATTCTTTGTTGGTGCGATAAATTTGTGTTTTTTCATTTAAATATATGTTAATCTAGGTTTTTTTTTCTTAGCTAAATAGCAAAAAGTGTTGGATAATTCTCGTTAGTTTATACTGTACTCTGCTCATAATTTCCTTGCAGGTTAATGTCGGTTCAAAATATATGCTTTCTATTTGAATTTATGTTTTTTAAATTTATTCAAAGCTTTTTTCGGATGGAAATATAATTATTATTTATCATTTATTTATTATCGTAAATAGTTTGTCCTAGGCTGATTTTTGTCGTTCCCGCCTCGTTCTCTCTCTGTTGGCTGATCTTTGAAACCTGTTAGGAACTTAAAATCGTGTTAATAGAGGGGCCTCAAATGCAAAAAAAAAATTGTAAATGAGTTTTTTTTTTCCGATGTTATATTTAAAAAATCAGAACTTTTTTTTAAATTAGGCAGTTTAATTAAAGTAATAATTAGTTTTACTTCCCCATCCTCCGTTAAACGTAAATGTCACTGTCAATGATGATCAGCTGAGTTGGACTCTCAAGTACTGTTGACATCCCAGGGCCCAGGGTCCACGTGTTATGTTGACGATTTAAGACCGCTATTCCGTTTTTCTTAGCACTTGGAACTCAACTTCGCCGGACGCCTTTCCGGCATGTTTTGACTGCCCTTTGCTAGATTTTACAGCAGAGCGTCTCTTAGCATATTTAAGCATGGGGCAGGAGAATATCTTTTTAGGACTCGGCGTTATTTTGAGCATCGCTCTACTGAGTGGTGGTCACCAGGGTCTTCCGCCCGGGGTCAACCCTCAGCACTACCAGGTACAAGATCATGGAAATAAATTCAATTTTATGATATGTTTGTTGTTAACTGCCTATTTTAAAGTTTATACTCTTCTGGACAACTTGGCCATATGCTTATTAAATTTTAAGCGCTGTTATAAAGTTTTGTTTGTTGGTTGGAGGTTGTTCGTTGATCGTGTAAAGTCTGGTCATTTATGCTCATACTGCTAGATTTTATAGGTTTAGAATGACGTACATTTCTTTAAATGCACTAAGAATGCTTCTAATAGACTGAAAGTACCAAGTTTAGAGTCTTTGATCATCTGTTTAAATTGCCAGGGTCATCTTTGTTTTTCTTTCTTTCTCACACTGTTATTTATAATTTGTACCAAAATCGATTTTTTAATTTCTTGGTATAGATTTTTTGATGCTCCTTGGTAACAAGTTTATTTAATAAGAAGTTCTTTTCAGAGGATCTTCGGAAATCTTCCTCTTCCGAAGATCCTCTGAAAAGAACTTCTTGTATCCAGCAGGTCGATAATCTATTTTCATCGTTAAGTTTATTTAATGTTTTTTTTGTCTTGTGAGCCTATTTCTGCCACCAATTTGCAAAGAAACTATCATTTGTTTCTACTGAGTGAAAGTACTAAGTTTAGGTTCTTTGATCATCTTTTTAAATTGTCAGGATCATCTTTGTTTTTCATTTTTTCTCACACTGTTATTTATAATTTGTACCAACGTTGATTTTTTTAATCTCTTTGTATAGATTTGCTCCTTGTTTAACAAGTTTATGTTATGCTTTTTGTCTTGTGAGCCTACTTCAGCTACCAATTTGCAAAGAAACTATCGTACATTTCTGCTGAGTGAAAGTACCAAGTTTAGGGTCTTTGATCATCTGTTTAAATTATCTAGCTCATCTTTGTTTTTCTTTTTTTCTCATACTGTTATTTATAATTTTACCAATGTTCATTTTTTAATTTCTTTGTGTGGATTGGCTCCTTGTTTAACAAGTTTATGTAATGCTTTTTGTCTTGTGTACCTATTTCTGCCACCAATTTGCAAAGAAACTATCATTTGTTTCTACTGAGTGAAAGTACCATGTTTAGGGTCTTTGATCATCTGTTTAAATTGTCTGGCTCATCTTTGTTTTTTATTTTTTCCCACAGTATTTTTTATGATTTGTACCAAAATAGATTTTTTAATTACTTTGAATAGATTATAAATCTATGTATAAATTTTTTAGTAGCTCCTTGTTTAACAAGTTAATGTAATGCTTTTTGTCTTGTGAACCTACTTTTGCCCCCAATTTGCAAAGAAACTATCATTTGTTTCTACTGAGTGAAAGTACCAAGTTTAGGGTCTTTGATCATCTGTTTAAATTGTCTGGATCATCTTTGTTTTGTATATTTTTCCCACACTATTGTTTATAATTTGTCCCAAAATGGATTTTTTAATTGCTTTGAATAGATTATTTGGAGATCGTAAGATGCGGTCTGGTGTGACAGGTTCGGAAAAACATTTTCTTTATTGTGCCAACGTTTCAACCTTTATTGAAATCATTTTCAGAGCCTGGGATTTATAAATATTGTTTAAATTATACAAATATATGTAAGATGTGAGAAAATGAATTTATACAATGCTAGAAATTCAATTTGTGCAAAAGTAGGATTTTAATTTTCTTTTAAAGGTTTTAGGTTTACAAATTTCTTAGTTGCTACTTTTTTAAGTTTATGTTAAGTATGAACCAATTAAATACTGTTTGTGGTTGAGTGAAAAGTGTATGGCAGAATTATATACTTTGTGCAAAATTGTACTCTATAAATGTGGTTTTGTATAAACAATTAATTAAGGTTTTTAGTTGAGATAAAAAAGTTAATGGCACGCGCAGGATTCGAACCCACAATCTTCGTCTAGATACGCTGCTGCTCTACCACTTGAGCTATCGTGACCTCAATCCACTCGGACACCAACTTCCCATCTCAACCCCACCTTTTGAAAAATGGCAATTAGGAGGGAAAATTCAAAAGGTGGGGTTGAGATGGGAAGTTGGTGTCCGAGTGGATCGAGGTCATGATAGTTCAAGTGGTAGAGCAGCGGCGTATCTAGCCGAAGATCGTGGGTTCGAATCCCGCTCGTGCCATTAACTTTTTTATCTCAACTAAAAACCTTAATTATTGTAAGATATTACCTGGTCAAGCGGATCACGAAACTAGTGAATTTAATAAGTTTTGCATAAAATTTACCTACTGATTTACACTATCAAGTGATCTGTACCCATGCAACACTTTCAACCTCTTCAACATGGATTTCCATGCTCTACTTACAGAGAAAAAGGTCCGCTAATGGATTTTGATTTTCCCATGATTCAACACATTTTAATGCCAGCTTTTATCTTGTCTCTCTCACTGCAACAGTAGGTTTGAAAATCGTTTGCCAACCATTTTTTGATTTTGTCTCAGCGTAACATGAAGTATGTGGTAACATAAAATCTTACGACTTATGAATGTTATAGGTGACTGCAGTTTGTTGTTTTTATTTACAAACTACACACCTGTGTATAATTGAATGAACTACAAATTACTGAAAGCAACTGGATTTTTGTTTCATTTTCTTTTTTTTGATGGTAAAGGATTCTTAGATATATCAAGTGTATGTATTTAAAGAAGTTTAAAAAAAATTACGATTGTAAAAGTTCTTCCTTTTTTATTAAGTACTTTGGAATGAATAAAATCAAATTTCTATGAGATCTTTGGTAAAACTTTCGCCTAGAGTTGAATTTAATTAAAATATTTTTTAGCTATTATTTCAGTTTGTTTTTCTTTTTTAACAGCAAGGTATGCATCAAGTGCCACAGATGCAACAAGTACCTGTACAGCACCATCCCCAGCAAGGCGTACCAATGCAGCAGGTATAAATCTCTATAAATTAAATTTCCTTTTTAACAATAACGCGCATTCTTTTGCCACAGCAACCACAGATGCACATGCAACAACAACAAATGCATGTGCCACAACAACAAATGCACATGCAACAACCACAGATGCAGATGCAGCCCGGCCAACCGCAAATGCAGCATGTCCAGCCACAGATGCAACACCCCCAGCAGCAAATGCAGCATGGCCAGCCACACATGCAGCCAGCTCATGGCCATCACCCTGGACAACCACAAGTTTTGAATGTGGCCAACATCCAACACGAAAAGGAGTATGTTTTATTTATAAACATTAATTTAATTAACAGAAATACACTAATTATTCAAGAAGACACATTAATGATCATCTTTGATGTTTATCCTTGCTGTTTACTGTTTTGGTCTGTCATTGTTTTTAAGCGTTACTGTATTGGAACAACAATATTGACAACTTAAATTCACTAATTTCGTGGTCCGCTTGACCAATTAAATCATTACAATTAATTAAGGTTTTTAGTTGAGATGAAAAAAAGCTAATGGCACGAGAGTGATGAAAAATGGCAAAAAGGAGGGAAAATTCAAAAGTTTGAGATGGGAAGTTGGTGTCCGAGTGGATCGAGGTCACGATAGCTCAGGTGGTAGAGCAGTGGCGTATTTAGCCGAAGGTCGTGGGTTCGAATCCCACTCATGCCATTAGCTTTTTTTCATCTCAACTAAAAAGTCAGTGTCACGAGCGGGATTCGAACCCACAAGGTCACGATAGCTCAAGTGGTAGAGCAGCAGTGTATCTAGCTGAAGATCGTGGGTTCGAATCCCGCTCGTGACAAAACTTTTTATCTCAAATAAAAACCTTAATTTTTTGAAAGATATTGATTAGTCAAGTGAACCACGAAAACCATTGAATGACACTGACATTGACACATTGAAAGACGTGAACTATGAGCATAACAACATAAATTTTCTTGACCTACATGTATTACAAAAACTGTCCACCTAAAAATGCAAATAACCAACAGCCACTGACAAGTCTTATTAAAATAAGTTGGTAAAATGGCAAAACTCGTATGAAAGACCAAAGTACTGATGACAAGCAGATCATGATAAAATAAACTAATCAAACTATGGTTTCATCACACCACATACCTCAAGAAGAATTCTCATAATTCAGTAATTCAAAGTAATAATTGATATTTTAGGCACATAGCTGAACACATGGCAGTTCCGATTGACACGAGTAAAATGACAGAACAGGAACTTCAATTTCATTACTTTAAGATGCACGATGCCGACAACAATAACAAGCTGGATGGCTGCGAACTCATCAAATCGTTGATCCACTGGCACGGTAAGCAAAACGATCATATAAGTCCAGCACGCTTTTAATTTGTTTGTCCGATGGTTTTCCTCGTCCCTTAACGCATGCATGTTCGTTTTCCTTGTGCTTTATCTGTGTTCTTAACATGTAGCAGAACAGGGCCATATCAACGAGGCATCAGGTCAAAAACCCGCCCAGCCGAAGTCTTTCAAGGATGAAGAATTGGTAAACCTCATTGACCCAATACTCTCACTGGATGACACTAATAGCGACGGTTTCATTGATTACCCGGAATTTGTGAGGTCTCAACAAAAAGCTGCAGCCTCTGCAGGAACACATTAGATTGATTAGTAATTCAACTTTCAACTGGGAGAATAGACTTAAAAGCCTTCACAAAAAATCTACTTAAATTTAAAGGAAAAATTACTTTAGCCTAGTTTTTAAATAAGTATATAAATTTCGAAAAAAACATGTACATATGTATCTTTCTTTTTTCATTTTATAAGAATAATCAGAGGCTGTATATAATGTGTTATGTGTCCCTCTGAAATTGTTTTAAATATATTTAACATTGTAATCTTATTTAAGTCAAAAGGGTGTCTGGGTTTGTAATTAAATTTAAATATTGGGGCACAAAAGCTCACATATATTGATAATAAGAAAATAAGTCTTGAGTGATCAACTACTGAAAGTGAATGGGTAACAAATAAATTATTTGTATGGTTGTGCATTTGATATTTTATTATTACCACCCTTTTCTTTTTCCTTTTTTTTCGTCCCAGTTCAGCATACAGAAATTATGCTTTGCATTTATTTTTGAATGATTTGTGTAGGTTTCAAATTTGTCAATGAATTTGTGAATGTTAAATTACACCATGGGATTGGATATTGTGCTTTTTTCCGAAAAGCTGTGCATCTTGTCAAGGGAATAATCCAGAGCATTTTGTTTAAAAAATGCGAATTTTTTTAATAAAATTGCTTATTTCGTGCTTGTGAATTGGTTTATTATCTGTTATTTTGGGTTTAAAGTTGTCGAGGTTTTGCAAAAAGACAGAGAAGAGAGTGAGAAAAGGGGAAAGAAAGAGAGAAAAGGAGAGTGGGAAAAAAGAAAGAAAGGTAGAGAGGGATAAGGAGAGAGAGAGAGAGAGTTGAGATAATAGATAGAAAAAGACAGGCATGAAAAGAAAGTGGGAGAAAAAGGTAAGTAGTTAGAAAGAGAAATATAGAGATAGATAAAAAGAAAGAAAAAGATTGATAGGGAAAGGGAGAAAAATAAAAAAAGAAAGAAAGAAAAAAGAGAAGCTAAGAAAGAGAGGCAGAGAGGGAAAATAAGGGGATAAAGAGAGATAGAAAAAGAATGTCTGAAAGGAAAATAAATGATAAATAGACAGAAAAAAAAGAGATAGGGAAGAAAGAGAAAGGGAGTGATAGAGAGGGAAAATAAAGGGATAAAGAGAGGAGAGATAGAATGATAGAAAAAAGATGTAAAGAAAATGAGAGTGAGAGAGATAAAACATAAGTAGATAGAGAAAGAAAGATGAAGGAAGAAAAAGGACGGGAAAGAAAGAGAGAGAGAGAGCAATAAAGAGATACCTATAAGTACATTAATAAAAAAAAGTGAGATGAGAGAGAAGAATTTCGTACTTTTGTTATGTAAACTTGTAACACTACATATTTTTGAAAAAGACTCATTTTAAATGTGTGGTGATTAGTGACATTAATCGATATTTATTGAGAAATCGTGAGATGCGGTCTGGTGTGATGTAGGGGCTCTCGACACGACACGCAAGAATGACACAATTACACAGAAGACAAACACTTTGAGCACTGAAGATGATCTCAATAAAGATCGAAACGTTGGCACGATAAAGAAAATGTTTTTCTGAAACCTACATCCCACCAGACCACATCTCACGATTTCTAAATAAATAAAAAACTCATTTTAAAGATGTGACACATTAAATTTACAAATCCTCTGCCAAAATCGTATAAACTAAATTCTGAAAAATAAATATTTACCCGATAAAGAGTGTTTTCATTAAATTAAAAAAAAAAATCTATACACCTTCACAAGAATAAAGTACATACATACACAGTTTGGATGTATAAAGATACAGTATTGACCTGTTAAATATTGTGTATAATACAGTGTTCGCCGATATACAAATAGCCATCTTTACTCAATACGTTGTCAACAGAAATAAAAATATATAGCACATAAGGCTAGAGCATTCAAAAATTCAGTTTACATCTTTTCTATGATATGGTATACAAAGGAACCACGGTGACCCGAGTTGGGTTGGGTGTCTGATTCTCTGTTCAAATCCCAGCATAGTACATGGCGTTTTAATTGAGAATCATATGAAAAAGTATTTTAAACTGTTGTGTATGTTAATCCCTCCTATATGACAAGAATTACTTTTACAATATACCTAGATTTAATTTAATAATGTTTGTATGAACACAAATACAGAGCACACATTCACAAATACACTGTTCCTACATACAAAAATATGAGTGTACTATACAAGAAGAGTAAATAAATAAATTTTAAAAATATACGTACAAATATTGTTTTATTATATATATTGTTTTATACAAATATTGTTTTATTATTAATATCTTTTTTTGAAAAGGTGGATCTTACAGTTTGAGAATATTCAATAGATCCAACTTTTCATACAATAACTTACCCAACCTTCATCATTTCCACAAATATTGTGTTCACTTATATGAAAATAAAGAGTTCACACAGAAATACATTGTTAATTTTTACAAAATACACAAAGTGAGGTAAAATTAGAATAAACAGTTGTAGTTTTAAAAATAATGAAACATTAATAGCTAACAAAAAAGCTTTTTTTTTTTTTTAAATTAATTTACAATAAAAATATGCTTTTCTTATTTTGTTTTCCTGTAACAATTGCATATGGCATTTGAATGCGACTAATAATTTATCTCTAATGACACTGACTAATCATCGTCAAAATTGTTAAACAGGTGAAAACAGTGTCCAGGAAATAGTGTCTGACGATGACTTCAGCTCAGCGATTGATACAATTTTGCTCAACGCGGATTTAGATAATGATGGCTATCTGTCGTATTACGAATATAAAACTTACGGAGAACAAACTAAATAAATATCTTTCGCAATTCTGTTGTTGACTTTTAAATTAATTCAATTTATTCTGAATATTTTAATTATGTTAATAAAGTTTCTTAATAAAGAGTTTTTTTTATTACAACATATTGGATATTAATAAGTAATGCATATAAGTAAGCGATATAGCATGAATATTGTGAAGCAGAATAATTAAAACAAACAAAAAACAATCTATCAACTTTATTCAAAACTTGATTCAAGCATGATTTATGTTAAAGCTGTTGAAATTTATTTTTGTTTAATGGCTGTTTATGTAATAAAATTTATATTTTTGTCATTTTTAGTTTAAAAAATACAGTTGTTTTTTTTCATACTGATAGTTATTTTGTTCTGAACAGGGGAGAATGCAAAGCAAGAGATGCAAGTTCACAGCGATGAATCCCTCGCATTTTTAGTCGATGATGTTTTGAAATCTATTGACAGGAACAACGATGGGTTTCTTTCCTACAGCGAATTTAAGACCTACTAGTCATTAAAATAAATAAATTTATGTTTAGCTAAGTAGTCAAGCTTTAAAATAAAATAGATTTTTAATTAATACTTATTTTACTCTTAAACATCTTCAAATTATCATTTCAATTAGGAAATTATTTTTGATTTGACCCATTTATCTTTTTTCGCATCTTTAAATCTGATATGTTGTACATTATATTTAACTATTACTCTGAGAATATTTGCAGCGTATTAAACCCATATAAGTGTAAGGTACAAGTCAGCCATATAACAGTACCTACAGTAAAAATAGAAATAACAGAAAAGTTGTGTATAAAATTTTTGAGGGCGTTGGTGGCTACAATGGTTTAAGCGTTGACACGGCACTCATCACTGAAAGGTAAAGAATCCCGGGTTCGAATCCAGTGGCCCTGCATTTGAACCTGACACAAATGTGCTTTTTTTCAAAACACCAGCACCCTGATATGGCCTCTCCTGTTGTGAACCATGTAAAAACATTTTTTCTGTTAGAAAAACAAAGAAGATTATAAAATTACCATGATATTAAAAAATTACATTTCAAAAGATTTATTTTTATTATTACTAACTTTTTAATTATTTTCATCAGCTTATTCTTAATTATATGATTACTCAATTAATTATACACAATTTTTTTGAAATGAAAATAAACAGGGAGTCAAAATGAGAAGTTTGTGGCGTGGACGATCGAAGTCACGGTAGCTCAAGTGGTTAGAGCAGCGATTTAGCTGAAAGTTGTGGGTTCGAACCCCGCTTGTGACACAGATTTTTCATTTTGAAAAAATTGTGTATTTTTATTATTATTTTAAATATCTATCTACCAAAAAATAAATAACGATTACTGTCGGTAATGCACACTTCTGCTACTTACAACAACCAGTTAAACTAATAAAAAAGATTTATTTCATTTAATCTATATCACACGTGCTGAAAATCAACTTTCGTAAATTGACTTTATCAACCAGACATATCAATTTTAACTTTTAACAATTTCAAAAATCAGCAATAGGAATAAATATAATAAATTAAATAGAATAAATTACAAAATTACGTTCCAAAAAAACGTAACCAAACAAGCTTAATCGATCGATATAACTCAAATATACAATATTTTCTTTGGTGATTGATCAGCCTTCTCAGTTTAAATATACTTTTTTCTTTCCAAAAGGTAGATTGGGGATGAGGCCAGGAAGACAGAACATTTATTTTCTCTACCGGCTATCCGTTATCCATACATGTACCTGTTCATATAATATAATGATTTTTTTCGAAGTCCTGATGAAGGCGATGTATTCTGCCGAAAGCTCAACAAGAAAATAAATGTTGTTTCTGTCTTCCTGGCCTCATCCCCAATCTACCTTTTGGAAAGAAAAAAGTATATTCAAATATACAATTTTTACCGTTCATTATTAAGCTTCATAAGCTCAATACAATTTTTTAAAAAATTAAAATCTACGAGATATTAGCTTATTTTTGATTAAAACCACATAATGTCTTTTACATTCATTTTTATTTCTGAAACTGGTATAATTAAATTTAAAACGAACTCAAATATTCATTCCAATCACATATGCATGTTTATTATATAACACTATTTTAACTTTATGGAGCACAATATTTGCTAATCTGGTATAATGCTCATGATAGTAATACTTTGTCTGTTTATCAGTTAGAAACATACGGGAGCCAACAGCCAAGAAAAACAATTCCTCAATAGAAAATACGCCTAGTTCGTCAAATAATAGGTCAGTATGATACCGAGGGGGTTGGATAGATGATCTTGAGTAAGGTTATATGAAAGACGTTCAATTGCTCGATTACACTTTTATTGGCATTTCCCAAGCAATAACCCCATAGCTAAGCAATGATTGACATAATGAATAATAAACTATCCGTAGAGACTTTAAATTCAATACTTGTCCCAACTGTTTGAACTTGTAAAAGAGCTTTCTAATTTGTATGTGGTAAATTAATCTAACACCACACACCAAATAATCTTAAACCAGATTATAACTGTAGTCGGTTGATAATAAAATAACCTCAAAAAACTCTTGGAATGTAGCTAACTGAATTTATTTTCTGTCTATAAATGATGGCCTAGTTCAGTATGCAAACAATTTATTGCAATTTATTTTTTACTATATGATTATACATATTTAGATTTGTTATTTATGCAATATGAGCCTTACATTCAACTACCCAAGGTGACAAAATCATTAAATCAGAAAGAAAAATTCAGGAACTATAGGGGGAATTGAACCCATGCCTGTGCTGTCTTTGCCAACCCAATAGTCTGACAATAAACCACTCAGCTGGTCTATAAATGTATATTTGTATGATACCGCTATGAAATACGAATCAACCTAAATCAACATGGCAAAAAGCTATAGGGCAAAGAACTTGCACTAGAATGTAAGAACCTTTTTTATTTAAACATATTTGAATTATTAATAATAATAATATGGATTTTTATACAATAAAACAAAATACATATTTTAAAGAAAACCTTTCTTGTTTGAATATGAATCCATAAGAAGAGTTGCAATATAAAATTATTACGCTTCTTTAATTATTTTAAACACCAGAAAGCAATATATAAATTACAGAATAAAAAGAACAGAGTAAATAAATTAATTTGTTTTAATAATTGAATTTTCTTGCAAGAAAATTTCTGTAAGCTTCTTTTAGGTAATTACATAATAAAAAATAAAGTATTTGTATTACGACATGAAATAGATTTGAAAATATTAACCACTATTTAAAAATGGAAATGTAATATTTATGAGTTAATTATGGTAATGTTGGGTTGAGTGTTGGTCTGCAAGGTATTAAAACAAACTGGGATAAACTATGTGTTCCCTTATAAAGAGGATAATTAAAAGACAATTTAGTATAAATTATTATTATATTTTAATATTTAACTCAATGCCAGAAAGCTGTAAAAATACATTTAGGCTCTTGTAAACTTAGTTAAGTGGTAACCAGGACCTGAGAAAACTAATGGATATTTCAAAAAATTGTTTAAGTGTTTTTTTGACAAAGCTTTTATTAGAAAAATGTTGGAATGATTTAATGCCATGATATTTTCAATTTTTTATAGCAAAATGTACTAGCGTTATGGAAGAACTATACATATGTTGCTTTTTATCCTAATTACACAAAAGGCAAAAGAAGTGGCCACCCTTAATATTTTTAATATCCCTTAGTCAAATCTCCGTTGATTACTTTACAACAACATTTGGTTGTTTTAAAGGATTAGTTGTAAATAAAACAGAGATAAAATTGCCCACTTCTGTTTACAATTGGATTTTGTAAATAAATCTTTGAATAGACAATATCGTCTTTGTTGGTTTTTCTGTTAAGCTTCTTTCTAACACTTCGAAGGTTTGATTTTTTTTAAGTTGTACCATTTTTAAGTTTCAAATTGGAAAAGAACAGTAGTGCAATAAACCCCCGCAACATTTTCACTCTGGAGAAGCTATGGACGTGGTTGTGAATATTTACTTCGTACTTTCCATAGCAACATTTTTGGTAAAATTGTTTTACTTAGTTTAATTTTTTTAACGCTAGATTATATTTTTCTGTGTGGTGATTAGTGACCGTTAATCGATAATTATTCAGAAATCGTGAGATGCGGTCTGGTGTGATAGGTTTCAGAAAAACATTTTTTTTATCGTGCTACGTTTCGATCTTTATTGAATCATCTTCAGGGCCTGGGATTTATAAACATTGTTTACATTTAACAAATACATTTAGGGTGTGGAAAAGTGAATTTATTCAATGCAAAATATATTTTTTATATTCAATCAAAGTATTTCTACTCACTCAAAGTGTTTGTCTTCTGTGTAATTGTGCCATTCTTGAGAGTGCCAGTGACAACTTTGATTGAATATAAAAAATATATTTTGCATTGTATAAATTCACTTTTCCACATCCTAAATGTATTTGTTAAATGTAAACCATGTTTGTAAATCCCAAACCCTGAAGATGATCTCAATAAAGATCGAAACGATGGCACGATAAAAAAAATGTTTTTCTGAAACCTATCCCACCAGACCGCATCTCACGATTTCTGAATAATTATATTTTTCTTTAAAAATATCCAGTAAAGGACAAAAAATGTACAGATTGCAAATATTTAAGAGTGGCCACTTGTTTTGCCTCTCAGTGTATATAATTTTTTTGTTTTGTAACGAAATAATTTTGAAAAATGAAATTAACACAAATTAGTCGAAAGCTTTAAAATTTTTTCAAGTATATTTTGTTACATAACTATTTTTCAATTCTCAATAATTATTGTTTTAAATGATTGATACTGTCTTTTTAATCTTTAATAACTGAAGGAATCAATACAAATTGGCTCTAGTTAAAAAAAAAGTTTTCACTGAAGTTTTCTATGGGAAAAATATTTGAAATGGAAAGAGCTTTATTTTCAAATAAAAATTACGTGACACGATATATTGTATCGATTGAATACTAGACAATTTTTTAAAAATATAAATTAATTTAATGGTTTGGGTATACTGATTATTTATTTTTCTTATAATCTACTGTCAAATAATTAGTTCATATTGATTTGAAAGTGTGAAGTTTAACGGGTCGATGCCAGGGTAGGTGACGAGAGTTCAGGTTCATTCTCTTTGTCGGACATGTCATTTTGTCGGGGCAGTGGCTCTGGTATCGCGACGAATTCAGCGATCCGACCTACACGGCGTTCGTCTTTGTCATGACTCAGTCGAGATAACGCAAGGGTTCTCTTTGTTCGTCACTCTCTCTTTCTCTCTCTCTTTGTCAGTCCGGTTGTAAATTTGCTAATTAGCGAGGATGTGGAAAGCGGCGGCCGGAGCAAAGCTGGAAGTCCTGCCAGCGCCGGACGACGACTGGGAAACGGACCCTGACTTCATCAACGATGTCACAGAACAAGAACAGCGATGGGGCTCAAAGACGATCCACGGTTCTGGGCGCACAGCCGGCTCCATCGAGTGAGTCATTTTCGCCGATATTATTAATAAATTATTATTTTTTGCATCATGTTAAATTGACATGACTATTTCAAGAGGTTGACACAAAAATAACATCATTTTTCAAATGCCGTATAATCAGGATTCGATTCTCAGCTATTTATGAAGTGGCCAAGGGGAGCTGTTAGTGAAGTGATTACTTCTTTACTTATTATATTAATATCGCTCGTGAAACTTTTTCATCTCAACTAAGACCTTAGATAAAAAGAATAATTAATTAAAGTAATTTGGTCAATTAGACCTCTAAACATATAGTAAAAGAAGTATAACTTCACTAACAAAGGTTGTAGGTTGAGATGGGGAGTTGTTCGTGTGGATCGAAGTCACGATAGCTCAAGTGGTTAGAGCAGTGGTGTGTTTAGCCGAAGGTCGTGGGTTTGAATCCCGCTCGCTACTCTAACTTTTTCATTTCAACCAATACCTTAGATAAAAAGAATAATAAATTGAAATAATTAATACTGTCAATTATAACCACTAAACATGTATGGAGTGATATAATAAGTACAGAAGTAATCACTTTACTAACAGCTCACCATGGCCACTTCATAAGTCGCTGAGAATTGAATTCTGATAATATGACATTTGAAAAATGGCAAAAAGAGGGAAAAATTTGAAAGGTTGTAGGTTGAGATGGGGAGTTGTTCGTGTGGATTGAAGTCACGATAGCTCAAGTGGTTAGAGCAGCGGTGTGTTTAGCCGAAGGTCGTGGGTTCGAATCCCGCTCGTTACACTAACTTTTTCATTTCAACCAATACTTTAGTTAAAAAGAATAATTAATTGAAATAAATATATATTTCACATAATAATGTATAATACAGTTGGCCAAATTTGACCAAAAAATTGGTCATACGCAAAACTATATTTGTGAAATTGACCAGAGTATTGAACATCCATGTTAAATTTGCACCATTTTGTGCACTATGCTGAAAATTTGTCAGTATTTCTCATCTTGCTCAGCTTTTAAAATGCATTTATAATAACTATGTCCATAATCAGTTCGTCAAATTTTAGGAACAAATTGAGCTAACAGTAAAATTTTTTCACAAACACTGGATCAATGGATCTTGTAGAAGAAAGTAAATCCAGTTGTTTTGGCCGAGCTTTCGGCCTATTTTAAGGTCATCATCAGGGCAAAACAATCTTAAATATGTATACACATTGACATATTTAAGTTTTTTTACAGGTGAATTCAATTTTTCCTGAAGACCGACTCAGGACTGTTGTCTAGGACTGTTGAGTCCTTCAATAAGCTCAGTCCTTGGACTAAGTAACAACTGAATTTACTTTTTTCCCACCTTGATCCTGAATGTTCATGAATGAAAAAGTGGTTGATACTTCTAATACTGAAAACTGTAAAATTTTTTGGCACTTGCCTAGAATATTGCCCATTGAATATCCCCAGACTACTACGAGTAAATATATATAAACCAGCATTTGTTAAACTTGTTTGTTGTTGATTAAAAAGCAAGGAAGATAAGTTTATTAATATACTGATCCTCATTTCCATTGATTGTTTTATCGAATATTGTTAAGTCCAAACTTGTTTATTTCTGGCTATGCATTTTGGGGCTCAGCTGCTAGCCGCCTCATCTGACGTTTTTGGAATTCAAACCTTAATGAGTGATAAAGTATGTAAAATCTAATGCATAGCAAACGTATATTGTTAGGGAAGTTTGTAGGTGGAAGAATATAACTATAAATTTGCTAATTTCTCTTTTTTTTTTTAGGGAACACAGAATATTAAAATAGTTATAATAATTATCTTCATAGATAAATTTCAGCAATGAATTGAGCTAATTGCTAACAGTTTTTTAAAATTTTCTATGTCTATCCAAATATTCTAGACGTGGTATTATATTTATATAATTGAATGAACACCACAATGCCCTCCGCCCCGCCATAACTGGTAGCCACAGAAACATGTTTGTTATTAAACATCTCAAGGATGCAACAACAATAAATTAATAATACTTTCAGGTAGGCTGGCAACTCTAAAGCTATAAAGGGAACCGCCTAAATACCCTAAAAAACTGAGATGTAGAAATCAGTCTCAGGTTTTGAGGGAATTTCAGGCACGAGGCAGCAGATACATTTCCTAAAAAAATAGCCTTGGAACAAGTAGGCCCAAATCCTTTTTGTGGTATAAACTATAGCCACTTCAAAAGAAGAAATCTTGGGTTACTAAAGAACACACCAAATACGGGGAACATAAGTGTGGCATATGACAAGCAAAATACTACTGTAAAAAACAACAAAAAACAATGGGAGAAAGAGGAAATTTACACAACAGAAAGGAATTTCTAATTGGTGTATTCACTGGACTAAGTAAAGTTCCATGTTAAAAAAAATGGAACTACCAACAGATGACCAATGTTGATTAAGTCTAGACAGAGCCATCAGAACATACCTATGAAACTGCTCCGCAATAGCTAGGAAAAGAGAAAATATTCTTGATCTATGTAGATCTTGGCACACGAGAAGAATTCTTCACTTCATCTTCCACGAAAATCTTCAGGAATCCATTATCAGAGATCAGCACAATAGATAAAAGTGTAAGCACTAAAGGGAAAAATCCCTGTCTCGAGATGGGGAGAAAAAACCCTTTGTCCCATTGAGTGCACTGTGTTGAAAATTTGTCACAATTTCTCTACTTGTTCACTTTTAAGAGAAAGACTGAATATTTATGTATTATAAGTTAACAATTGGGGGACCGCGGTAGCCGAGTGGTTAACATGAGAGACTCTCACGCCGCGGTCGTGGGTTCGATTCCCACCGTCGCCTCTGGCCCTTTTTTCCCGATAACCCCCAATTTGAACACACAAGAATTCGTACTATGGCTAATATGCAAGATCATAAGGCCAATAAAAAAAAAAGAAAAAAAAAGTTAACAATTATGCCCTCAAGCAGTCGGTGAAATTTGTGCAATAAATTGTGCTAGATGCTAAAACTTTATAAGAAATTGCCTGGAATTCATCTCGCCTAATGTCCTTGACTACTTAAATATAAGTTATATATATATTATTCAATATTAATAATTTATATATATATACATTCACTAATTTCGGTTCATTCATTAATTAAGGTTTTTAGTTGAGATAAAAAAGTCAATGGCACGAGCCGGTTTCGAACCCGATTTTTTATCTCAACTAAAAACCTTAATTAATTGTAATATATTAATTGGTCAAGCGGACCACGAAATTAGTGAATTTAATGATTTATAATGAAGTATACTTCACTAAAGCTCTCCATGGCCATTTCATTTGTCGTCGAGAATCCAATCCGCTTACACGACATTTGAAAAATGGCAAAAAGGAGGGAAAATTCAAAAGGTACGGTTGAGATGGGAAGTTAGTGTCCGGGTGGATCGAGGTTACGATAGCTCAAGTGGTAGAGCAGCGGCGTATCAAGCCGAAGATCGTGGGTTCGAATCCCGCTCGTGCCATTGACTTTTTTATCTCAACTAAAAACCTTAATTAATTGTTATATATATACATAAATATATAGATAAATTTTAAATAAAAGTAGTTCAGAACTATTTAAATTCATACTGTTCAAAATTTAGAAAGCGTAAAACTTCTTTAGATGGCATATCTTTGATTTGTCTATACTTATTGAAATGCCAGGGTAACCCTTATGTCTGCAGATTCTGGCTTTTAGACATAAATTTGGTTTTATGTGGTTTTCTAAGCCACCAGGAATAGACGAACAGTATGACACAGTAGTTTTCTTTCCATGGCGAAAAACAAAATAATTCCATTCTAACAATGCGATGATTCACCGATGGTTCGGAGATAAATGTCCTATCTGGACATTTAAGTTTATAACAAAGTAAATCATGGAATCAAAGTTGAGTCAGCCATGAACGTTGTATCGAATTGGCCCTTTCTGTGAAGATTCCGACAAAAGTGACAATCATCGACTCCCATTTGGTATATTTCGTTTGTTGTTTGATGTATTTCTAATCGATTTTTCAACTTGTGAACATCATCTTCTAAGATCTTTATATATAATGTTTGAAATTATAATTCGTGCTGAAGACATCCTTCTCAAAATCAAAAACATTTTAATCAAGGGAATTAAAATCAAAGGTTATTTATTTGAGCAATATCTGCTGATTTATTAAAAACATTCAAAGTCAAATCTATGCTGAAAGTTGCACCATTGTAGTGCCAATAGTATGGTGTAAATAAATCACTTAATAAATAAAACTTTAATCTTTTATATTTCAGCATTGAGAAATCAGAGGTTAAATTTTCAACTTTTATGCAGAAAAATGTGTTTCATCTTGAAAAAAAAGTTGTTCAAATTTTTTGTAGTTATTGTTATTTCTATTGATCTGATAGATTTTCTTAGACACAGTTTATTTTTTTGCACCAAATATGCTTATGTGATTTGAATTGGTACTATCTATTAAAAAAAAATCAAATATCATTGAAAAAACAACGTAATTTCCCGAACGCATGTTATAAAATGACCGTTTCCGGATTTAAAATGATATTATTTTTTTGTTCCAGTACAAATGGAAAGTAAACGGGAATGTTGGAGTAAGGCGTCACGTTAAAGTGTGCGCAAAGAAGCGAGGAGTGCGCAAGACTTGTCTTCAATTTCTAACGGATAAGTTCCCTTTATTCTGTTATTTTCTTTTATTCTCATCAAGTGAAAGTGCAGAATATAAGTATATAATTTTCAGATTCTTTGAACTTTTAGGCTCCAAAAGGCCGTTAACAATCGGATTGAAAGAGAACTAAATGAAGAATTATGTATGCGCACTCTTTGCCGTCCTTACCCAACAATTATCAGTAAAATTAAAAAAAAAAATTAAAAAGTATGAAAACAAAAGTTTTTGAAAAAATGAAATTTGAACAATTTATTGGTGTACTTTGTTAACATTACAACTTATACTGGTGTAACGTGCAAATAAGGCAAGAGTGAGTGGATGGATATGTAATTTAAAAAATTATATATTAATGCTCTGCTTAAAATTAATTAACATAACGCTAGTTTTTTTAAATGAGTAATTTATTGTATGTTTTGATAATTTGTGTTATTTGTTCTGACAATATTAAAACATCACATCGGCTAGTGAATTTTGGAAAATTTTCAAAGATAAGTCTGATTGCAAAACCTGAGTGAATACAATGCTAGTTTATTGATGAGTGTAATCATGAGAGAAAACAAAGAACCTGTGATTTTAACTTTGAAGAATTTGAAATGGATGTACCGTGGCGAAGGAAACGCGAATTTAGTGATTTCTCTCCCCGAGAAGAAAGTTATAATTAGAATGCAAAAGTGTGTATATGACGTTTCAATAAATAAAGACTTACTGGAGGCCAAGTTAGTTAAAGACGTTCAGTTTCACAAGAATATAATGGCACCACTTTTAGGAAGGACGTTCGTCCATGCTCCAGTTCTGGCTAGGATATCTGAAAACGAAATAGCAGAGATCAACAATTGCCTTTATGTAATCCGTCCTAAGTTTAGATTGAATAAAGGCGTTAGATGCAGCCTTGTCACCTGCCATCCAGATTACACACGTCTTTCACCGAATCTTTCCTACGATTTTGGACTCTCGCTGCCTTTTCTGAATGAGAATTCGACTTACTGCTTTGAAATCAAGCCGAAACAGGGTTGGACGCATCCTGCAGACCGGCAACAAACGAAGTGCGCTTTTTGTGGCCACCAGTACCTAAAGTTTATGAAGAAAAGGATATTAAAGTTGAGCAAATACTGCCCGTTGGACTTATTCTCAGGTGATGTAAACAGGATGAAAAAAGCGCTGAAGAATCTCTTAGCAACACCTCAAAATAATCTTAAAATATTCAAAAATGGTGATGTGATTTATAGTGAAGACTGCACTAATGATTTTGTCGATACGCTAAGAGAATTTTTGAGAAGCACTGAGCTGAATCCTGAAGCGATTCTTGAAACCTGGAGCTCCATCATGCAAGAGGCACTGACAAAACCGTTGACTGAAGATTCGCCTCTTCCCACCATTGTCGACGATGCCGTCGGAAGTGATACCTCTTCTTCGTATACAGGCTGTGACTGGAATTACGTCGCTCTGCCTAAAAACTGCGTACTCCACAGGATCCTCACGGTTCAGAAATTGCAAAAAACAAATTTTAACAGCGTATACAAAGCGTACAGGGAGAAGTGCGAGTTCGAGGGGGATTATGACTATGTTAACAGGCTTTTGACTTCGTTCAATGACTTAGATCCGATCCAAAGATATCTGTTGTCAGTCACAGCAAAAGACTGCTCTATATTTTTATCCTTTCAACTCTGCCAGGATAAAATAGACAATTCCTACCATTACGTTACATTCGACAGGGTGCATTACAGGCTAAATATAGGAATTTCAGATATTGACCCAAAACCCCTGTCTTGTTTAGAAAAGCATTACAGAAGAGATAAAGATGTTCTTTCGGCCATACGGTTTTTAGAAAATTCTAAAATTATTGTGTAGGGTTTAAATTATATAGACATATTAAAACAAAAAACTGAATAATTTTATTAATTTTTTTTCTTCAGTTTGTAACATTGGATTTGTGAGTTTTAAAAACATTTCTTGTGTGACACTAGTGTTTTTTTTTAAATATATATTTGTTTTTTGTTTTTATTTGATTCAAGCACAATACATGACAAACTTTCGGGATTTAAATCGCAATAATTACAATTTTAAATTCACGCCTATTGAATTGTTTCGTGCATTAACTGTTATTTGTCTTAGTATGAAGAAATTAAGGGAGGAGGTTGCTGCCTCGGATGCAATACAGAAAAAGAAACAGCAAGAAGAAGGGCCGAAAGCCGCTTTCGGTTATGGAGGGAAGTTTGGCATTGAAAAAGATAGGTATGGATACAAATTAATTTTTTAAATATTTCCTACATAAATTTGAAGAAAAAAAAATCATTGCTTATTAGTATTTATTTATGAATGTGTGAGTGTAAATAAATTATTGGAAATTTAATCAAGGAAGAAAGAATGAAACAATTAGTTAAGGTAAAGTACTAAGAGGCAGTTTATGTACAGACATTATAATATTTTGCAAACATACAACAATAAAATATATTATTAATTATTATATTTTTTATTGTTCAATTATAGAATGGATGAATCAGCTGTTGGCCATGATTATGTCGCCAAATTAGAAAAGCATGTATCACAGAAAGACTACAGTGCAGGATTCGGTGGTAAATTTGGAGTTCAGAGTGATAGAATTGACAAGGTATTTCTCAGAAAATTAAATAAATTTTGAATAAAAATTTAACCATATTAGGCTTTAGAGTGCAGTCAGCTGGGAGCATAAAGAAGCACCGCAAAAGCATGCTTCGCAGACAGATTATAGAACCGGCTTCGGAGGGAAATTCGGCGTTCAGAAAGACCGCCAAGACAAATCCGCTGTTGGATGGGATCACGTCGAAAAGTTGCACAAACATGAATCGCAGACTGGTGCGTTTTTTAAAACTTTTTTATTTTCTTATCTTTTTAATTTTTAATTTTATTTTTATTTTTTCAAAAATAGTCTTTGTTGCATGTTGTATCATTTTACTTTTCTCGATGAGTAGATTATGCTCGCGGTTTCGGTGGTAAGTTCGGCATTGAGAAAGGCAAACAGGACAAAGCTGCAGTCGGGTGGGACCACATAGAAAAACCCCAAATCCATCCTTCACAGAAAGGTAAATCTAATTGGAATTAATTATTAGAAATGTAGAATAGAAATACTTTGATCACACGATAACCAAGTAAGGAGCTTAAATAAGTATAAAGTTTATTGTAGGAATGCATTGGAAAAAAGAAAGAAAAAAAGACCACTTTGAATTTTTATAAATTTTAATTCATGTACTTAATAAATTTTAATTCATACATTTATTATATACTAGATTATTATTTAATTCTGCCTTAAATGAACATATGTGATTTAAATCCCAGTACATTGCAACATTATTAGAAAAAAAAAAAAAAATGGTTAGGTCTGGTTATACAGCTTCTGAATCTGAGCGTTTTGTCTGCAAATTTTAAAGCAACAATATAATATAAATCCTGCTCGTTACACTAGCTTTTTTTTCATATCGATTAAAATCTTAGGTAAAAAGTGTAATTAATTGAAATATAATTAATGAGCAGGCTGCTTTAGATGATTAAAGTTACAATAAAAATTGCAAATTGAGTAATGTTCGTGGTGATTATTCATCTATTATAAATAGTGGGGTTCTGTAAAGATTATAAATAGTGGGATTTAAAAAAAAAAAAAAAAAAGTCATAGTCAACTGTGAGATAAACTTGATTTATCATAATCAAGTGTGAATCACAAGTTAATGTGAAAGTAGCTTGTATAAACATTTGACAGCAGTTCATTTTGTAGTGAGATAAATACTGCTTGGAAGCATGCCAGTTCTCCTTCAAAATCTACTTCACAATTTATAAATGATTCATTCAAAAGACCTAAATGAAACACCAAAATAGTTTGATCCTGTTTAATAATGGCCCATGAAAATCTTGACCTTGTGCCATTGAACGATAGAACTACCCCCTGTTCTAAGCAACAGACCAGCCTTAAAGTGGGAAATACACTTACCTGACGCAATGCAATGCAATGCGACATGACTTGACCCTACCCTATGCCTTGTCTTGTAGGGTGTGCACATCTGTTCGACGTCAAGTGCACACCACTTACAGTCACGCAACGTGTAACACAAATCAGCATCATCACAATCTTAATGCATTATTTTGAACAAAACCATGTAATAAATGTGTAATGTTTAGTGATCGTTAGTCGATGATTATTCAGAGATCGTGAGATGCGGTCTGGTGTGACGTAGGTTTTAGAAAAACATTTTCTTTATCGTGCCAACGTTTCGATCTTTATTGAGATCATCTTCAGGGCTTAAAGTGTTTGTTTTCTGCATAATTGTGCCATTCTTGTGTGTCTTGTTGAAAGTGTACATTTTAATATAACAACAAAATTACATATGCATAGTTGAAATAAACTATAAAAAATAGAGTGTCCGGTTCTGACGCTACTCGACAAAACTGGTGTAATTTTATGAGCAAAATCATGTAATAAATTGTTGGTTAAATTTTATGAGCAAAACCATGTAATAAATTGTTAGTTAAATTCATTCTATCAATAAATGATATTCCAGGTGTTTTGATAACTTTTCTGCCAAACTTTAAAATTAAATTCACTAGTTTTCGTGGTCCACTTGACCAATTAATATCTTTAAGTTAATTAAGGTTTTTAATTCACATAAAAAAGTCAATGTCACCAGCGGGTTTCGAACCCACGACCTTCGGCTAGATACGCCGCTACTCTACCACTTGACTTTTTTATCTCAACCAAAAACCTTAATTAATTGAAAGATATTAATTGGTCAAGCGGACGACAAAAACTAGTGAATTTAATGAATTAAAATGAAGTATACTTCACTAAAGCTCTTCGTGGTCATTTCATTTGTCGCCGAGAATCAAATAGATTACACGACATTTGAAAAATGGCAAAAAGGAGGGAAAATTCAAAAGGTGGGGTTGAGATGGGAACCCGAGTGGATCGAGGTCACGATAGCTCAAGTGGTAGAGCAGCGGCGTATCTAGCCGAAGATCGTGGGTTCGAATCCCGCTCGTGCCATTGATTTTTTTATCTCAACTAAAAACCTAAATTAATTTTCTTTAAAATTAATTAAAAAAAAATAAAAACATGAAATTTTGATCTCGTTTAATTTGGTTCATATTAAAATAAATATGTTGTAATGAACATAACGATAATAATACTTATAGTTTGAAAGAAAAATATGAAAAAATGCTTCTTGACGAAAATCTGGACAGTAGGGAACTTGGTTACATCACCTAGTGTAGAGTAAGGTGGCATTGCATGCACAATCTTATGGAAAATTCGACATTGGATTTGCGTTGGGTGGCTTCAGGTCATGTTGGGTGTGTTCCCTGCTTAAGGAGAAACATTTATACGGTGTAAGACTTAAAAACTTAAGTAGAGGACACTTCCCCAACCCAAACGAGAATCTATTGAGCACTGCCAGGGAAATAAGTAGCTTGATATAAAATTGGAAATAATATGGCTATTATCACTATTGCATTTCAACGATTGAAAATAATTAGTTAAAATTTTAATTTTAACCCTTGAAACGGTCATGTTTACTTACCCTAATATCATTTAAACTGCACTTTTTTCATTAGCATTATGACTGGCACAAAAGTATCACTTTTGGTCTAAACTGAACACCGTTTTCCTTTATCCAGATTATACCGTTGGTTTCGGAGGTAAATTCGGTGTGCAGGTGGACAGGCAGGACAAATCCGCAGTCGGTTGGGACCATGTCGAACAAGTCGCTAAACACCATAGTCAAACCGATCATAGCAAAGTATTTTTATTTCTTTATTTAAATTTTTTGTTTGTTTTTGTTTTGTTATTCATTCCCTATGCTTAGGGTTTTGGCGGAAAATTTGGTGTCGAGAGCGACCGAGTTGATAAATCGGCTCATAAATTTACTGACTCTTCTGAAAAAGTTGGAACAAATTATGAGAAACAAAAACCAGATATTGGTAAATTTATTTTATTTTATTATTATTGTTATAATTTATATTATTTAAAATTAATTGCACATTGTAAGATGTTTGGGCCCAAGTCAAGATATGAAATTGTACAAATCATATGTATTTAAATTTTCAAGTATACCTAAAAATTTACAGTAATTATCAACAATAACACAGTTTAGCACAAATTGTATTTCAAATCAATAAAAACACAAATTAAATGGTTAATAACATTATACTAAAAAAAGAACAAAAAAAGGGTTTTTGAAACTGACAGCACTCCTTTGTCCAAAAATATAAAACCTCGCCTGTTTTCCCCACAGGTGTTCTCAAGCCATCGAACCTGCGTGAAAAATTCGAGAACCTCGCCAAGCAGAGTGAACAGGAGAGTATGAAAGAAGTCGATCCAAAGAAGGGGGTGTCGTTCAACAAGGAGCAGAACAAGAATCAGAGCAAGAGTCAAAACGTGGTATCGGAGAAGTCAGAGGCAAAAAAGGTTTCGTTGAGCGACGAAGACGTCTCTAGCAACATCAGCCAGAGTCCCAAGGTAAACAACACAAATAACACTTCAAAAATTAAAGATAAAATTTGAACCAATCATTTGAAATTTCATGTTTTATAAAAAATCATGTGTTTCAAGGCTCAGTTGTTTTGTTCTCATTTTTATAATATATTGATAATTAATGCAATAAAAAAGAGGATTTTCCTTTCAAGAAAAGGTAATTAACTAGAAATGGTTCAAATTGAATTGTAATTTGCAGCCACAAAACTGTTTACATGGATTTCTAAAGGGGAAACATGGCAATTTCAAACTATTTGTGGGTAAACAGAAGGTAATTTAAACATATTGGAATCATTAATTTCTTAATTAAAATTTATCACAGTTTACAGTATGAAAAATTTATTATTAATTTACAAGTTAATATAATATTCAACCAACATTTTTTGTTGTTCCATTATTTATTTGTTTGATTGTATGTTAATTATTGAAGGAATTAAACTTCAAACGAGTTCACTGATAAAAAAAAATCAATCACAGGACGATATTGTTTATTAAAATATTTTAGCCCAATACAAGGCTGGTCCTCTTGCTTTGATAACTTTGATATATCTTGGCATATTTTGCCGCTTTAGATGCAAACTTTGGGTTCAATGTTCACTTGGAAAGTTAACTATTTAAGTTGGCAATTATAAATTAGAATAATATTTCTAATGTAGTTTATAATCTTTAAGTACAAGAAGAATGCCAAGCCCCCTCTTAATAAAAAGTCGTCCGATTCCGATTCGGAACAATTGCCGATTGACAAGAATGTCAAAGATAAAGAAAAAGGTTCATCGGACAGTTCGTCCCAGGGGGGTAAAGATACCATGTCAAAACCGGTAAGAAAGAGCACAATTCCAACTAGCGCTAGCTTCCTTTCTGAAGACACATGCACCAAAGTTGAGGCGGAGTGTTACATGATATGTAAAGCCCCTCTAGAGGCAGTTAAACAGAAACAGGAAAAAAACAAAAAGGACGAATGTGTAAGTTTTAAATGTTTTGCAAAATAAAAATGTAACGGATAAGTTTTTGTTAGAAAGAAGCCTCTGACGAGTCTTTTGATCCTTGCGATTATGAGTTAATTAAATTGAAACCTCCATTAAAACTAACTGAAGAGAAGACAAAGATTGTGAGTTTAAAACGTTTATAAAAGATGTGCATTCATTTAAAAAAAAATCTGTTAGAAAGAAGCTTCAGAGGATTCTTTTGAACCTTGTAATTATCCAATGGTGAAACCGAGATCAAGGTTGAAAAATATCAAAGAACCTGTGAGTTTTTATAAAAAATATAAGGGAATTGTGTCACAATTAAATGTAAAATTCTGTAAATTCAATAGGAAGGATGTTCTGAGGATTCTTTCGATCCTTGTGATTATATATTGAAGAAACCGAGATCAAGACTGAAAAAAATCAAAGAGGTTGTGAGTTTTACATGTGTATTATAAGTGAACCAAAATAACGCAGTTTCAAAAATAATGGTAAATTCAATTAGGAAGAATGTTCAGAGTTTTTCGATTATGCCATAAGGAAACCGAAATTGAAGCAAAAAAAAGTGAAAGAAAAGAAAGAGGATGTGAGTTTTATATTATACATTAGAGCTGATTAATAAAATCGACCATTTTGACTGTTAAAATCACTTTTATTATAAATTTTGATTAAATTATTTTCAACCATGGGGGAAAAAAATCAGTTATCAAGTCAAAATTTATCTGAAGAACAACTGCATAATTTCCTCTAAGTATTTCTTAGATTTTGATTGATAAAAAGTCTTGCAAAGTATGAAAAGTCTTTCCCCTAGGTCTGCAAGTGTAGGCTGATTGTATAGAGGTTCAAAGTATCTATTTGGACAAGTTTGCTGGTATAAATTATAAATTATCTTATAAAATAGTTACAGTCAATATTAACAAAATTTCCTCTAAATGCTGTGCTCACTAAGTGCACTATTTTTCGTGGCCCGCTTGACCAATTAATATCATACAATTAATTAAGGTTTTAAGTTGAGATAAAAAAGTCAGTGTCACGAGCGGGATTCGAACCCACGACCTTCAGCTTGATACGCCGCTACTCTACCACTTGAGCTATCATGACTTCGATCCCCTCGGGCACTAACTTCCCAACTCAACCGCACCTTTTTGAATTTTCCCACCTTTTTGCCATTTTTTTCAAATGTCGTGTAATCTATTTGATTCTTGGTGACAAGTGAAATGGCCACGGAGAGCTTTAGGGAAGTATACTTCATTTTAAAATTTAAATTTTTAAATTAAAATTAAATTTTTAATTAATTGTATGATATTAATTGGTCAAGCGGACCACGGAAAATAGTGAACTTAATGAATTAAAATGAAGTATACTTCACTAAAGCTCTCTGTGGCCATTTCACTTGTCACCAAGAATCAAATAGATTACATGACATTTGAAAAATGGCAAAAAGGAGGGAAAATTGAAAAGGTGTGATTGAGATGGGAAGTTAGTGCCCGAGGGGATTGAAGTCATGATAGCTCAAGTGTTCAAGTGGTAGAGCAGCGGCGTATCAAGCCGAAGGTCGTGGGTTCGAATCCCGCTCGTGACACTGACTTTGTTATCCCAACTTAAAACCTTTTTTAGCTGTGCTCACTGTTCACAAAATGATTCATTAAAACACGGGAGAAAATTATACTGATAACTTTGTGGGCCAGTGGCAAACAAATTCAATATTTAGAGAAGTCGAAATTGGTTATTTTTGTTACTATAAAGGAAGTTTCCTTGTGACAAATTTAAAAATGTATAAATGTTTCTTAGAAAGAAGCTTCAGATGATTCTCATGAGTTGTACGATTATCAGCTAATCAAGTTGAAACCGTTGCCGAAAAAAATTAAAGAGAAGAAACCGAACGTGAGTTTTCAAATAATATTCTCCCCGTAAATTATATTGTCAATTTACTCTGGATTAGAAAGAATTAGAGGGTACTTCTTCATGTTATGATGAAGTAATGGGTAAAAGTAAGCCTCGTGGTAAAATCAAGAAAAAATGCCACGATTTATCTGAAGCTTTCGAGTTGTTGGAATCTAACACTAACAACGTGAGTTTTATAATTCTTTAATATGTTGTATAAACAAATAATTGAATTTGTGCCGATGCAAAGAAAGAATTGTTGAAATGCATTGGAAATATCATGGTTGGGATTCGGACCGACATTCACGACCTAAGGTGCCGTCAGCTCTTTACGCTGCAAACCCTTGGTACTATGAAGGCTGATATGGTCAGAATGAAAGAAATGCTTAATTCGAACAAATGGTTTATCGATTTAATTATTAATGAAGTACAGTCGAAGGTACAGCAGAAATTTTTGTGTTAAACTGTGAGTCAGTATCGCACTTGTCCTGCCAATTTATCTATCGATTCTTATTTTTGAACAGGAAGAAGTTTCATGTCCGAAAGAGGATTTGGCTGCCGAGTCGATATGCGCTGATATGAAAAACGTTGAAATCACCCCTTCCCTGGCAGAACAAAGTGAAGTTGAGGAAAGTAACATGCAAATGCCGAAAGTCAGAGACGATGTGGAAGAAGACACAGGCTACACTGCTATTGCTCTATACGATTATCAAGCAGGTCAGTAATATGAATGTATTTTTCATTTATAAAATATTTTACTTTTAATTAATCCAAGAATTTAATTTGTCTAAGGACTTGATTTAAATTTCTTAAAATACTCTCACATTTAGGACAAAAGCTACTGGTCCTGATGAAAAAGATCGTCATTTGGATTTGTGTACAAGCCATATTTTCATCATGAAATTTTGTTTTGTTTCAGCGGCCGATGATGAAATATCATTTGATCCCGATGATATCATCACGAACATCGATATGGTGAGTGCTTAGATGTTCAATGTTCAAAATCACGTCTTACTGTCTGAAATTTAATTTGCAGATTGATGAAGGTTGGTGGAGAGGATGCTGCAACGGCCAGCAAGGCCTTTTCCCGGCGAACTACGTCATACTCCAGTAAAACGAAAATATATCCATTCCTCAAACATGGTTTTATAAATGACATGGGTTATTTTTGTTCGCTTATCCCTTAACTTTATATTTGTTAATTTTGGGGAAAATATTTTTTATAATGAATATTTTTAAACCCAATAATAATATTGTACACAAGTATTATCATATTTGTTTTTAATTAGTCGAAACTTCCAGAAATGAGATTAATATTAAAAAAAAAAATGTATATATAAAACAACAAAATTATATTGGCCTAAATGTATGGTATTTATAACACATATTAAAAATAAATATATATACCTATACATTCTTTCTTCTTTTCATTCTTAAAAATGGTATTTTTAATCAACATAATTGAACATGAAATAATTTTTAAATTTTAACCACAGTTGAAATTGAAAAATTGTTAATTTAAATTGTTTAGAGGTTGATTTGGTGTATTATGTTAATAGGTTTAATAAGGCAAATGTTTAATGTTGGTGATTAAAGTATATTATTGTATATTGGGGTTAGTCAATAAAAATGACAATTCTCAATTTTTCAATTTATTTATTTTTGAAATCTTTTATGCCTTCCAATGTTACTGTTACCGGCATTGATTTAATAAGTACTGATCGTGCTATTTTGAGTAGCGCTGTGCCCTATTCATTTGTAGGCTAAATATGTTTCATGAAATAAATAACTTGTGAAAATGTTTTTTTTTTCTCCTTGCATTTTTCTTCTTTTACCTTACGCTCAGAAAAACCAGGTTTTAAAACGATGGTAAAGATAAGAGCATGTAGAGGGTCGTCTGACTAGACAATATAATTATTTACAAGACGATGTAATTATTCTCGTGTTTATACAAAAATTAACGTAGAGGGGGTGTTGTTGAATGCAACGGGTTTAGCCATTGTTCCAGGTTTGAATCCAGCGGCCTTGCATCGAACTCATCATACTAACAAATGTTTTTTTTTTCAGACTGGCACCCTGAGGGTTGATACAACCTCTGCTGTTGCGAACCCTTTCTTGAACATAGGGATTTTCAGGGGAAATGTGGAGACTAATATTGACCTCACAGTACATAAAAAAAACGGTACTGCAAGTTTTACAACATTCACAGTCCATGTTCACATAATGCTTTATTATCTTGTCATTTTCAATGAAGATAAAAATACTTATTAAATTCACTAGTTTATGTGGTCCGCTTGACCAATCAATATCTTTCAATTAATTAAGGTTTCTAGTTGAGATAAAAAAGGAGGGAAAATTCAAAAAAGGTGGGGTTGAGATGGGAAGTTAGTGTTCGAGTGGTTCAAGTGGTAGAGTGGCGGTGTATCTAGCCGAAGGTCGCAGGTTCGAATCCCGCTCGTGACACTGAATTTTATCTCAACTAAAAACCTTAATTAATTGAAAATTAAAAAATACTTTTTAATTGATAATCAGTAAGGAGCTAATAATAAATTTTTTGCTTAGCTTTCTTGAAATGGTTTTATGCTGATCCTTCAGATTTTGTCTCAATACTTAAGTAAGCCTGAATATTGACAAAACTGATTGAATACTTAAAAATTATCAATAAATACCCAGTGTACACAGTAATTGAACATCTAAAAATAACATTCTAAAGGATAGGGGTGTAGACCAACTGTTCTTACGTCTTGAGACCTCAAATTGATTTTGCAAGTGACTTCCAATGATAATGTTATAATGACAGATGGGAAGTTGGTGTCCGAGTGGATCGAAGTCACGATTGCTCAAGTGGTTAGAGCAGCGGCATATTTAGGTGGGTTTGAATCCCACTCATGACGCTGACTTTTTCATTTCAACCAATACCTTACATAAAGATTAATTAATTGAAAGAAGTTATTTGGTCAATCAGGCCACAAAATATAATGGATTATAATGAAAATAGACCCAGTGCAAAACACAGGCCTGAAACTTGTGTTGGGTGCTTTTGGTTTGAACCCTGTTGACACCTTTGGCTGAGGCAAGTGAATCCCCTCTCGATTCGTAGGTCCTTTCTGGATATGCAATTCAAACACTAGAAAGTAATTTTTATTGATGATTTATTTAGTAATCTTTTTCCAGTCGTATTACTTGTCATTTTAATCATCTCTTCAACCTTACTGAAAGAAGTAATCATGGCAATTACATCCTGGTTATTTACTGACTCCTAATATGAAGTTAGATTTAAAAAGTATAAAGAAACAATGAACATTTCTGTTAAATTGTCTTGAAAGAAAAAATATGGCTGATTTAATTTGTTCATGAACTTCTCAACAATATTGATTCCTTAGAGCTGTTCTCATATCTTAATTTCCACAGCCCATCTGCAGTAAAACCTTTTTAACCAACATTTTTCCTATATGAACTACACTTCTCACTGTATAATATAATTATACATAATAATAATATAAAATATGCCATCAGTATAGATATTAATGCTGATTTTTTATCATTTAGTTGCATTCAATTAGTCCATAGCGTTCATTTTTTTTATTATTATAGAGTTTGGGTCGTAGAGACGAGTTGGATGTATAGCCCTCCTCCGTATTTTTTCGTATATAAACTTGTTGAAACAACCTTCAGTACTATGAAGACTTACAAAATGCTTGTACAATACTGTAATGAAACTAATTTATATAGATTTTTTTATAGAATCATTTTTAGTACAAAGTGGTCATATACTGCATATTCATCAGTTGTTTTATAAAATTTCCTTTATAATACAATGAATTTAGGTTTATAAAATAACATGACCGTTATCAACCTTTTTTATTGTTTAATTTAGGTTAATAAGGAACAAATGTGTATTTCCCAATAACAATTCGATATAATATATAATTTATTTGTTTAAAAATTATTATAAACATTAATTTTTTTAAATAATTTCATATAATACTTACGATTTATACGGTTACCATGTACAATAGCCCCCCTTACATACGGTACAAATTGTTTTAAAACTATGCAAGCACATATACTCTCATTCACGTAGATTTTTTTATAACAATGGAAAAAGCGTTTTTATTTGGCAAGTATAAAACGGGCACGATAGAAAAAGGGCGACGGCTAAATATTCACATGAAAAACAAAGCACTGTATATCAAACACACAGCATAATTCGTATTAAGCTGACTAGGCACTGTCATATAAATACATGCATATATGTTCAAGAATCATACAAAAAAAGAAAAAAAAAAGATTTTTTATACATACACAGACACTTTGGCGCTTGTAACATACATTTTTGGCATACTCTGCTGTAAAATTTGTTTCAAACTTATATCTAATAAGTATTTTAAATATAAAACAACGAGAATATAACATAAATGCTTTTGGTACTTTATACATAGAAGAAGAAAAACAAAAATACAATAAGCAGCAGAGTTTGACATTTACGTAACATAAATGAAAAACTGCTTTAGAATTTTCATTCCATGATTTGGAATCGGCACGACGATAGCGTACAGTAATTACACAAATTAATTACTGCCTAAGTTGTGTCCGATTTACAAGAATTTAAGGCAATTTCACAAATAACAGACATTTTTTAAAAATAAATAGTGTCACCTTACGTAATAGCATAGTTTAGGCAACTTTTTTAATCCAAAACTAAGGTTGTGCTTTTCTTGGAGCTTACCTTCTTTTCTCCGATAGTTTAAAGGCAGTAGTTTTGTTTTAGATAGGGAAATTTATTTATAAATATTATAAACAAAACCTACTAATGAATGTTAATTATTTGGAAGTTTTTGTTTTTTAATTTGGCCTTAGACTAAAAATAAAGTGTAAACAAGCGTGAGACTAAAATAAATAAAACATTTAAATTTACACATGATAAATGGCCGATTTTAAAAAATTTAACAAAATTTGCCTTTGTACTATAATTTTCCTTTTTTTCCCCATCCGACTAAACTACAATTTTTTTGAGCTCTATACGAAATTAAAAAAATAGATCTTGCAGCGCTTGCCTGCAAAGGATAGTATAAGAATATACATAATGATAAAATATACAATATACAGGAAGGTAATATTCATTAATACTGACGCAATAAGGCCAATTTTGTTTTTTTGAATTGTAACATGAACAATGAAAACGTTTTAAGAAGTTAAATCTACAAAGTTATAATACAAGAAATCAGTTAATTCAGTCGATTATTATCAATGAAAATAGCAAGTATTTATTATTTATTTTAATATTGTCTTCAAAGGACTGATTGATTTGTTTCTTCTATAATGTCGATTGCACTCCGAGCTGTTCTGCAGAGTTGGAGTCCTCGCTGCTGTGCGTACTGTTGTAGTTAGCAGCTTCTTGCAAACGCATAAGCATGTTCAACTATAAAAAACAAAGAAAATTAAGTTTATTGCTGATATACAAAGAATATTAAATTTGTATTGTCGTGAATCATACTTACAAGTGGATCCTCATCGGATTCTTTCAACTGCGGCTTGGTGTTATTATTTCCATGGGCAGACTGTTGCACTTCGTAACCAACATCTTCAGGTCTGAGCCGTAAAAGCGCCTCTGGTCCTCCGTGTACCGCTTCACCGGCCCATGGATATGTGTGGCATATGTACTGGGCTGGATCTTGCCATTCGGCTCTCTTACCATACACTTGGAGCCCTTCTCTGACAGCTTCAAGCAGGTAAGGAATGACTGAGTAGTTCCACAAATCTGTGAACCATACCTTAAAAAAAAAAAAAATATTATTAGTTGAAGCAATCATATAAAAAAATATAAATAATAAAATACCTGTGATCCGTCGCTGTCCATTGGGCAAGAGAGGAAAAGACGAGGTCCGATGGTGACATCAGACGAGCTATGGGCTTCTAAGAATTGATTAAGATGAAGCCACGCTCTCGGAACCCATTCTGTTATTCGAGAGAGTTCGGGATTTCTCGCTCCTGCTTTTGCTTCTGTTTCTATAAGTTTTCTTTTCAGATATCTTCCTAAAAAGCCTTTAACTGGTTCCATATGGTTTGCACAAAGGATCCACCTGAAGTTATGGTGAAGCTGTAGATTCGTCGTCGAACAAGTGGCTTGGTTCATTGTGCCGATAATAAATGGACATTTTGAGTATTTGGCCTTTAGAAAACCATTAAAGACTTCGCCTAGGCTCGAGGCTTGATGTAAATTATCTAGAATTATAACGGAGGGAAGGTCTGCAGCATTCGTCTCGCATTGTTCAGCAATGTTTGCCAGATATTGCCTCAAATCTTTGCTGCTCTTGTGTTCCACATTGAACGTAGCTATCGACTCAGCGGTGGACTCCTTGCCCGCCCTCATGACTAGAAATTCGGCTAACTTGTTTGCCAGATAGGACTTTCCAGTGCCGCTGGGGCCACATAGAATTATCCTTCTGTACTCAGTTAAAAGCGAGACATATCTCTGGATAATTGACTTTGGTATAAGTGTGTCAAAAGCAAGGGCGTCCAGGTTACCGGAATGAAGGGCCCCTTTTAAACATATTTTTATGGAAGAGACATCTCCTACAAGATATCCACATGGGAGAAGTTCGGGAAGTTTGCTTTCTTTATATCTTACTATTTCTCCGATGTGATAACTCCACAAACTATCAGCACTGAGGCCCAAACCACCAACTGGATCAATTCTTTCGATATAATCCTGAAAATTATTTATTACTTATAAAATGTACTTTCAAAATATACTTATATTGAAAGGTAATGTTACATACTTTGAAAGCTCTCCTAACCATCGCATCAAGCATTTCCCACTTGGTCTTTCCACTCACGGATAGTGAAGCAATTGAGCATTCTGCACCATCTTCTATGTACCTATGGTAACTTCCATGACATCCGAGGTATACATTTAAGGTCACTCGTTTTCCATCAGGATCTCCAGCAAACATATCGTACTTAGAATCTGCAGGAAAAAAAGTAAATTTTTTATTGTTCACAATGTCAGATTTTTCTACATGGTTGGTTATGAAGGGATGATCAAAGGTATTTTATTTTTTTGTGGAAAAATTTGAATCAATTACTTACCAGGAATGGCGTCATTCATGCTGAACCGCCTTTCAAGGCTGTCATTCCTAGGAAGTGATGACTGGGACGATGTAAGTGATTTGCTTGTAACAAGCCTTTGTAGTCTTTCATTATCGTGTTTAAGGTTGACCATCTCATTCTAAAATTAAATCAAATTATACAAAATAGTGGGGTTAAATTAAAACAATCGTACCCTCATTTTGATGACGGTGTCTTTGAGCGATTCGAGCTGATGTGCTGAGCTTAAAGCTTCAAGCCTGATGTCGGTGAGCACAAGGTCTTTCTCTCTGAGCTGTTTCTTTAGTTCTTCAACGATATCAGGACCAGATTCCTTGCTTTCTTCAGTGGGAGAATGACTGACTTGGCTGTCTACACTAGTACCATTCATGTGGCTCACATGGTGGAGCAGTGGGGAAGAAGGCGCAGATATGTCCACTTTATCTTCGGCATCGGATGATACCGAACCATTTCGGTTTTTCTTACTTCTGGAGAAGGCTTTGTTGAATGAACTCCTTAACTAAAAACAAATTTAAATAATTAAATTATGAAAATTTTTAAGAAATATAAAAGAAATATACCCATCCACGCTTTTTCTTCTTTTCGGTTTCTTGTTGAAGAGGAGTGCTTGAAAGGCTGCAAGTAGAGCTTAGCGAATTCAGACTCGAGACAGAATCGGTTGACAGCTGTCGTGAGATATTTGTTTCTGTGGAATACAGACATATATAAACACTTGGCTTTAAAAAGAAAAACAGAAAATTGAATACCAGACTGATACAGACCATTCGGGGGGTCTGTCGTGTTGATGGTGTGCCGCCTTGCCAAAGATGGTGATTGGGAGGTTAGACCTGCCTCAACACTCTGCTTCCGCAGGAGCTCGATCGTCTGCCTCAGTTCGAGCAATTCTGAGTCTTTCTTCTCGGCAGTTGCTGTAAGCTGCTGCAGCCTTTGTGTCATGTTTGAAAGCGACTGCTCAAATGCAGAAACAACGTGGGCCTAAACAAACAAAAACAAAAAAATTAAAAATATAAAAGATAATTTTTTTTTAAGGTCTTGGTTGAAATGAAAAAGTACGTGCTACGAGTGGGATTCAAACCCACGGCATACAAACAACAGATAAAAGATAATATTCATGTAATTGCACAATTTGTAATATATTTTTAATTTAGATATGGAAGCTTCTATTTCAGGCATTTAGTAAATTTGAGGAAATGTCGTCAAGGGTTTATATTATAAAGGCCTAAAATCTTATCCCTCTATGTAGGCATTATTAATGAGAGAGTTATAAAGGAAAATGTAGTTTTTCATTAATATGTGCTGTTCCCAATTTTTTTTTGCTGATTTATGCAAAAAGCGTCATTCTTCACCTTGTTAATAAAAATTTAGATCCCTGCTACAACTACTCAAAGATTTAGATCCCTGCTACTACTTCTCAAAGATTTAGGTCCCGTACTAATACTACTCAAAGATTGAGTTCCCTGCTATTACTACTCAAAGATTTAGGTCCCTACTAATACTACTCAAAGATGTAGTTCCCTGCTATTACTACTACTTTAAGATTTAGATCCCTGTCCCTGATAGTACTACTCAAAAATTTAAGTGCCTGCTTACCACTACGCAAAGATTTAGGTCCCTGTCCCTGTTAGTACTAATATTTAAGATTTAGGTCCCTGTCCCTGCTAGTACTAATATTTAAGATTTAGGTTCCTGCCCCTGCTAGTACTACTCAAAAATTTAAGAGCTGCTACCACTACTCAAAGATTTAGGTTCCTGCTACAACTACTCAAAGATTTAGATCCCTGCTACTACTTCTCAAAGATTTAGGTCCCTGCAAGTACTACTAAAAAATTTAGATCCCTGATATTACTATTCAAAGATTTAGGTCCCGGTTACTACTACTCAAAAATGTCGGTCACTGCTACTACTCACAAAGATTTAGATCCCTGCTAATACTTCTCAAAGATTTAGGTCCCTGCAAGTACTACTAAAAAATTTAGATCCCTGCTATTACCACTCAAAGATTTAGGTCCCTGTTACTACTACTCAAAAATGTCGGTCACTGCTACTACTACTCAAACATTTAGTTCCCTGTTACTAATACTCAAAAATTTCGGCCACTGCTACTACTACTCAAACATTTAGGTCCCTGCTACTACTACTCAAAGATTTACGTCTCTGCTACTAATACTCAATGATTTAGATCCCTTCTATTACTACTCAGATTTAGGTCCCTGCTACTTCTACTCCCCATTCGACATGGATGTTAATTTGGAACCTGTCGTACTATAATTGGTCCCACGGGCGTTCCCGGAAAGACGACGCCTGGATAACGAGGACAAAAGATTCGCCCGTTACATACAGTGAACGAACTGGAAGAACGGTCCGCGGGACAATGTAACGACGAGGCACGGAATCCTATTTACCAAATATTTTCTACTCCCTCCGACGACAAGGATTCTGATGTAAACACTGTCTGGCCTTTGTGTAAACATTTTCACGTTGATGCGAGAGAGAGAAAACAACTCACGGCTGGCTTTTGTTCTTGGGCTTAAAAATAAAAAAGCAGTGCGCGAAGGGGAAATGAAACATCGAAGTCCCAAAAACTAACTAACTAATGCGAAAAACCACTTTCTTTTGGTGAATATCAAAGTCCAAATAGCAATTTACTCATTTGCCACAAACAATCAAAGCACATCCTAACCATTTTGGAAGGAAAGAAGTAACAGAATGAATTAAAGGAAGCAGGAAAAAACTGCGAATCCCAACAGGATTCTTAACAGAACACTGCAAACTAAATAGACATCTGAAGAAGATTGGCATAATCCAACACGGTAAGTGAAGATGCAAAGCAGAGCAAACCAACACATCTACAAACAAACTGTGGTACTACACTTGCCTGTAGAAGGAAGTGTTTAAGGACGATGCAACCGTAGAAAAGATTCGACCACTGAAACCGGGCGTACAAATCAAGTTCACTGATGAACTAGTACTCAGTGTGCTATAAGCAAAGAACGAAAGATTCAACAGCTCTAGGGCGTAGTATAATTACCTCGACTATCACATCTACATCTACTTTGCAGGCTTCAATACCTAGAAGAGTTTTGGCAATTATTTATGCCAAAACTAACAAGCGATTTGATAATATTTTAGGATCTTTAATACTTACAAGAGTTTTGCCAATTATTACCAAAACCATTAGCGAATTGCTAATATTTGAATATTTCGTGGGCTTTAGTGCCTAGTATAGTTTTGTCAATTATCTGGGCAAAAAAAATAAAACACGAATTCAGAATACTAATAAGTCAATTTCGTGAGCATTTCGTCCTTGTCAACTGTACGAAACTACAGGAAATGGTCAACACTTTGTGGGCTTCCGTGTTTAGAAGAGTTTTGCCAATAATTTATACCAAAACCACAAGCGATTTGCTAATTTTTTGTGGGCTTTAGTGTTTACATTAGTTTTAAGAGAGTAAGTTTATGCAACTCAATAAGCAATATATCAGCAGTCAGTTGCACATCATCCGTCCATTACGTCAAATTGCTGGGAATACTAATAAATATAATAGATTCTTTAGGCATTAGTAGTAATCGCAAATGTTTTGTAACGAACTACAGTTTGTTCAATACATTGACGATTTTAGTGCTTGTACAATTATTTGCCAATTACTGATGCAAACTGTCACTAATCGATCGTTATTTGTCAATAGTTTTCGCAGGTAATATCAATAAAAATGTACTAGCTATGGCTAATAGCAAAATTATCTATTGATGACCAGCGTTGTGTGCACTGTCAATTTTTTGTAACCTTTAGTACCAACGTTCTATCAATATAATTTATTTGTTGTATAAAAATTTCAGTTGTACTGTTATTGTTCTGGATAATTGTTAAAACAAATACACTCATTTAAAGCTGACATAACACAGATAAATCCCTCGCCCACAAATTGCCACTGATGGCTACAAGAAACGTTTAGAGTCATAATTAAAATTAACTCTCATGTCAAGCTGAAAAGAAGTTAATCACTGGTGACACCAAGGCAAAAAAACCTCTGGGGGAGCAGCAGATGTCGAACGGGAGAGATGTCGGTTGGAAAAATAGCCGGCGCGGATATGAGATTGCCCAAAAGGAAAACCCTCTCCTGGAGCTTTTTCAACTCTGCGGTCAGGTGGGTGCTTTTTGCTTCGGGTCGACGAAAGTCGAGGAAGCGCTGATGCGGTGGGCATTAATCCCGGCAATTACCCTTAAGCCCATTTGCGACATGGCCGCAGCGGAATTAACCGGTTGCACAATGGCTTTCTGGACGAAAAAACCCACTAAACACGACCTTATGTTTACTTTTTTTGTACACGGGACAAGTCATTAAGCAAAAAAGCACAAGATAAACATGCATTCTAAAGAGGTGAAACGTCAAAACACATCAATAATATCAAGAACCTAACTATAATAATAATACACTAATATGACCTTGTACCAACAACATATGACCGTGTACATCGAGATAGTACATAACTAGAAGTTAAACCTTGCGCATCAAACTTAGCTAACGAGGTGTAACGTCATTATTGCATGGGCAGACAGACGTACCACCTAATTCCGAATGCAGAGTAGGCAAAATGACAAATAGCATAAATACAGCCCTAAGGAGAAGCAATCCAGATTCAAGTAGACTAGAAGCCGGTTCATCAATGCAAACAATGACCACACCCAACAATAAGTCAACTGACTTAAGCCACGCTCACATGAACTTATTTGGACATATAGGTAACTTTATTTTTTTTCTTCATTTATTTGTATCTACAACTGTAGATGTATTACATATACAACCGGCAGGTTGGATAATTTTTGTTTTTGGCATTACGGACGTTATATAGAAAGCTACCCATTGGCAGCCGCTTTAGAACTTTACTATAAATAGGAAAAAAACCTGATCGAAAATTAAATTACCAATTAAAATTGTTTTACTTGAGTTCTAAACTTTAGTTTTTCATCACAATCGCCTGAAAAATCTCAAAAAACTACAAAGATGAGCTCGACGAAAAGAAAACTCGGCAAGACATAAACGAAACGTTAAAAACCATAAAGTACAATAAACAACATAGATGTTTAGTTCGTTAGATTTAGTGGTCTGATTGACCAAATAACTTCTTTCAATTAATTAATCTTTATATAAGGTATTCGTTGAGATTAAAGCCAGCGTCACGGGCGGGATTCGAACCCACGATCTTCGGCTAAATACGCCGGTGTTCTACCACTTGAACTATCGTGATTTTGATCAACTCGGGCACCAACTTGAAAAATGGCAAAAAGGAGGGAAAAATTCGAAAGGTTGGGTTGGGATGGGAAACTGGTGTCCGAGTGGATCGAAGTCACGATAGCTCAAGTGGTAGAACAGCGGCGTATTTAGCCGAAGGTCGTGGGTTCGAAACCCGCTCGTCACGCTGACTTTTTCATCTCAACCAATACCTTACATAAATTGTACATAAACATATTTACATAAACAATTACCTTACATAAATATAATTGTTTAACAACAAGTTAGCCATGCCCATATATTCAAGCATAAAAATTAGCCACACTTACTTAGACAATAACTGACAAACCTAATCATATTTAAAGAAAATGATTATCAAAAAACAAACAACAATAATATTCGCCTTTATTATCTAAATTTGATTGTATAAGATCGGTTTAGCTCTTTGGTCAAAATACGCGGATGTGGTTGGAAATTGAAAAAATACTGAGCAGATTATCCAACCAAACCTATAAACAAGGTCGTGTAAGCTTCGCTGATTGACAAAATTATACGATTGTATGAAGCGATTCAAGGTATATCGGCCAGAGGAGTAAAATTTTAATTAAAACCTTTAAAATTATTTAATTTTTTTATGTAAGGTTTTGGTTGAAATGAAAATGTTGTCACGAGCGGGATTCGAACCCACGACCTTCGGCTCAATACGCCGCTGCTCAGGGTCACGATAGCTCAAGTGCTTGCAGC